ACCATGCATTGAATATGAAGCAGGATTTACAAGAAATGGTGAGACATTGAAAAGCCGATGGCTGGACTCATTGGACTCTATCGAAGACTAAGGTACACCACTTCAAGGAAGCAAAATACGAAAGGAGAACATACATCTATCTTAAAAGCTGAGAGGATTAAGATAATTCATTTAATACAGCAAATTTTCACCAAGATCCAAATCAATAAATTCATTGTTTGCTTAAACCAGACTATAAATCCATTGAAGGGATATCCACACATGTATTGTACTGCTGTAATATAGTTGCTGCAAAGCTGTGCATTTTATACCAAGCCAACACAATGCAGGTGCTGTAGCCGCAATTTATACATTTGCGCAGACAGTATTTTTCTGTTTAAGCAACATCGAAAGCGCAATTAATGCTCTCGGTTTCTTTTACCTATCCAACTAGTAAATATGTAAGCTAAATAAACGTTCAATTAATGTTTTCTCACATTCATCTTTTTTTAAAAAAAAACATATATACTGAAGTGTAGTGTACCATATAAGAGTAATTTCGGAATCATAATATCTAGAGTAATACCTACTCTACTATGATTGGATATATGAAAAAGAAAACCATGGAAGATGGGCTTGCTTGCATAACTAGGTATACCAAGAACTTTTTCTCAAGGATAATTACCAAAACCAGCTAATGTAAGCAAGAAACCGTATGGTACTACTCATTGCACGTGGATATATTTAAAAAAGGGGCTTTTGATAGACTTCTTTGATGATATTGGTAAATTTCTCTCTCTCTTTCTTTTTTTCTTTCTTTCTTTCTTGAAAGATATAAAATATATCGTGTTTATGAATATTATTGTGGATATCCTATAAGGATTGTATTATGAATAAAGGAAAATCGACTTAGACATTAGTTTGCAATGTAAACTACACAAGATCTTGGTTAGGATAACATTTTATATACCTAATTTTGAAAAAATCAGATCCGCTCATATTGGCTGTATACAAACTTAGATTATGATACTCAATTAAGAACCACAATACAAGTACAGATGATATATATATATATATATAATTAATACTATATATTTCATGTTACCTTATCATATTATTTCACAAAACTCTTTAGAGTCACTTTTAATGTGGCGTTTTATCGCATTAGAGATTTGAAAGAAGTCTATTATATGAGTATGACTTTTTTATTAGGACACGATTGTTCCAGCCATTTAATTATTATTATTTTAACTCAGGCAGTGATTCCAAATGTTGGTAATAGCTAAATTTATACTTACAGCTATGAGAACTGACAGATCTTCATGCTTCATACTAGCAAAAAGAGCTGCTAAACTGGTTTATTATTATTATTGTTATTTAGACAGTAAATATCCAACGATTGGCTTATTAGCCTCACATTATTAGCCATTGGAATATTGCTGGCTTCTGAACCATCTTATATCTTAACCAATCAATCTTTTTTAGATATGGCATAAATATCACTGTGGTAAATGGCAACATTTATAACTCCGGACTCGTAGAAATGTCGGGGAAGATTGTTAGCCAATAGAACTACTGGAAATGGCAGGATTTATAATTCCGGACTCGTAGGTTTCTACGAGCTCGTATCGCATCTACGAGCTCGTATCGCATCTACGAGCTCGCAGGTTCTTCAGCAAATGCGATTTGTGGGATTTCAAATTGTTTTTTCATCTAATCCAATCAATTGTTTTAAATATAGTAGATCTATAATTTTTTAGGTATTTAATTTTTCTTATAATTGATCCAACAAACTTAATGTTTTATAGCAAAATATTTTTATTTTTTGACTTTATTAATAGCAAAAGTAATAGAATAAGGCTCTTCTTTAGCCTTCTCATATCTATAGCATTACCTCTAACAAAGGGTACTAAAAAATAGTAGACGAATGATAGAATAAGTATGTAAAGAAGAAGACTGATAATTTTAAATTAAATAAAATATAGTAAAAGTCTAATTTAAATTGTAAGATCAAGGTCTTTATAAACTACTAGATATCGCTTTGGCTAGAAATAAAAAAGGGAGTTTCGTTTAACATTACAAGAGCTATAGCTATATATCATTCTATCTATAAAATATGTGTATGTGTGCTTATCTTGTAAGGCTTTGATAAAAGGTTTTGTGTTATAGGGTCTTGTTATAGATCTCTTGCTTAATATTGTTATCGCCTAAAAGCTATAAGTTATTGGTTAGTACTTTGTAAAGCCTCAAAGACTTGTCAACAATAGTAATAGTGAGAAGAAATAGAAAGAAAATGACTTTACGAAATAAAAAACAAGTTCGCATTAAAAAAAATATCAGTAGGTATGACTGTTTCTGGTATAAGCTCAGATCCAAGGTACAAAGTTCATAGGGCTTGTTTGACCCTCTAGTTGATTTTTCTTTAATCAAGCAAGTAGTTCTCTTTATTCGGCAATCAAGATGGTTTCCTGGGTTGACGACGAGACTTTCATCTTCAAAATGTTTCTCTAGAGCCAAAATAGGATAGAGATATTCTAAACTTGGTAAATGCTAGATGGTGTTCAAAAATCTGCCATTTCTTTCCAAAATAAGGCAGCTTGTTTCAAATACTCGTAGATTTTTTTCTACAGTGTGTATTATTTTATTTTTATTTTTATTTTTATTTTTATTTTTTTATTTTTTAATTTTTTAATTTATAAAAAAAAAATTGAAAAAACATAAAAAACACAAAAAAAAACACAAAACAAAAATTGAAAAAACAAAAAAAAAATCAAAATCTATATAAAATGATTTAAGAAAATCAATATATATAGATTTTGATTGGTTCATTTTCATTTATTTTATTGAATTTATTTACCATTGGTGGCCAGCCAATGATGAAAGTGGGATCTCCCTGTTGGACGAGAAAATTTTCAAAAAACTCGCAGTGGGCAACAGATAGGTTATCAGCATTCTACACCTGCATAGACATCGCGTGGTTTATATAGTTTGGTTTATAGGTCTTCAACTGTGAAAGTCTTTCGACCGGTTTACTAAGGCCACATCTATGAGCAGACTACGTAGATAACCGCCACAATAAAGATCTGAAAAATTTGCAAACTTTTGGCCCCTTTTTATAGACAAAATGGTTCAATTCTTGTACGACCTTTTGCAATTGAAAGAAAGTCACGGAACGTGAAAATTAAAATGATTGGTGTTTGAAAAATGAGTCAATGACTTTTAAATCATTTTGATTGGCTTTTAAAATTGTGACGCCATATGAAAAAAAGAGTCCTTGGGGGTAAAATAAAAAAGTCACATCAGAGAGAGAAAACCGAGGCGGCTAAAAAGAAAAGTCACCGCAAAAATGGCTCATAGTGTTAGGAAGGATATTGGATACGTGACTTATTATTTCTAGGTGACGTCTATTATTCTATAAGGTTCTATAAGAAGTAAAATATTCAGTGTGTGAGTATTTTGGTGATTGTGTAGTATCTAAAGCGTACAGGGCCGTTTGCTGCCCAAAGTAAAAGAACTTCTTTAAGTGAATTTTTTTTAAAAAAGAGAATATAAATCCAAGTATTTATGCTTTTTTAAACGGCTCCTATTTAAAATCCATTTAAAGGAGTTACACTACAAGAGGTGTGCACGGCCCTTTTGGCCGTTTTTCGCTTTTTTTAAAAGTGAAAATCTCAAACATTATTTTTATTTTTCTTGTTAGCCCACAAATCTCCAACACTCGCAGGAATTGTTTACAAATCAATATTTCTTCTTCTTCTTTGACATTAACTATGACCTTTTTTTGGTACTCTTGTTATATACATCTTCTTCAATGAGTAACCTGTGATATTCGAATTTAATAGAATTGTTGTTTCATAAATGACAACAGCACATATTTATATCTTTCTTTTTCAAAAATATTAATCAATAATTGACCAACAAATTGGATTATTACGAGGCTCATTTTTTCTTAAAAAAATAGATAAACCTTTGTTTATATAAATACAATAGTGCTTTGTATTGTGGAAATTCCCTGCAAGCTTAATACCCTCACATACAGACAGAATACATATAAATAGTGTTTGGTTTGATTTAGTTAATGTTTTAGTGTGAATTTAATTACATGTATTTTGTATTTTTATAGGGACAAGTTCAACCTTAAACTCAATATTCTTTAATTTATTCTATTCATAGTACACCTTACTCTTCTAGAAATAGAGTGTTCCCATTGTCGAGATAAAAGAATTCCTGATTGGATTGTCCAACTATCCTACAAATAAGAGTGAGAGTACGATCACTCCCAACATAACTCACAATTAAACTTTTTATAATGCATCAATAATTGGTATCGTCAATAACTTCTTTCAATCTAATTGATTGGCCCGAATGATGGCTATCGATGGATGAAAGCTCATTACTTGTCAACTATAGAAATCTTGGATTCCCTCAAATTAATTGGAACAACATTGACAATGTGGCTAGACTTGTGTGTAGATCGGATTTTATTATTGAAAGAAAAAGGCATTGAATTGTTATACAATAGCTACCAGTCAGTAATGATGATGCATCGCTCGACAAAAAGATTTGTGTAGCATAGCAGTTTTCTGGCCAATAAATTATTCTTTTTGGATTTTATTTTGCACTTTATAGCTTTCGGTCGTTTTTATTGATTGTTTTATTTTCTGGTAAATTTAATATTATTGCACAGTACATTGCATTTTGGCGACTAATAAAAGTAAAAAGTAAAAAAAAAGTAAAAGCCAAATGTTTTTATGCAAATTTGCTACGATTTTTAAATATTTGGTGTAAATAGCGTACTGGTATTTACACAGGTTGACGTCACGAGAGTGCGGTGTAGCCCAAGCTCAATGTTTTGTGTTTATAGACAACTGCTTTAAACAAAACCATCCCCACTCTACTGAATATTCAGGTTAGCAAACGCAGAATACACATCCATGACGATCGCATCTCATCCAAGATACACTAGACGAATTCCTAATCAATAATGTAATCTATTCTGTTATTACAGTTTTTTTTTAGACATGTCGTGGAACACAAAGACTTGGGCTTGGGTTAAGAAATATTTTTCTGTGGTAAGCAGGGGATCCACTTTTTGATTATTGAATTCGAGCCGGTCTTTCTAAATTTATCTTATTAAACATATCGCCAATCATAATTATCTATCTAGAACCCTTTGGTCACTGATGGTATTCCCGTCGTTGGTCAGTTCAGAACACCTGCTGTTGGGTAAGTCGGGGCAATTAAAACGCGATAATGAGAAGTCTAGATAACTTATCGCATTATTTAAATACACTTGTAGTTCGAGACCCGAGAAATACGTATATCCCAAGTCAGCTGCTTCCAACATCAGCGGAAACTACTATTTCCAGAGAGACACTCGCAGAAACTACCCTAGACTTGCTATTTACACACAGCAGGAGGTTGCTGGTCTTATCGAAGGTGGATCTGTCAAGGCTAGGTAATAACACGAGCTAATTTAGAGGATCCAGAATTGGTTATTCGAGATGCATGGGATATAAATAAGTGGTGGATAAGAGGGAGGTTATTTTTTTGACTTACGCGGTTAAACATATCACCAATTAGCATTCCTGCCGTTGAGGGTCAGACTGCCGTTGAGGTTACCAACCCCAAGCCTCTTGTTGAGGTATTGAACTCTCACAAGCTCTACAGTGCCCAGAAGCCTGCACCCACTCCTAACTGGGGTCGCAAGATGGAATGGAAGGAATCCAAGGACTTTGTCTATCCTGAAGATGGTAAGAATATACATACCCTATGCATGTATTCGATATCTTATATGTCTTTTTATTAGGTTCCTTCTTCCCAATGAAGGTTTATACTATGTAGAGTGGTAGTTTAAGTTGAAATAAAAAAAAAGACAAAATAAAGTGTTTTCCTACATTGACTGATATGTTTACACAAGAAGACTACATGAACAAATCGGCTTAAGAGACTTGTTTTCAAATTATACACAATACATCTGACACCTTAATAAGTTGAATGAGGAACTATGATTTGAATTTTCTTTTTTTATTTATTTTTTACTTTCTCATATGCTTTTATAATAAAAATTTGACTAGTTCTGTACTGACCATGTCAATTTAAATATAAATATAATTGGATAAAACTAGAAGTGTGTGAAATAATTATTATCTTGTGAACATTCCTCTGTTAAAACATTGCCTGAGAATAAATAAAGGCTTATCCGAGTATATGAATAACAAGCCATGTATATATTACTTAACTAATCTTTGAGAAATTTGTCCTTACGCGTGTATACTTATATTGGCTCCTCGTCTAATCTTAATAGTTGTTGAAAGTAACACAGGATGAGGACTTCTATGGATAAAGTCAGTTTTTATTTTAATATATATGCATGTGATTTCGTTGGAATCGACATCCATTAGAGCGGTTTTTCGAAGTACAAAATAAAGAAAGATTAATTGATTTATGGTAAGCTAAGATACATATGTACTTTGTTGTGGTGAAAAAATAGTCCATTTTAAGGCATAATTCAATTGCTGAAAAGATTGAGTGACATTTACACTTGGACAATACACACAATGGTAATTATTACGGTCTGAATTCGTTTCTAAAGATAAGAAGTACTGGTAAACTCTTGGTCTTACTATTATTACCTAACAAAATCCTATAAACTTTTATTGAGTTAATATCTTGCCATATTTTGAACAAAAAATCAGAAACAGATTTACACTTGAAAAATACATAAATTACACAGCCAAGCAAAGGTGTGATAGCTTCATCTGTTACAAATCAGAAGTGTTGAAAAAGAATATATATTTTCTATTAAATGTGTAATACAAACCGGGATTTATATATTTTATTATTATTATTATTATTATTTTAAAAAAAAAGGATCTAAAATTGGTATAATTGTTCCTGAATCCACACTGCAAATAGGCGGAATATACTTATCCCAGCTAAATACCAAAATAAGGCAAATGTGGGAGATATGTTCATACCCCACTGATTTGAGGCGAACTTATATATACAAGGCCTAGTAAGAGACAACGCTTTCGTACTTGTTCCGTGTGTGGTGTTCAGGTGTTGAATGGAATATGTATATGTGTATATAATATTCAAATACACACTATATCTTGTGAGAATATCAAAATAACATCCAACGGACTTCTTGCCGACTAGTTCTTGTCATAGTTTAGGCAAGAAAATACTTCTTTTTTTTTGTATTCTTTATTGGTTATAGCTGATGCGTTTGCACGCGGCTAATTAAAAAAAGGAAAGACGTGTAACATACATAAAAAGCGAGAGCGTCTATCGGGGATGGGGCTGTGAGGAAAGGAATAGCTATGCAAACAGCTGGCTAGAAGATATAATCATAAGAAAAAAAAACAAAAAGAAAAAACAAAATTATTGGATTTGGGCAATGTCTGATGACTTAATTGCAAGGTTCCATGATATAACACCAGAAGCTTTCGCCGCTACAGAACCAGTCAGGGAGGGAGATTCTTCAAAGAAAGTTCCAGTGAGCACCCCAAATTGCATGCGTAGTGACATCTACCAGTAGAACTAGCAGATCAGACGTATCTGAACGCTTCAGGGAATTACCAAGAAGGAGGTCTCTTGCTGACTGTGCATTCCATTTGGGTGCATGACGAGCAAGCATTATACTCTAAACACAGAATTTAGAAGGGCAAGCGAAGAAAAGGTGTAAAGAATACTTTACTGGGACAGAGTACAACAGACACGCAGTCGACAGCACGGTAGCAGGAATGATCTAGTGGGTAGGAGGCGACAGGATTAGCCGTATGTCCACGAAGAAGCAATCGGTTGTTGATTGTATAAGCCATGATTTGATGGGTACTCCCAATGTTACGTACAAGGTTGCCGATGCTGATTGGAACGGCACAAGGGTTGATATTTTAGACATGCTAGCACTTTCTGTGCTGGGTTCCCTTCCACCTCTTCTGATTGAAACCCAAAATACAACTTTACAAAACCGCTTTCGTATTGGTGTGCTATTATCAAATCTTCGAACTTTTTTTTATTACTCGAGACTATTTGCAACATAAACTAATAGCCGTTCAAAAGGACAATTGACAAAACATCTTACGGGATGTACATGCAAAGAATCAAACAAATTTGTGAAGATGGCATCGAATACAGCCATGAAACCAAACATCGTTTGCTGAGCGATTCGAGTTTGAACTCTTCGAAAAATTGGAATACCCTGATAGTCTATAACTGAGGCCTCCACCAAAAAAGAAAATCGCAAAAACATACCATATAGGATCAAGAGCACTCGTGGTGATAATAAGTTTTATGGAATAGGGTTTCTAGTCACTTATTTTATTTCTTCTTCCTCTTCTATGTTTATTGTAATACCGATTTTCAGGCATAAAATGCCACACGCTCAGTGCTTTGCATTGTAGCCGACCAATTAGTATATAAAAAAAGACTATTGTTGAATACAATTTTTTGCACGACATCAAATTCAAAACCAGCGACTTTACTTCTTGAAATGAATGTATATTTATCCATAAAAAAAAACTACAGACCTATGCGTGTAACATAATACATTGTGTATTTTGAGTACACCCAGAGCACAAATCGATCGTCCATGTGTGCTTGGGGTACATATGTCATAAAGATTGGAACATTAAGAACACAGTAGAGAATATCGCTCCCAAAGAGACAGCTTTGACATCAAGATACATTTTCTTTAGGATTTTCATTGTAGTGTCGAGCTACATACCAGAGATCTACATTAAAAGGAAAAATTAACTAGTACCTAAAGTTAAATAGTGTGGGGAACTCACATGAGTCCAATAAAGAAGAAGGCCGCTACTGAAAATACTTTTCCACTAAAAGTTATTTTGTACGCTATTAGTGATCAAATATCACCAATCGAAATACTGGATAAGGAACAAATCTCGTCGCTTTTAGCATACAATTGTACGACACACCTTTATCGTAATAAACAACGAAGATTGAACATAGCATTTATTCAGTTAAAAATATGAGAAAGAGAATGTGAAAACAAATAAAAAGACGCTTGTTGGATTGGCAAGTACATCATCCTACCCCTTTACCTTCTCTTTTACACCAAAGCATCCACCTTGTTTAGTAAAGACAGCAAAGAGATCCCTCTTTACTTCTGTATCGTATTTGGGAAATCTGTCTACCTATCCAACCATTCCTGTCCTTTTCTTTTACTCCTATTAAAAAAATGTCAAACAAATCAATCGATGGCCATGCTCCGCTTGTAAGGCATGAGAGTCGAGATGAATATCATGATGCTAAGGAGGAAAGCATTCATAAAATTTACATAGAAGAATACGCTAGTAAACCTCCTCCACCAAAACCTCGATTTTACCGCAAAAAAAAGTATTGGATATTTTGCTCAATATCTAGTGCAATAACCACGATCGTCGCCGTCCTTCTTGCGATCTATGTTTTCTTCCCCATGATTGCTCAGCACCTGATGAACCAAGCCAAAATTGGTGTCGATAAAGCACAGATTACATTCGCGCCTCCGTCAAGTCTCGATACAACATCTGCCTTACAACTAATTAAGCGGGACGACGGGCTGGACCCCAACTCTACATTCTACCTTGCATTACAAAGTTCCCTTAGCAATACTGGTCCTTTTGGGGCAGATATCAAGTTTCAAAATCCAATTAATGTCTACTATAATGATACACTACTTGGAAATATCACATTACCAGATACAAAGATCTCAGGTGGTAAAGGTGCTCTCAATGCAGAGACTGCATTCTTAATCCAAGACACCGACTTCTTTGCCACCTTTGCGCGTGAGATGTTGGCAAATGAAAACTTTGAATGGGTTATGAAAGGAAAGCTCAAAATTACCGCACTCACAAGGTAAGCTATAAGTTTGTCTTTAAGTATGTAAAGCCAAATTACTCATATGCACTTTTCTTTTCTTTTTAAAGAACTGCTACTGTAAATCTTGACAAAACCATATCTTTAACAGGTAAGCTATCTATACATAAAGTTGTTTTCTAAAAAGAAAAACAAGCAATGATGCTATATCTGTTTGGAATCCGTTTGATCAACTTTTAATGGTTCAAATAATTAATTATATTCTTATTGATAGGGATGAATGGTTTTCCAAATGTCAGGATAACATCGTTTGAACTTCCAAGTGATGCTCCAGGTGGTGGAATTAACGTTGCCCTTGGTACAGTCCTTGTATCGCCTTCTCCGATTGGTGTCCAGCTTGGTACTATAAATCTTGCCATTTCCTACGACAGTGTCGACCTTGGAGTGGTTTCAGCTGATAATATAACCCTACAGAGTGGCGACAACGACATCCTTCTCAAAGGTGTTCTGAAGCCTCAGTCCGACCCGGTTGCATTAGAAAAAGTCGGTGTTCTTTTCTCAAACTATGTTTCCGGAAAGATTTCACAAACAACTGCCACTGGTATCTCTGCAGCTCCGGATGGTCAAAACGCAATTGGCTGGCTTTCCCAAGGATTCGAATCCGTTCAGTTACATGTAGACTTGGCAGCCAATGGTCCCATGAAAATTATAAGCGCAGTCAACATGGGCTATCTTGATCTTCAGTTTAACCAAGATTCTCCCTACGATCCTACCGTTAATGCTCCTGTGGTCACTTCTGATTTCTCTATTCCGTTTGGATTTTCTCTGAATATTACAAAAGCTGCTTTGAACATTACGCTTGGTACAAATTCTACAGGAGACTTCTCCGTAATTCAGATTCCTTGGTCTCCTACTCAAAGTGACCAGTCAACCGGAAAGCTTCAGTTTGCTCTTAACAACAATACACTTGCCGGTATTCCTAGCAAAGATGTCGAATTCAACGATTATACATATGAGCTCACTGCCTCTGACCTTTACACCTTCCGTGTCGGTGGAAATGCTACGACTCTCGTCCAGACCCCTCTAGGAGAGATTCAGCTTGGTGGAGTTACGTTCGAAGTTCCTACAAGTCTTCACGGCCTCCAGTTCTTGAACAGCTCAGCCACGATTATCAACAGCCTTGATGTGACAGGTGGCCAGTCTGACCATCTTGAGCTTGCTATCAGTGTTACAATGTCCAACCCTTCAGACTTTAGCATTTCTACTGGAAACGTATATCTCGCTATGATGGCTAATGATGTTCATCTTGGCGTAGTAACTCTCAATAATCTCAAGTTAGACCGAGGCGATAATACCGTTTTGACAACAGCCACTTTTGATCCCAAGAGCTCCGATGTCGGTCAGAATATATTGAGCAGTTTCGTTATGGGCAAAGACAACAATGTTCATATCGGAGGCTTTGATAAGTCTACAGACATTGCATCTCTTGCTGACGCTCTTGGAAGCATTTCAATCGATGCCGTTCTTCCAGGTCTCAATGCTTCTTTGATTCAGACCGCTTCTCTGTTGGTTCAGCCTGACTCACCGACAACAAATATCGTCAATGTTCAAGTCGGTATTGCTAATCCGTTCACTACTGGTCTATCGATTACAAAGGTGGTCTCATCAGTATCCTTCCAGGGTATGCCGATTGGAAACATTGACCAAGATATTAGCAATAATCCCATCGTTGTTTCTGGGCATGTCACTGCTCAATCTTCTCCTCTTTCTATGACAATGAACATGGAGCCGGCAGTCATTGCCTTGCTTCTCCGCCAACTTGCTGTAAAGTCAGACATGGATCTCAAGCCCCTGGATGCACTTCTTGGAATGGGTGGGTTCCACATTGAGGGTCAGGAAGATGTCACGCCCACAGCTGATATATTCAATACTTTCAATATATCGAGCTATGTAATGGATGCTATGAAAGCCCTCCAGGTCGATCTCCAGTTATCCACAGAGTTAAACATTGGGCAGTACACTGACGGACTTCAGTTCTCTCAAAGTAATGTTGCGATCACTACCGATGATTCAGTTACTCGTCTTATCCCTATCGTTGGTCAACCCATTGTACAGCAGATTGTTGATGGTGCCACCCTGTCCTTTAACACCATCGTCTTGTCCGCCCCAACTGATACCAACTTTAAGCTTGTTTTGAATGGCGCAATCGAAGGAACCGGTCCATTCTCGGCCCAGATATCTTTCCCTCAAGGACTTACAGTTGCATGGCAAGGGAAGACTCTTGGTAGCGTGACTATGGATATGATACAGACAAAGCCGGATGAAGGTGCTCAGTTCAATCTTCCCGGTGAATTCACTGTAACAGATCAGGATGCTATGGGTGAATTTGCCAGTTATTTGATCAACAACAAGGACTTTGTCTGGGACATTTATACAGACTCTGTTAGCGTCAATGCACTTGGATTTACTTTTAGTGCTATTCACATGGAGAAGTTTGTCACGCTATCTGGTACCAATGGATTCAAGGATGCTGTAGTAATAAACTCTTTTGATTTGCCGTCAAATGATCCTGATGGAGGTATCACTCTTACTGCCAAGTCCACTATCAAGAATCCTAGCCAAGTTGGCTTTGATCTCAACGGCGTCAGTTTCAACGCCTACTATGATGGTGTACTCCTTGGCCCCCTCGGATCTGAAGGTGCCGCTGTATTCCCTCCTCAAGGAGCGGGCGATCTTAGTATGAAAGGCCGTCTTATTCACCAGGATTCTGCCGAGGGTTTAAAGGCTGTCACTACAGTATTCGAGAACTATCTTGCGGCCAATAATTCTATTGTTACAATCGAAGGAGCATCTGCCTCTGGTCCTAACGGTGAAGTTGGCTGGCTTACTGCTGCTTTCAAGACACTCAAGATCGAAGGTGTTGTCTTACCCGGTCCAGCAACGAAACCCACCCTTATCCCATCCGTTACAATAAAGGATATGGAAATTGACTTCACAAAGAGTGCTTATTCTCCTCCAGCAAGCTCTAAGCAGATTCAGGCCCAGATCAAGAATCCCTTTGGCTTCCCTCTTAGCGTAACTTCTTTAAATATGGACGCCTTTGCTTCGTATGATGGTAAAACGGTTGCTGAACTCAAGATTCCCGACGAGAAGGCTACAACAGACAGAAGTGGCATTGTATCAACTCAATTTGACAATGTTCCATTTGCCTCACCAGACAGTGCGCATTCTGGATTTGACAGTTTTATTTCAGTTTTGACTTCCACGGCCCAGGCTCAGTTTGGACTTTCTGGTACAGCCAATGCACTGACCAGCACAGCTGCCGGTGATCTTCAGCTCAATAATATCGGGTTTGACGTACAAACTTCTTTGGCTGGTAAGTGACGTACAATCTACAATATACAGAAACAAAAAACACATTATTAAATATTCTTATAGGCCTGAACAACTTTGGAAACAAGGCTTCAATTCTGAGTTTGGATGTAGTTGGCGGTACTTCTGAATACATCATTATCGAGTTGAGCGTGTCCTTTGCAAATCCTTCCCAAATTGCTATCACAATCGGCGACATATCGTTCAGTGCCCAAATGAACGAGTTCAATGCTGATGTCGGAGAAGTTACTATCAAGGATACTGTAATCAATCCTGGTACAAATACCTTCTCTGCCGGTTTCCACCTTAGCAGCACCAATAGCAAGGCTGTCAGTCAGCTTCTGAGCGACTATCTTACCAATGCCAAGGTTCCTCTGACCGTTGTAGGAAGTTCAAAGTCTACCTTGATTGCATCACTTCAGCCAGCTCTCTCGACTATTAAGCTTTCTTCAGAGATGAGCGGTATTCCAGCATCTCTTATTGCCAGTACCAAGGTTGTGACAACTATATTCGATGTAATTGCCAAGAAGGGTGATGCCTATGTTACCTTTAACAATCCTCTCAAGACAAAGTATGCTCTTAGCGAGATTCATTCCGTTATTACCTTCGAGGGTGAAGATGGTCCCTTCCAAGTTGGTCACATTGATTACAGTATTCCTTCCCCTCTGGTGATCTCTGTTGGTGGAACGACTACTTCTGAGGCCTGGCCCCTTTCTATTGATGCAGATCTTGGTCAACTTCTCGAGCTCCTGACAAGTAGCAATAAGATTGTCAACCTAGCACAGAATGTCACTACTATCGTTGGAGATGGATTTACCTCTGAGTTGTACTACTACCAAGACAAAGTAGGCACAGAGATCGACTTGGAGTTATTACCTGGTCTACAGATCCCCCTTGGGGCCAATAAAGCGCAAAGGCAAACTTTGCTTTCCGACATTATGTCCCGTATTACAGGAAAAACCACTAGTACTAATACAACATCTGATGCATCTGCTGTGCCCGTGCCTTCCTCTGTCTATGCCTCTGCTACAATACCTGTTACAAGCTCTACCCCCAATTCTAGCTCTAGTTCAACTTTGGAACCTTCTGCTGAAACAACAAAAGAGCCTGCAGCCACTAAAACTACAGCTGCCGAGACAACAAAAGAAGCAGAAAAGACTACTCAAGCTGCCCAGTCAACTTCAACAGATAATTCTGCGCAAGCTACTGAAAGCAGTGAGCCAGAAAAGGGCCATGGTCTCTTTTGGCCTTTCAATCTATAAAGTAATCTAATGGTAAGTCATAGTTGATTTCACTTTCACCATTTCTAACATAATTACTTTTTGTAGGCTCCTTTTAATATATATATATATATATATATATACATTTATTCATATTTTATTTAGTACTTCTACTTCTACTCATACACACGCATATATATAATATAATAAATCTATCAAGACAAGTTATTTTTTAATTCACATTATTATCAGCAAGATCGATTTTTTTTTGTAAAACGTGTATATGGCTCAACACTGTCAAGAAGCCATTTTTTTTAGTATCGACTGTTATTGATAGCTCTCCTATTGTTTATTGAAACGAGGTTCGCATCGTACAGAGCTATTTATTTTCTTTCCACAAGCATTGTAGCGGTACGCTTCAGCCAACTAATTTTTGTGTATGTGAAAGTAGGAAGAAGCAAAATTTATACTTAGCTATAGTGGTTTTTTAATTGATAATTAATGAATCATAAGAAGAAAAAAAGTAGTATATACTTGCCAATTCGTTAATCCCTGAAACATTCATCACAGGAACATCAGTTTCTACATTTGTTACCAGATACTGCATGTCCATCTGCGGGAATCGTATGCAGTGTATCATTTTGGAGAAATCATCATTAATTTGTCTTTCATCTTCACAATCTCTTAGTTGCTGGAAGGCTCGCTTTCTCAATCTTAAGCCAGATCTATCGCCTGATTCATTCTTTGCTGCTAGATAATGTTGTTTATTGTCTCTCCATCTGAGAGCAGCACGGTAGAAATCGACTTCCTTGACATTTGAGGTAAGTTTGTCAATCTGGAGTGTTCTTATTGCCCATAGAGCTTCTAGGTCTTCCCAGGCTGAGCTTTGGAGACAAGCGATACAATTTCTTCTCAAATAGTTCTGACAGAAATTTTGAACGTCTTCATTCTCAAGAAGCTCTTTTATTCACGCGCACACACAGGAAAAATAAAATATTATTATTATTATATTTATTTAAAGATATAAGATATATTCTTCGATTTTTATTTTGTTTCGTTGTGCTGTGCTATGCTGTGCTATGCTTACCTGCATGATTCCATATCAGCCATAGATTTTCGCGTGTAACTTGCGTCTGTAGGTAAGAAAAAGCCTGGTTACATATGTCGTGAAGTTGGAATTCATCGGCAGCTTTTGATATAGACAGGGCTTCAAACACATCCTGTGCCTCAAAGTTCGACGTATAGATGAGCATAAGTATCTTCTCAAATACTCCCGGGTCTGTTTCGCGAATGGTGATTTCATGTCCAGAAGATTCGCTCATACCACTTGTGAACAGATTTTTGAACCATACTGATGCCGATGCAAGAACAACTTTGTGGCCATAGAATAATCGCTCTATCGGGGTAGTATCTTTTCCTTTGGAGTCAATTTTATGTTTGTGTTTTTTAGATATTACAGTACTTGTGCTTGGTTCATCGCTTTCTTTTTTAGGACAGTTGATAACGCGAATAATAACATCATGAAATTCAGGTGATCCAGCAAAATGTTCTAGCTTTGGCACAAGATTTCTAGGTATATCCGGCGAAATGGTGAGCAGATTTTCTGTCTCTTTCTTTATGCGGATGGATATAACCAGCTGACTCTTAATCAGGTAAGGAGTGATGTCTTTGAGTGCTATAAAACTAACCCACCCACGCTCATCGAATGCTAATGAACGTATGCAGAACAGAACAATCAGATTTTATTAGCACCTTATAAAGAAGTGTACTCCAACATATACTCTTACAGTCCATTATTTCATCCATCTCTTTATAAACAAAATATAAAATGATTGCAAGGGTTTTGCTTAGTATGTGTGCATACATAAAGATCTTCTTGTAATTAGTAGTGTATTTACCTTTAGTTATCTTTGGATCATAAACACACGAGTGTAGATTAGCATGTTCGATTGAAACAGTTGCCTGAACAACTCTCTTTTGATCTGAAGAGCTTCTTGAAATATTTGCTTCTTTCAAGCAAACAAAAATTTCGAGGCTCTGTGTTGTAGGAACCGTTTAAACAAGTAGAATACATGAGTTGCAAATAGTTTGTGTCTACTATACCCGTGGATATTCTTGGCTTCCTCTAAAGATCTACATAGGAAAGGACTCAATAAACGCACGGTTTTAATTCGTTAAAGAAAATAAAATATGATCTTACAGATATAAACCTATAAAAATATGTTTCGTGAGTACAGTACAGTACTAAAATAAGCCATTTGAATATATATGATTATAATTGTCGCCTTTACCATGTACACCCGTTGATATTAAAGCAAGGGCTTATTATTCTTTTCTTGTGTGCTATCATTGTGAATTCTGGAATTGTCCAGTAGTATCCAGCAGCATCAACATGGCCAACAGTACTAAAAGGTGTCCTTGTTTGTTATCAGAAATCTAATGGTTGGTGCACAAGGACCATAGTATCCATTACCGTCCGTTCATTTCTTTTAGTTAATGATAAAGATCCAGTAAATTAAGAAATTACGAAAAACCAACAATCTTCTTTTATATTCTCTGCCTATATATCTATCTATTTATTCATCTACTTGTGTATTTGTTTTTAATCAAATATATACTACTTTCACTAAAATTACGCTGCGTACAGGTTTGTATAATTGAAGAATGAGGCTGCCATCCTGGTTGGTTTATCATGAATTAATATTATCAGAATAAAACAAAGGAATACATTTGATACATCTAAATAACAAGAGTTTGCACAGCTCATTTTTCTTTACAGTCTAAAATGTCTTGTAAAACCCCACTATATAATTAATATGAGAATTGTTTCAGTGCCTTTTTTATCTTGAAAAAAAATCTATTTAGAAAATAATACAAATATTCACAAGTAATTGAATAATAATTATTTATTTATTTTATATATTTTGTATATATATTAATATACACATTTATAGGGAGCTAACGTCTAACAAATTCAGATTTTTCAACTTTTTCAAAAGTGCATTCTCTTCCATTGATTTTGATGAAACTATTAAGAAAAGTAACGCACATATATATATATATATATCAGATTGGATGTCCAGATTAATTGATCGCTTTTTTGTTTGTTTGTTTGATAAACTTACCTGTCTTTTCAAACATTTCTTTACAAATTAGGAAGCTTGGGTGAGACTTGTTGATTTCTGCCATGGCTATCAAGCATCTACGAGACAAGTGCCACTGCTCTTTCCTTAGATAGACTTCAAACCCAAGGGCATGTGTTTCTAAAAGATCAGGAGCCACACGCTGCAAAGGTTCAAGAAATTTGAGGGCGTCCTCTAATGGTGTTGTTGTTTCTACATATTTCGTCTCTTTATCTTGTGTATCTGACAATTCACCATCTTCCTGAAGTACGGAATTTAATCTTCTGTTGGCCCCTTCTTCTGTTGCATCTAGTTTTTGTGCAGCGTCAAGGGCAAGATAGGCCTAATATATATATATATGTGTGTGTGTGTGTATTAAATTGAGTACTTGTTTGCTGTACCGCTAACAGTCTATTTCTTTTGTTTTTTCTTTTGGATATTACCTTAATAGCTCCCTTGGCTGCTTTTATATAATAAGGATGTTTTCGGAGTGTATCTTCCCATTTGAGTAGTCTATAGGGACAATACAATTGATCAGTCAAGCAATCAAGCAATTATACAAGCAAGCGATCAACGAACAAATGAATCAAATGTACAGAGCACATTATATATACAATCGTGGCTATTTCACAACTTACTTGACGTAAGTTCGAAGGGTATTTTTGTGTAGACAATATGAATGAATTCCAAACTCGTTGTCTTTAAAGTCATTATAAAATGAGTCGATAGTTAAGAAACGATCGATAGCTTTTGCGTAGTTTTCTTTTTTCAAATATGCCAATCCTTCTTCAAGAATAAACCACTGGCATTGCATGTCCAGCAGGCTTTTTCTGGTATTTGTTCGCTTCTACAAAAGGGGGAGGAAAGGAGGTCCTGAGTATCTATATACACAATTGACTCACACGCACATATACAAAAAAGAAAGAAAGAATATTAACTCTTACCCCAAGAAACATTTTAAAGAGTTCTTTTGCCTTTACAATATAACCAGCTCGCATCATGTATTTTGTACACTTTGAATTAACAAAACGGTCTTGTAAATCCAATTTACGTGCTCTGTTCATGACCCTAGCGGCTGTCTCAAGATCGCCTTGATGCTATAGATCATTTTTATTATTATTATTAGCATTAGTATTATTGTTAATGTTTCTGTTTCTGTTTCTGTTTCTGTTTCTGTTTAAATTTTAGATGTAGATATCTAACCTTTAATATCCTTGCTTGTGTCATGTATAGCTCAACAATAGTTGGAGTGTGATTGATGGCCTTTTGGATGTAATCAAGAGCTTTTTCTCTATCCCCAAGAAAGTCATAATGCTGAGCAATGTAATAAAGCGACCATAATAATGCAGTTGGTGGTTCTCTTGAGTCTATTATCATAACCGTATACTGTGAATACTTTTAATTTATTGATGTAATCGACTTTTTACCTTTGGCATTTCCATCAAATGACCCTGAGTTTTCGAGTTTACGCACAAGCCCTAACATTATTTCTTCAATTGTATCCTTCTTCTCTGTGTCTCTATAATATTTCTTTAATCTCGCAAAGAGGGAAGGAACACCTTTACGAAGACTCTTTTGGATGATGTCTTTGACTTCCAATGAAAATTCATCTGGGGTTGCGTAATTCAATGATATATCGGCTATTGTATTTGAGCGAGGGTAGGACTTCATTAGATTCAACAATAGATTTCTTGCCCATGTACGCATATTATCTTTTCGTAGAAAGTAATAGAAATAACATATGTAAGTCAATAAATAAATACATTAGTGCTGATCATAATTTCATACCCATACACAAACGAGTTTTCCTTTTCCCATTATATATTACCTTTGTTGTATCCTTTGACGGCTAAAAGACTATTAATGTATCGAGAATCATATGGATTTTCATATATCAATTGTCTGTAGGTTGTCTCAGCCAATTCGATGTTCCCGGTTTTTTCTAATAGATAAGCTTGTTTCTCTTTCCAGGATCTTTGATCTTTTACGACATCCTTGATTTTCTCAAGATGATCCAGTGCATCCTGATATTTTTCTTGCTTTTCGAGAATATCGGTATAAAATAAAAGTACTTCGGATTGATCGTATTCTGATGATGTTTCCTATTTGAAATCAATAAAGCACACATGTCAATTACTTTTTATTATTGATTATTGTTATTTGCTAACCATCAATGTGTCGCAATAAGAGTCGAAAACCTTGGCAGCTATTTCCGGTTGGTCTAGCAAATAGCATAAAACACCCGTACCGATCCAAAAGGATGGTTCATTATGAAGCTGATACAGCAACTTTTTTCTAGTTTCCTATAAACATAATATTATTATTATTTTTTAAGACAAAATAAAAAAAGGAAATGTGCACTCGTTATGTCTATAATTACTTGACACTAAATAATGAATCTTACCAATGCTTCAGAATACATTCTTAAATGAGTTTGAACACAGGCATACTCGTTGGTGGTCTCAATGTCAGTAAATTCACTTAATTCGGCTGCCTTTTTGTAATATTCGAGGGACTCTTTCACTCGACTATCTTGAGTAAGCATATATCCATAAGAGCGCCAGCCTGTTTTGTTTTAGATTTAGTTTATATATATAATAGAAATGTTGTGTATGTATGCCCACTAGCTTACATGCAGAGGATTTTGGATCATATTCAAACCCTTTTCTAGCAAACTGATACCCTTCATCCTTATAACCAAGGTTCCACATCAACAAGCCTTTCAAGGACAGGGCATCTAATGTAAATCCAAAACAACAACAATAATTATTATACTTTCTTCTCCTTTTGTATGTATACCCTATCATTATTAAGTGCATAATAATCATAATAATAATACAAATAAGTTTAGATATATATGCATAACTATTTATACCTGCTTGTTTTGGGTATTTCTCGAGCAAAGTATTCATAAGCACTAGACCGGCAAAGTAATGCTCATTCTCATAATATTCCTATCATATTATGTCGCTAAATCAGTTCAACAGTACATAGTTTTATTTTCTTTTTTATTTTCTAATGTGTCATACCATGGCTTCCGCAATGGATTCATAACATTCCAAGGCAATCTCTGCTTCGTTCATTGTTCAAGATCTCACTGTTGAAGAAAGCCCTTTTTTTTTAGTTTCTTTCTAAAATGTAATCGGGAATCCCATCTCTCTTTCTCTCTCCTTTTCTTTTTTTTTATTGTCTGTGACGATCCTTGGAGGTGGGTTAAGCGGATGTCGAAACCAAGGATGATGTTCATTTGTGTTATTGACGATTGAACATGAGAATCGTTTAATAACATGACAGAAACATGTATTCCTTGGTGAGATTAGCATTCAATTACGTAAATGGCTTGTTGCATAAAAACAGATTATTTGGAACATTTCCTTTTGTTGGTTAAAAATAATGGTAATAATGAGTTTTATAAGTAAATAAAATAAAACATGTTTGTGCATGTGGATATATCTCCATGGCAATTTAATTACATGCTTAATTCATGTTTTATATAACACTTTGCTATTCTATCAATGATTTTTATTGTATAATGGCCATAATATTCACTATCCAAGCAAACTGTAAATACAAGTATGTGGCTCTCATTTTGCCACGTATTGAATTACTTGGAGCATACAGTTCATTCCAAAATTAAATGAAATGTTTTTGAAGCTTAATTTTTGTCTTAAAAAAAAATCCCATTTTCAGGATTCCATCTTACCATTATTTTTAATTTTTTTTTTAGAAATTCACACACACACACACACATATAAAATATATATATGGCTTCAAAGCTCGTTCATAATATTCTTGAGCTTACGATATCAGAAATGTTTGGAGATAAAAGATTATATAATACAGGAATTGGCTTTATGGATTCCTTCTTTTTGTGGTTATTATATATTGTAAGCATGAAATCACTTTTTAGCATAGTTGTACTACACCAAAAAAAAGGGATAGAAAAATAGCGATAAAATCTAATGAATAGATATCTGTATTTTATAGACAATCTTCTTTAATACATATATTTGAAAGAAAAGGCAAAATTAAAATTAGTATAGTCTCTGTAGTGATTCTCACTCTCAGCTATTGTATTCAAAATATTTAGAATATTTCAATAAACCATTAAAGTATCTCTTCTCTCCTGGTTTTATAATTTTTACAACACATTGACATTTGATTTTTGTCGGAGTATAAAATACAAATCCATAAAAAATATTGATCCCTTTGCCTTTGCCTTTTTCTTTTGCTTCTTAGCATCAGCAACGCACTAGTAATTTAGACAATCAATCTCACATTTTCTTTCTCTTTCTCTTTACCATCCTCATCCTTCTTATTTTCTCTTTTATTACCAAGTTTAAATTTTAAGCTACTCTTGCTGTCACCATGGCTTCTGCAAGTACAAAGAAAATTAATGTCTTTTCTTTATTCTTTTTTAAATTAATTCATTACGACATGTGTTTGTATGGGCAATTTTTATAGCTCTTTTTTGAAGATTACGAATTCCCAGCCGAATTGTACCAACGAGACACTGGTGATTTCACTATACCCGTTCGCACCCTTCTTGACTTTACACCTCACATATTAAAAGAGATTGTTAAAAAAGAAGCAGTTGAGTGTAGTTTGTAGCTGTAGTTGTTGTCGTTTTTTTTATTAAATAATGAATGTTAATGTTAAGCTTTGAATCATTATAAAAACTCATTTCACTAAACTAAATTAAACTAAATCAATTAATGGTTTATTTATTTATTGCTTTGTAGGATCAAGAACCTATTCGACCTCGACAAGACAGTGGTTGGACATCATTTGACTTTTCGAGGAATCCGATTGGAAAGCATGCATCAAAAATATCTTCTGAAAGAGTATCAGTCATTGGCGAATTTATTATGGAGTGTGCTAAAATGTATATGGAAACACAGCGATCAGATCCTACCATGAGTAATCCACGCCAACAACGCAGATATGAAGAGGAAGAAGCAAAAAGAAAAGCAGAAGCAGAAGCTAAAAAAAAGGCAGAGAAGGAAAAGAAAGACGAAGGCAAAGACGAAAAGAAAGAACCAAAGGATGTACAAAAAACTGATGAGCAACAAGGAAATGTAAATGGGATGCTCCTCAAGTCGGCAGCTGTAGTTGGTGCATTATCAATGTCGGTCTATTCAACCTATCACGCAAGTTCATTGCTGGGAGATGTGAAGTTTCATGATCAACTAGAGCTTTTACTCACTCATGTTGAGGGTATCGTACAAAGCACAAGCGTATGGATCAGTGAAAGAGAGAAACTCGGGGACTTTGTACCAGAGCAGGTTAAGAAAGATCTCAGTCAATTGAAACAACTGATAGAGTATCTAGGAAGGTGAGTGAGGCTTATATGTATATAAATTAAACAATCTTCATGGATCAGAGATTATTAATTTGTTTTTTTTATGATGATAATGCGGAACTATAGGTTGGATCCAAGGTCAGAGAAACGAACTGAAGCAGCGGGCTGGTAGGAAAAAAAAACTTATTTATTTATTCATTTTAAAAAAAAAAGAAAACTCTTAATCCAATACTCGAAATTCAAATATTAATGTCAATGTCAATGTCAATGCTAATACTTGTATGTCTATAGGGGAATTGGTGCGGTAGGAAGTCTTTCAGTGCTGGGAGGCGTTGCGTATGGTAGTGCTGCTATAATGACCGGCGGGGCTGTTGTAGTCCTTGGAGGACTATTGGTGTCGGTCTCTACTATGGCACGTTACTCTGGAAAACGAACTGAAGGTGCTCGCGTAGTACTTGAAGGTCAAGTACGATCTATACTGGAGACATGCAAGAAAGATCAGCCAGCAAGACAAAGGGTTATTAATAACGGATTCACTGCCCCTGAACTACCAGAGATGCCTCATGTACCCCAAACAGATCCTCGAACCAGCACTGAAAAGGTAAATAATAGAGATAGTAGAAAAAATGAATTTAGAAGAAGAATATATATATTTTTAAAGATATTTTGTGTTTATGATTATAATTATGATTATAATTATTTTTACCAACCTATTTTCTGCTTATCAGAAACGCACTGATATAAAATCTGCTTATGCTTACACGAGCTAAATCCCGGTCACTTCAAAGCGAATGTCTCCATTATATATGTGTGTAGTGTATTGTAGTGTAGTGTAGTGTGTATTTATGTTTGATCGCTCGCTAGGTTCATTAATTATTTACTTTGATTCCTGATTTGCTCTCCCTTCCCTTTTTACTGTAATAAGGAGGTTTGTGGTAAAGTGCGACATAATTTGGAAATCATAAATAATTATTATAGGTAGAAGAGAGTTTTGATCTCTACATGTAAATAGTAGTTTTTTCCTTGTATATTCAATATATATATATATATATATAATACACAGCTCTAACAATACAACCACCCCACTGAATATAATATATGTGTGTGTTAAACTTTGGTGTTTTTTTTGAGTACCATTGTATCTATTTAATACTCATACGTTTATGTGTTAAGCTTGTAAGGGTGTTGAAATTGGATAATAATTTTCAAGGCAAACATAAATATATACATTTTCTCTCTCCTATATATTTATGCAAATAAGCCTTTGTCTTTGTGCGTGTGTATAGTTTTTTTTTAAAAAGCCGTCTAAGTCGAGCATATTTATCCATTAAATATATATATATGACACTTTTAATCGGTCGATCTATTGGATAGCAAAGATGTTTTCTGAGTAATGAAGCTACCAAAGAAAAGAAAAAAGTCCTGCAATCTTTAATGACGATGAGGATATTTCTCATTAACGTTACTTGCAAGGTCTCAGATGAAATAATTTTTTTAGCTCAATATCAATGTAAGATGTAATGATTTGGCCAGTTAAAGAAGACTATAAATACTTCTTTACTTGTGAAACTAAACACATAAAAGAGAGTGATTATAGATTCTTTATTCTTGTTTCAAAATAAATAAACCGGTTAGTGTATATGCTAATCTATCCAGTTATGATTATATTATGTGTTTGCCTCATTTCAAAAGGCTTGATATTGATACTGTCTACAAAAATCAAGGATGAAATGAATATATAGCCTTCTTGTCTAGCATAAGAAAATAATGTTTCAATCTTGTATTTATGTATTTATTTCGATACAGTCCTTGGATCAAAATAGATAGAGTTATACTTTGGTTTCGTATGGTTTTGTTCAACACAAACCTTCTGAACTCTTTGTTGATATTTAAGGAGTGTATGTGTGGGTGGGCACGTATTTGGGTATAGCTGTGATAGTTTATCTCAGTTGGATAGTGTGAGAAGCATCATGAATATACTAGATTTCTGCAAGTATGTTCTATACTGCTTATTCCAGAAGTATCTAGATACCCTTGCGGAATCGAAGGGCCTTGAAGAACATTTTTTTTTCTTCATTTAAAATTTTCTATCATGCAACATTCGATGGAGTTATTGGGTGATCGGAGTAAAATTTTTCTAGGGTGTTCCAGAAATTTCCCAGCAAAAGCTATAATTTTATATATATACACCCAATTTTTTTTTGCATAAATATAATTTTTATATATCTTTACATCATATTTACCAAATACCTATCTATCTATCTATCTATCTATCTATTAATTCTTTTTTTTAAAAAACACTTCTTTCTCTTCTTTACTTTAATACATTCAAGCCAAACTTCACTACATCACACTACACTACATCACACTATATTATACTACAAACCAACCTCAATTCATCTAATACAGTATGAGTGGAATGAATTTTACTGAAAAAGTCGAAAAGACTCTTGCAACTGCTCAAGCTCAGGCGCGCGAATTCTCGCACACTCTCTTGCACCCTGCTCACATCGCATGTGCCATGTTTGACGATGTTGACGGACAGTCCCTGTTCAAGTCGATTCTCGAGAAGGCTGGTGCCGATCCCTCTCTGGTCGAGCGGGGTTACAAGAAGCAGATGGTTCACCTTCCTGCCCAAGATCCTCCTCCACCTGAGATCAGCATCAGTCCCCAGACAGCCAAACTGCTCCGTAATGCCGAGAAACACATGAAAGACCAAAAGGATTCCTACATCTCCATCGACCACCTGATCCTTGCCTTGGCCGACGAGACCACAACATTCCAGCCGATGAAGGATGCTGGTGTGACAAAGAAGGCTCTCGAAAGCGCAGTCCAGCAGGTCCGCGGAAACAAGCGTGTGGATAGCAAAAACGCCGAAGAGGTCTACGAGTCCCTGTCAAAGTATGCGATTGACCTTACCGAGATGGCCCAGACTGGAAAACTCGATCCTGTCATTGGCCGTGACGATGAGATCCGTCGTGTAATCCGAGTGCTCTGTCGGCGTACCAAGAACAACCCAGTCCTGATTGGTGAGCCTGGTGTCGGTAAAACTGCGATTGCCGAAGGTCTGGCACGTCGTATCGTCGAACGAGATGTTCCAGAGTCCCTGCAGTGCAAGTTGTTCTCGCTCGACATGGGTGCCCTGATTGCCGGTGCAAAGTACCGTGGTGAGTTCGAAGAGCGTCTCAAGGCCGTCCTCAAGGAAGTCAAGGAGTCCGAAGAAGGCATCATTCTCTTTATTGACGAGATCCACACCGTCCTGGGTGCCGGTAAAGGCGAAGGTTCAATGGACGCTGCCAATCTGCTCAAGCCTATGCTGGCCCGCGGTGAACTTCGCTGCATCGGTGCAACAACCCTGACCGAGTACAAGGTTATCGAAAAGGATCCAGCCTTTGAACGTCGTTTCCAAAAGGTCGATGTCGGAGAGCCTTCTGTTGCTGCCACAATCTCTATCCTGCGTGGTCTCAAAGAACGCTACGAGTCCTACCATGGTGTCAAGATCACTGACTCTGCACTAGTCGTTGCCGCCCAGCTCTCCGACCGTTACATCACCACCCGTTTCTTGCCCGACAAGGCCATTGATCTGATTGACGAGGCTGGTGCCAACACTCGTGTCCAGCTTGACTCAAAGCCAGAGGAGATCGATGTTCTTGAGCGCAAGCACTTCCAGCTCGAGATTGAGGCCATGGCGCTCGGCAAGGAGAAGAACAACAAGGACTCGCAGGAGCGTCTCAAGGTTGTCAAGGAGGAGATGGCCAAGATCCAGGAGGAGTTGAAGCCCCTAAAGCTGCGGTACGACATGGACAAGGGCCGATTGGACGAGATCCGAGACTTGAAGCAAAAGTTGGATGAGCTGAAGCGCAAGGCTGTCGAGGCAAGAAACCGCTATGATCTAGACTCTGCAGCTGATATCGAGTACTATGCCATTCCTGATGTCGAGCAGCGTATCAATGCCCTGTCTGCCGAGAAGCAACGCAAGATGGCTGAGCAGATGGCCAACGACACAGCCGGCCAGGCATCGACAACCGGTCAGTTGGTGAGCGAGATTGTCCGACCTGAGCAGATTATGGAAGTCATCTCTCGCTGGACTGGTATCCCCGTTCAGAATCTGGCCAAGAGTGAGCGAGAGAAGCTGCTGCACATGGAGGCCGAGATTGGTAAAAAGGTGGTTGGTCAAAAGAGAGCAATTGAGTCGGTGTGTGATGCAATCCGTCTTTCGAAAGCTGGACTGCAGAATCCAACCAAGCCACTGGCTAGCTTTATGTTCCTTGGTCCTACTGGTGTTGGTAAGACGCTTCTTTGCAAGACCCTGGCTGAATTTCTGTTCAACGATGAGCGCGCGATGATCCGTATTGATATGAGTGAGCTTATGGAACAGCACAGTGTTGCAAAACTTATCGGAGCCCCTCCCGGTTATGTCGGTCACGAAGACGGAGGTTTATTTGAGGCAGTCCGTCGCAAGCCATATGCTGTTGTTCTTCTTGATGAACTGGAGAAGGCACACAAGGATGTTGCAAATGTGCTTCTGCAGGTGCTTGATGAAGGATTTATTCATGATTCCAAGGGTCGCAAGATCGATTTCCGCAACACGATTATCGTCATGACATCCAACCTTGGAGCTCATCTTTTAGCCGAACAGTCTGCTGCAGGAGGCGACCCGGATTTGATTATTTTGAAAGAGAGTATTCTGCAGATTGTCCGCCAGCACTTTAGCCCAGAGTTCACGAACCGTATTGATGAGATCGTGATCTTCAACCGCCTGACTGAGACGAACATTACAAACATTGTGGATGTGCGACTTGAGGAAGTCCAAGAGCGCCTGGCCGATCGTAAGATTACCCTGGATGTTTCAAAGCCTGCCAAGGAATTACTCGGAAAGGAAGGATATGAGCCTGTATTTGGTGCACGCCCGCTCAACCGTCTTATTCAGCAAAAGGTTCTCAATCCATTGGCACGTCTGATTATCGATGGAGGTGTACGTCCTGGCGAGGTAGCTCATGTGGGATTGAACGAGTCTGGCAAGCTTGAGGTTTTGCGCAATCATGAGATCCAATCTGACTACGAGGTTGAAGAACCCATGGAAGAAAATAATGATTCTGATGAAGACATGGACTAAAAATTTAAGATTTTATTTTCTTTAGAATTTTCTTTCTTTTCTTTGATTTTCTTGCTTTGATATTTTGTTACAAAAAAAATTATGTATTATAAACAACCTTTTCTTACTCACTCACTCACACAGATATATATACTTCTTTTATACATATACTTTCTTTGATTTTTTTTTCACTGTTATTTGTTTATTTATTTATATAGTATATTTTATTATTAAAATAATAATTGAATAAAAAAAATTTCTTTAAAATAATAATAATAATAATAATTATAATTATGGATCCATTCCAAAAATTGACTATTGGTCAATTAGGACAGGTAGGAAGGAAGGAGAATTATGGGAAAATAATTATGATTGTGGAAATGTAAATATATATATATATACATACATGAATATAATATTCTTGGGGGTATAGATACACACACAAAAGAGAGAGAGAGAGAAAAAGTTAGAGTGGGAAAGGGCTTTTCTCTGTTTAAGGAATATATTCGATATTAAAAAATGACACTTTTTTATTATAGCCATGCGTTGGTTAGTTTTATTCCTTCGATTTTTCCTTTTTATTTTTTGTTTTGTCTTCAAACAAGCAACGAAGGGTATTAGAGTTTAATAGACTTCTTTGGTTTCCATGGTTTTTGTGTGTAACAGCCCTTAGTCGTTGTATGCAATATAAAAAAAAGTATAGTTTAATTGTATTTTATTTATTAATATTAATATTTTACTTTAAAAAAAATTATTCTCATTCTCGGTTTATAGGGTTAATATGAGCAAAAATATGTGCGAGTGTGAGTGTGGTATTGAAAAAGAAAATCTGTTGGTTGGTTGGTTGGTTGTTAGGTTTAGTCTCACAAAACAAAAACAAAAAAGGTTGATATAGTTATTGTACATCCATGAACGGGATAGGTCTTGTACTTCCCGATCAGCATAAGAAAGGGCCATTGGATTACCTGAGTGACAGGACTCGATATCCCAATGTGGATAGTCAAAATACATGCAACAAAATGAAAAGATAGTCCGAAAGTATTACAAAAAAAACAAAAAAGAATGGTGTGAATAAGGAAGGTTAGACCATGATGAAGACGAAGAATAACAAGAACAAGAGCAGGAAGGACATGAAGAAGAACAAGAAGAATAATACTACCAGGTCTATGCTGATCCTTGACTAGCTTCATAAAGATAGATTTATGCATGAGTCCTTTGAATACTCTATTAGACTTTACTTGATTAGTTGCTTAGCTACCTGGTTATTTATTTGCTTAGTTACCTAGTTATTTAGTTGCTCAGCTACTTCGTTATTTGGTTACTATGTTACTTTGTTGCTACGTTACTTTGTTGCTACGTTACTTAGTTGCTTTATTTAATACAAGAGGTATTTTAATTTATGTTTTTTTTTTATTTATTTCTGTCATTATTAATAGTATTGCGTATTAATAATTATTTTATATGTGTACTTCTTCACCGGAGTTGTTCCTTTCTTTTTTCCTTTCTTTTTTAACAGTTCTGACTTTTCAACTATCCACTTCCACTTATATAATTAAGATACTACATACGGAAAGAAATATAAGATTGGGTTAGTGGAATGGGTGAGTCAATAGGGTATAAAAGAAAGGCACACAAAAAAATTCGTTTTAGTTTTGGGTCCATATTAGGAATAACTAAAAGAAGTAAGAATAAGGAAATTCTTATTAATTGAAAATCATTATTAACAGATACAATGAATAAATGACGATAAGAATAAAAATAAGAAATAAAAACTCCCCGTTATAGAGAATAATTTATACACACAGACAAATGGACAAATAGGCAGATAAAGATAGACAGGCAATTACAGGCAATTACAGGCAATTTGCGTACATGTAATTTGCATACATGTAATAAATAATAATACCAATTATGTATCAATATAAAAATATGTATGTAGGTAGGAGGGTGGGTTGTTTTTTGTTTTTTGTTTTGGTAAACAACCAACAATTGTAACAACTCTGGATTGGACTGTTGATGTGACTATTCAGAGATCTCTTACCAATGAGTTTGTAAGAACAATAGGAAAAAACAAGGAAAATTACAAATCCTGTTACATATTTTCAAATAAAAATAAAAATAAAATAAAAAATAATAATTATGAATAATGGTGTAAGAAAACCTGTTACCACTCTATTGTTTCTCTCTACCCAAATGTTATCTAGGCTACCCTCATAATTTAATTCTAACCATTTTACTATAGTTGTTTATATGTTCATCTTTATCTTGATTTGTACAAAATCCAACTGTGATTTGGTAATATTTATGTAGTTTGTATAGTTTGTGTACGTGTACGTGAATGTGAATGTGAATGTAAATATATATAGATTTATATATTATGTTACAGAATAACTTGGCATGGTCTCCGCCTAGAAATATCGAAGGGAAATATTATAATATTTCCTGTCAGTAATAAGGCTTACTATATAAAATAACGCCCCTTCTCCTCCAATAACAACTCCCCCTCACTCTCCTACCCCTCCTTCTATATTTCTTTCTTTCTTTATACTACCTGTTTGTTTATGTTGGTTGAATGGAAATGTTGTATTATATAGTAATTCGTGTGATAAATGCAATGCTATCAACATACTCCGTGGTGATCACTGTAAACAAAGAAGTACATAGCAGACCAGTACACAACAGAGCAGTGCATAAGCACAGCACACAGAATAACAGCAGTAGGATATATCCACAGATTATATATGCAGTATTATAAAATAAACATATAAATAATATAATATATTTTATATAAGCCATTCTGTACTTTATTGTGTGCAACAATATATCACGAGATCTGTGCGTTAAACGAGTGAAAAAAAAATAAGAAAAAAAAAATAAAAAAATAAAAAGGGGGGAGTGGAGTGGGGGAGAAAGGGACTTAATTGGGAAAATAATCGTGTGTTGCTTAGTATTTAAATCCACTTTATTTTTTGTCACGGTCTATTTTTTTTTCTTTTCATCATCTCTTCTTCTTCTTATTTTCAAAAAATAAACCCCCCTTTCTTTTTACTATACTCGCAGTTGCCGGTCGATTGTCCCCATTTCCTTCTTTTAAAAAAAAAACACCACAGCCACCTCAATCTACCTACCTACCTACCTACTTATATATTTTCTTTTCTATACACAACATTAAAAGAAAAATGTCTATCTTCAAAATCGCTCTCCTTTGCCTTCCCCTCCTCGCTATCGTCTGTTCAGCCGCTCCAGTGCAGGCACCCGAATCCCAGACTGTCATCAAAGCCATTGATACAGAATGGCCAATGACTCCCGAGTACGTGATCCGTGATGATATCCAGGCCTATTATGAAAACACAGTTGATGAAGTACTCAGTGTACGCAGCGAAGATATTCTCAACTGGCTTGCTACAACAGTCAACTCTCATTCTACCGAGCAAACTCTCCGTCCACAAGCCAAACTCATGGGCCTCGATGATGTGCATGGTAAGCACAAGCTATCGATTCATATAGCAATGCATGTATTAATATCATATTCTATAGATGCCTGCCTCACAATGATGCCAGGTTTCGTTGCCAAGCACATCAACCAGATCAACACTCGTCTCTATGCTGCCGTTGAGCCCTCAGTCAACGAATTCCTGCCTCAATTGTGGCCCGACTATGCCCAGACAAACCAGATGACAGACCTCGACGCCAAAACAATCCACCCCGAAATCGCCTCATCCTTATATTCTCTCAATCAGGCCATCGGATCCCGCCTGATGGAGATCACGACCGAATACAACCTGTCAGAAAAGATTGTAGACGACATGAATCTCTGCAATGCCCACTCCCAAACCGAAACTGCCTCCACCGATCTGTGGATGTATGTCGCCAAACTGATGGCATTCCCCCGCCTCTTCCGTGACCAGCTCCCAAACCCTCGTCTGGCTGAAGAATCTCGTCTGGCCTCCAGCTTCTCGGACACCAACAATGGTTCGTTTATCGATATCCACCTCAAGAGCGTCTACTCTAGCCTCTGGTTCGAGTTTGACAACCGCATGAATGACCTCTTTTCCACCATTCAACGCGATCTTGTCGATGGTGCCATTGAAGCCTAAAACCAACTTTCTCACACATACACATCAACAACCACAACGAAAAGATCTTCGTCCTGATTCTGATCCTGGTCTCTCTCTCTCTCTCTCTCTCTATCTCTCTATCTCTCTCCACCTTCCAAAAAAGTTCAAATTATTTAAGAAAATCGATTGCGACTTTTTTTTTAATGTTCAAATAAGTCAGTTGATCAATCCAATCAATCCAATCAATATATATACATACATACGTTTCGGCAGCGCTGTGCGCCAAAACTATAACTTAAAAAAAACCCCGATATCAATAGCAACTAAACAACAAGAAGTATAATTAAAAGCTTCTTGGTACTACTATTATTATATATATATATAAAGTGTACATAGTCTTTCTTTTTTATTATAAAAAAATAAAAACCAAACCAAACCAAACCAAAAATGAATGAAATTACTATTATAATGATAGTCTTTGTACTTTGTGAAATAAGCCAGCCAATACACAATACTTGTGATTAAGTAAAGTGGTGTTTCCAATGGTATTTTTTTTTTGAATATTGATAAAATAAAGAAAGAACAAGAACTTTTTATTTTTATTTTTATTTCGTTATGTATATAGACAATACATATGCACATCTTGCATATATTGCATTTCTTGATCTTGTTCTCTTTATGTGTGTATAATACATATTCTTATTGTCTTCCTTGGATTTGCTTTGCTTTGATTCTTTTTTTTTAAAAGAAAAATGTATATATAAAAATAACTTTTTATTCAAGATTTCTTTGATTTCTTGGTATCGAGCTGAGCTCGTCTGAACCATCTTCTTCTCCGGGTAAGCGCTCTCATTGTGTCAGCCTTGTCGTTGTTATTTGTGGCCTGTCTTGTAGGTAATGGCTCAGGTCTGTTCCTTGGGTTCTGCCATCGATGGTCCGTGTAAACCCAACCAGCCTCGTCGGCTTCCATGATCGCCTATAAAGTTAAACACAAAATAATAATCAACAGTAATAATAATTTAAGAATTTTTTATATATATAAATAAATAAAAGAAAAATTAAAGTAAAAAAATAAAAAATAAAGAACACAAAATAATATTGATTAGCGTTATTGATTTAATGTAACACACATTTGATGTAAACGTACCACTAAGGAAATCAAGCACCACAGGGACGATGTAATTAGGGCGCAATAGAACGTGAATTAGGGAAAAACAATATATAGAAAATATAAATCCAAAAAAAAAATCACAAGTTATTTGGTCTGGTATTACACAAAGAAAGCAAAGAATAAAAAAAAATATAGTCTAACTAGCTGATAAGCTCACCAATATCAAGTACATCGTCGATCCATGGCCCCGTTAGGTCCAGGTGCCACTCTTCCTCATCCCATACATGATGAGCAGGTGGTGGCATGTCTTCTTTTGGCGGAAGAGGCTCAGATCCAGTTATATTGGACCAACCAGGTCTTTCTGATCTCAACAACTAGAATATAATTGAATTGAATTGAATACAATGTAATATAATGTAATTTAATGCAATACAACAAAGTACAGTACAGTACGATATAGCATAGAATAGCATAGCATAGCATAGCATAGCATAGTACAGCACAGCCACACCACAATACAGTACAATAATGTTGTGTTTGTACATGTAAAGATAGCCACAGATAATTGTACCAATAATGATGATAATAATAGCATTATTAACAGCCAATCTTCCACATTTTCTTTTGTTTCTTTTTTCTTTATTATCATTATTGCTATTATAATTACCTGGCTAGTGAATCCACTCCCTGCCCACCAACGTTGATTTTCATATATAGACACTTCCACAATCGTGTTCTGAGGTGGCTTTGTTGACTTTAATTTGAGAAACACGTCGATCGCCGTCTGAAGCAATTCCAACACAAACAACCCAACTGCCTCTACAGAACTTCCGATCCAGGTTTTGTTCAGCAGGACAACCAATCCGACTACCAGGACAATCCATCGGAAAAAGAAGTAGAGGGCTACTGGAGTTAAAACTCCTCCAATCAGCAGCAGGACCACAAACGTAGTCAAGGTCATCGAGACGTGTTCAAGGTGATATGCAAGATTGTCGTAGATCCGAATACAGAACACCATTGACTGCTGCATACGCTCCAGATTAATGTAGTACTCTGGCGAGGTCTCGTCAAATCTAGGTAGTAGTACGTGAGACACCGCCTGTCCGCTCCTGACATCGGTTTGCTTGTACAGAATCCCAATTAACAACAATGGTGTCAATATCAACACCACAGGATAGAAGCCTATTTCCTCACACACCCAAAATAAATACAAAAATCAATATAAATGAGTATTTTTTTCTTTCATATATATATATATACAGATACACCAACACACAAGTATATCTATAAAAATATATAAAAATGTGTGTATGTGTTGTATTGTGCTATATTGGATCTTCCTCTTCCTTTTCCTTTTCCTCTTCCTCTTCTTCTTTCCTCTTTTTAATATAATATAAAATATAATATAATATATAATATATTGGTTAATTCTATAAGATTTTTGGGGGGTTTGGAACTCGACTCACAGGATACGGTAAAAAGGACGCAATTCAGAACCGACAAAATAGGCTGCTTCCATGCATAAATATCATGACATTGCTGACTCAAATTAAAGAACGCTCTTGACCTCGCTACCATGCGTGTGAATGCTTTCGCAGTCGTCTGTGGGTTCAGAACGACAACCTGGTGATCTCCTCCTTCTTTTTTGCTATCCAATAACACACCGTTTCCTGTAGCACCTGTAGTGACAATCGTATTCTGGACATGTTGCTTTAACACTTTTCGATATGTTTTGACAGGCACGGATTGTGTTCTAAAGACAGTATGTGGGCGTTGCGTAGGATTTTCAATACCTTGTTGATTATATTGTGCTTGTTGTTGTTGTTGTGTGGAGCCAGCTCCAGACGTGGGCGAGCGCATTGAACTCAGAATAGAGGAATCTAGATTGGTTGGTACGTCAATAGACTTTGGACGATCGTGTTCGAGACGTTTCAGGACAGATGACTTGCTGGATCCATCGTCCACAAGTAGTGGAGAGTGTGGGTTTGGGACAGTGAGAGGAGTACGTTGAACATCAGTTGAATGGCGTGGTGATGTGGGGTATTTTGAAATCGATTCTGCCTCTGAGTCGGTGACAGACAGCGAATCTGGACTGAAGCGACGTGAGGCTCTGCATTGAACTACCATCTCGCTACATTTCTCATGACAGCTATAATTGCACTCTTATTTTGTGTATAGTATATTTTATTTTATTTTTAGTTGGTGAATGGAATCAATGATATAAACTCTCTTTCTCTGTTTTATGTGTATTTTGTGTATGGTAGTAATATGGTACCTGTGCACTGGACACCTTGTCTGGCCAGTCCCCACAGTAACTTGCCGCAGTAGTCACAATAAACAAGGCCTTGGAAGGTGCTCGGCTTGAAAATATGGTATTTAGTAGGCGAGGGCATTGTAATGAAGCATTCACAACTTTGAGTGTATATTATGTGTGTGTATTGGTGTGTGAGTTAGGTGTGCGTGTGCGTGGGCGTATGAGTGGATAAATCTATATATAGCTGTATATATATATATATATATATATGTATGTATGTACGTATATGTATATACAAATGTGTGTATACAACTAACAATGTGTGTGTGTAAAGAGACAGTGAGAGAAGGGGGGGTAGTGAGGGGGTTGAAAGTGTTTAGTGCAAATACCACTTTGTTGTTAATTGAAAAAATAAAATAAAAAATAGAGAATAAACAGCGCGACTTTTGGAAAGAATAAAATAATGGTAAGCTAGAATCTGAACAGACACGTGAAAATATAGTAACAGTCTACTTGACAGAATAAAGAAATTAAATAAAATAAATAACAAAAAAATAGAGACCTTGTAAATTGTCTTGTACATCTGACAACTTCTCTTGTGTATTATATAAATATGGTATTGTTGTTATCATTGTCATGGTAACAAATGAAATTATTATTACTTATTTTTCCATACTTATATATTTAAAAAAAACTTACTTGTTAATTTTATTCATTCATTAATTAATTTTATAAAGATAATAATTAATTCTACTTATATTTCAAATATATAAATATAACAATTGAAAGCAAACAAAGGAATCAAATATTGAACATATTTTTGTTCTTTAGTATTTGTACCCCGGCCAAGGACCGTGTACTTATTGTATTCTTTTATTTTTGAATCTTATATTTATATAAAGTTTTGTTTTATTTTTATATATATATTATATATATATATAGTTCTTTGACATTTGTATGTACATATTAAATATCTTTTTTTTTCTATAAGTAAAAATAAAGAAATATCAAAGAACAAGGAGTAAATGAACAAAAAAAAGAAGAAGAATAAATAGGGTATACATATGTAAATAAAGCTAAATCACAAAATCAAATTTGGGGGAGATTCCTCTTTCTTATAAAGAAAATAAATAAGGAAGCGAGGGGTAAGGATGTAGGGGGAAAGGAGAAAGGGTGGACAAGGACAAGGACAAGGACAAGGACAAGGTAGGGAAATGTGGTGGCCCTTTAAGAAACAAATAGCAGAAAATAAAAATAAATAAAATAAAAAGTCAAAATAATCACCGTTATTTGTTCTTTTTGTTCTTTTCCTTCTTTTGGTTCTTTAAAATTTAACGAAAGGCTCCGACGGCTGTCACTGTCATGACAACAGATCCAAACAAGACCAGTACAACGGAAGAAATATCGAGCCACCAAACAGGGGCAATCAATTCCTTGGCACTTTCGGACTCAATCAAAGGTGATAGTTCGTCAACAGTTTGTTCGTCCTCAATCGATGACCCTTTATTTTTGGACAAGGCCTTGAGCCACTCGGGGCGGAAGATGATGATGTAAGAAGTGCCCGGGATAATATAAGCCAAGAACGACGACGCGATTCCACCGACCAGAGAATATACTTTACCCAGAGAGCGGATATTGATGCCAAGCGAAAGAAAGAAGGCAAACATAATCAGAGTGACAACGTGGTGCTGGAAGAACGTGGGCTGACGTGAGGCTGACTCGAACCCAAGAGTCTTCTGGATTGCGTCTCGAGCAGGGTAAAAAGCCATGGGGACGGTGAGGATCATGGAGACACCGAGTGCCAGGCGCCCAATATTGATTATATTGTCATCGGCTGGGAAATTGGCAAAGATGTTGGGGTTGACGTCCATGCCAAAACTGAGATATCCAATGGCGGCAAACATAATCGAGATAATGAAGCTCATCGCGGTAGACAGGAATGATGTGATGCTCCATGCGGACGTTGACTGGTTCTTCTGAGAGAGGAAATTGCTGAATCCGACCTGGGTACAAACAAATGCAAAGGTGATAATTCCCATCGCACCAAACGGATCCTGGCCAATGGTGAAAAGGGGAGCATCGTGTTGAGGCGCATAAGCAGGTGCACGAATTAGGACGGTTAGGATCATCACAGGAAGCAACAGGACCGAAAATGCTGACCAGGCTGCCAATGCTCCAATAGAGCGGAAGAGATTAAGGGGGTATACCTGTTTTTATGAAACACATGGTGGATTAACATTCTGTTCCTTAGCTTGAATTATCGTTTATATTTATATTTTTCATATATAAAATTTTTGCAATACAGACACTAGATATAGCACTCCTACTCCTACTCCCACTCCCAAACCAATAATAAAAATCCAGCTTCTTACCATAAGAATTGAAACGGCTACAGTAACAATCTGACGGTCGGCCAGAATGGGGTATTGAGGAAAGTACAAGCCAAGTAGGATGGGAATTGTGTCAGCTATCACTATATAGATGATCGGAATGTTAGATTTATGTAAACATAATAACCCACACCCGCATATAGATATAGATATATAAAATATTTGCAAAGAAAATATATATATATACTTACGGATAAAGTAACTCACACAGCTACCAGCAGATTGAGCAAACAACATGATATTCAACATGTGGTAACCGAATCGACCCATCGAATGCTCTGCCAGGGACGCAAAGGTATAGGCACCGATTCGTTTTCCAGACGGGACCAGGGAATACAGTGCCACGTAGGTCAGAATTCCCACAAAGACTGCCAGAGACAAACCGAATGTAAATCCAGATAACATGATGGCAAATGGAAGGCCAATTACACCTGCACCAACCGTGGCATTTACAATATTCAATGACACCTCAAACACACTGCGGGTACCATAGCCAGGTTTAGTTGATTGAAGTAGATCAAGCTGCTCTGCTGACAGGACAGCTGTCGGTACATCATCTTGACTGGCACGGTAGTTAGGTGATTCCATAAAGCGATTAATAAGCACACAAGAAGAATGAAAGAATGAATTAAATTTGATTAATGAATTAAAGAAAATAAATAGAAAAATAGAAAAAAAAATCACTTTTATTTAAACCATTGTCGGAGTTTTGGACCTGAATTTTATAAAGAGCTTGAACTCCAACTAAAGATTTTGATTTTTTTTTTTTTTTTTTTTTTTTTAACTTTTACCCTTGACCAAAAATAAATCTGACTCTAATTGATTTCAGTTGATTTCTTCAAATCACGCAATTTATTCATTTACATAGCAAAAATCCCACAAAAAAAAAGATCACCATACATAGTATTACCAAGTAAGATATATAATCTCCTTATGATTTTCTTCCTCTTCTTTATGTGTGTGTATATATCTATGTCTTTACAAGCTTAGTAATGTATGAGTTATATGGTATTCTTCCATTTAAAGATAAAATAAAAAGCATGTAAAACAACAGAATACAAAATAAAATTTAGATTTATACACAAACACACATATAAAGGAACTCGATGTGCCTAAGCCAGCCAGAATGTGTTGACCTAGGATGTGTCATACCAATCAAAATGCAAACCCCAAGATTCCCATGATCCAATACGAAGACAAATGGTAACACTCTGTCAACAATATTGATATCTCCAATATCTATATATATATATATATATATATAGATAGATAGTTTATTCTGATATTATTGGTCAAAAATACACTATAGAGCATAATTTTTTTTGGGTCAGCGATATCTACATATATCAATATTCATTATCTTTTAAATTATTACTATTGATTTAGTTTTGTAGGGAATCATAAATGCGTAAAGTTTATTTTATTTTTTTGGCTTTGTTTTGTTTAAAGTATGTATATATATATATATATAAAATGTATTTAGAATATTGAAGGTGGGAAGAATATAGACGGCATGATGTGTAAAAAGAAGAAAGAACGAAGGATGATGAACGACAAAATATAATAGAGTAGAGTAGAAGGTAATAATATTATAAGAATGTATGTATATATAAAATAGACAATAGAAAGTATATAAAAAAAAAGGAGGTTAGATAGTTTTAAGAGATTTAAAAGGAAAGATAAAGAAGTATGTGTAACAGCATATCCAGATGTTTAAAGAAGAATAAAAAATAAAGATAGAAAGGCATTAAAGTAAAATAATAAAAATAATAAAAATTATGTATAAATATAAATATTAAAAAAAGAAAAAAAAGGGGGTAGTTGGGAAAGGGTTCTCTCTTGGAAATCATTGGCAGATAAAATATATATAAAATAGAAAATAGAAAATTCATTGCGATGTCAAAGGCTTATTGGTACTGGCTTAAGTTGTTCAGATGGCATGAGTTAGACTGACTGGAACCTTGTCGTTGTGTATAATGTGGCATGTGGTGCTTTTGCTGATTTTGTTGCTGGGCTGCATGGTAGGTAGCCGCAGACGCAATGACTGGCAAAACTTCTACCGGAAGGTTGTGGAGCTGCATATTGATCGACTCAAAGATAGAGTACATTTCAGGAGATATCGGGGCGTGGGTGGGCAAAGAAGACACAGGAGAAATCGGGAGAGAAGGAGCGATCGATTGAATGTTGGGTTGAATGATGGGCATAGAGCATATGGATGGGTGAGACATGTAACCACCGCCTCCACTACTATTAACACCACCTCTACCTCCTATACCCCTTCCATCACCACCGCCATTACCACCACTTTCACCACATCCATTCCCACTGCCAGGAACAATAGGTAGAATGGACATCATCATCGAATCATCTGGGAAAGAAGCTGGCTGATGTGGACTGCTGCCATTACTTGCCATGTTCACCGGCATGCCAACCATAGAATACCCGCCGTAGGATGCCTTAGAATGGTCGTTTAAAGGAATCATAAGTGGTGAGGTGGCCAAATGACTGTGTGAAAATGTGGTAGCTGACGATGATGACGAGGCTGAATAGGACGAATTGCGTCTTTGGCGCTTGTTCTTGGTAAGCTGGTCAGACTGGAAGGTGATACCATTGTTATAGTGTCCAAGCCCAATTTCGGTAGAAGACGAGCCGGGTGCAGCAGGGGAACTCTGTCCCATTGCTCTATCCATTGGCACACCGTACACAGACATTCGTCGGTCCGGCTCAGTTGGTCTCGATGGTATTGGTCCAGGCGGTGTACCTACAACTGCTTCATCGGGTAGATCCATTACATCCGGGGACTCGGCTCTCTGTTTCCTGAAATGATTTTCGTGGTTGTTGTTGCTATTATTGTTGTTGCTTGGAGTATTGTGGGTATTGTGGGTGGGTGAAAGGTTGGTGTTGTTGCTGTTATTTTTGGTGCTGTTATTGCTGTTAGTAATGTCGTGGTTGGCACTGGTGTGAGTTGTGCTATTGTTTGTAGTATTTGTTCCGGATACAGTTGTACTTCCACGATTACGCTTCTTAATCACGTCTGTCTTGAGACTCAGCGGACGTACAACACCATGCAACTTGAAGAACAGACCACATGCATTGCATAGAGGTTGTCCTTTCGGGTTACGTCGCCAGAGCGGTGTAGAAGTCGTCTTACAGTTACTGCAAACCAGTTTGGACTGCATCTTTACTGTCATCTTTTGGCTCATGCGTGTACATGGCGTTGACTGAGAATGGGCTCGAGATATCAGCGACTTTTTTGGCTTTGTACCTCCTTCACCGATACTCTGGGATTCTTTGGGACTAGAAAAGTCATACTGCTCATATAAAGGGTCCAGGGACGGAGAAAGGATCGCTGCGTGAGGTTGTGGAAATCTGCGACTATCGCTGTCACTTGGACCAAACGCAGGCGGAGACACCGGTGATGAAGCCGACGACATGTCATTGGAGATATGAATGGCCTGTAACTGCAACAAGTGGTTCAGATCATAAGAATTTGGCTGCTGCTGCTGCAAATGGTGCTGATTCTGCTGCTGCTGCTGCTGTTGCTGTTGCTGTTGCTGTTGCTGTTGCTGTTGCTGTTGCTGTTGCTGTTGCTGTTGCTGTTGCTGTTGCTGTTGCTGTTGCTGTTGCTGTTGCTGTTGCTGTTGCTGTTGCTGTTGCTGTTGCTGTTGCTGTTGCTGTTGCTGTTGCTGTTGCTGTTGCTGTTGCTGTTGCTGTTGCTGTTGCTGTTGCTGTTGCTGTTGCTGGTGGTGGTGGTATTGAGATTGTGGTTGCGGATTCTGTTGTGGAGGTTGCGAATGTGGTTGCGGTTGTTGCTGACTTTGGTGATTAGACTCATAGGTAGGAGATTCGACTATCTGTGGAGATGACTGTGACTGTGTATAGTACATCGAAAAGATGTCTTCAAAACTTAGACTACCGGCATTGACCGATGGCTGATATCGAGACAATCGCTGAGCATCGCTTATAGCATCAGGTGTGGTGGCAGAGTGAATAATTGGATATGGAGGACGCTGATGAAGTTGGTGGTGGTGGTGGTGCGAAGAACTCGATGCAGAAGATGAAGATCCACTAGCACTTCTGAGTTGAGTAACCGGACGATGAGAATGGCTACGGAATGGGATTGGACAACCAGAGGTTGGGTAGATATTGCGGAGAGAATTGTTTTGCCAGGCAGCAGATACGGCCAAAAGAGACAGTTCATCGTCTTCGTGCATATCCTTGTCTTGGATGCCTATGTTTTCTCTTGTATCCATAGGTGAATACTGATATATGTAGTCGGAGACAGCCATGTGTATCATATTACAAAATTAAATATTTAAATAAATTAATATGTAATAGATAAAGAAGGAAGGAAAGAAGTGAAAATAGAAAAGAAATAAATAAATAAAAATAAAGAAAGAAAGAGAGAAAAAGAGAGAGAGAGAGAGAGGAAGAGGAATAGGAAGAGGAAATGAAGAATAAGTGAAAGAGATTAAAAGATTAGAATTGAAAAGAAGGGGGGTGTGGAATTATGGTTAGGAGTCAAAGGTTTGATTGGATCGTAATTCTCTTTATCCTTACCGTGGAATAACTCGCGTCTTGAGTAATTGATAGGTTATCTTGAACTGACCCAGTCTTATCGGATCCAGAGTCTTGGTCTTCAAAGGCGCTTTGGACATCCTGCATTTGGCATACTTCCTGCGGCTCACTAAACGCGCAACCAGATAGAGGATGATTATGATGATTATTTTGGGCGATAGATAATTTCTGTGGTTGTGCTTGTGGTTGTGTTTGTGGTAGTAGTGGTGGTAGGAGTGGTTGGACTAGGTGTAGCTGCTGTGGCTGTTTCGCACTAGTAAAATTTGGAGGACTGTGGCTGTTATCTTTCGGTCGGTCGAGCGTGTCCACTACAGCCCCAGAAGGATGTTTGTCAGACGCGTGGGGGCTGGTGTCCGGGTTAGTTCCGGTTGCTTTGGATTTTTTGATGAGTGACATTGCCATCATTCGCCATGTCAAGTTCTCCATTCTGACACCGTTCGGTAGACCGTCTTTCGCTTTGGTGTACATACGCCAGACATGACTTTGAAGAGGGTCATTTTTTTCTTTTTCTTTTTCGAGAGCTTCGGGAGTAGGTTTTGCTGAGGGTGGTTTAGGCGGGAAGAGGGTATCTGCTAAAAGTTTCTGGACAACTGCTGCTTGTTTCATGATTTTCTCTGAGGAGTCCGAATTTGGTGACATGGCTGTAGGAGAGTCAAGATGGGCCGATCATAAAAAGGTTGGGATAAAATATAATAGTAATAGTAATAGTAATAGTAGTAAATTAAAATTAAAATAATAAATGAAATGTCGAAATGATAGTTGAAGGGCGACAACCAGAGAAGCTTCGCTGACTGTTTGTTGAGCTTTTGTGCGTATGATTCGTATAATTATTATTTTGGTATTTTTGGTATTGGGATGTCAGAACAATTAGGTAAAGATAAAGGAAAGATAGAAAAAGGAATGATGTATGCGTATAATTAAAGTACTTTAGCACGATCGAGCATACTGTACAACTAAGAAAACAGGGCACTCGTTCTCTCACAACTTTTTGGCTGACCCATCCAAGATATCGTTCACCTTCCGGTTTTGTGTTCTGCCATGCTAGTTATTGCATGTGACTGGTCCTCTCTTTTTTTTTTATTATATATTTATTTTTATTTATTTATTTACTGTGCGTAACCTTACTGGCTCGTCTCCTGCTTCATCTAGCCTTTGACAAATGATTTATACGGATTATAGAAAGGTGATTGTTACAAGGAGTACAAATACAAGATTGCTGTGCAAATAACAACTCCATTACAAATTTTGATAAAGAAGTTGATTTTAACTTGTGGATTCAAATTCTAATTCTCATTAATCCCATTCCCGCTTTCTTAAGCCGACTCATCCGTTACAATGGTTCATAAACTAAAGAGAGAGAGAGAGAGAGAGAGTGCGTGCGTGCGTGTGCGTGTGTGTTTGTGTGGTGTATTTTATTTTATTTATGTAGACACACACATTAACTCACTCAACCCCACTCACTCATGCTCACATTCACTAATTCATTTAATCACTATATATATATATATAACCCGGCCATTTCCGATAAACTGAGAGTTTGGATAGACAAAATAGAATCACACTTGATGTACACATCTCTTATCCTTGTATCAAATATCCCCCCTTTTTTCTACTCACTTTTTATTTTATCCTATTTTATCAGATTTATGTATAAATATTCATAAAAAAAAAGCCCAACAAATATTTGTTGAATTACTGTCTAGAACAAGACAGCATACACACAACAACAAAGACTACCTGATAATTAACAGCAATTTGAAAACCCATTGACCAAATAGATAGTTGTAATGGTATTATTAAAGAAAAAAAAAAGTCCTGCTGAATAAATGTCAATGCGGTGTACACAATATGTATCTACACAATTATAAGAATATATATAAATATATAAATAGAATGCTATTATGTCAATATTCAAATGGCAAGCAATTTCGAGGCATGTTTGCTAGTTATTCAATATAAGAATAAGAATTACAAGTAAAAAAAAAGATTGTGTCTGAAATCCATTTAGTTTCTATGTCTCTTACCTTTCTTTATTTTATTCTTGTTTGTTTTCTTTTTTTTGTCACTCTTCAAGATTCATGGGCTTATCTGGTTGCGCAGAGCATTTTAAGGTTTGGATTTTGTTATCTATACTAATACCATAAAAGGTAAACGTAATTCTCCGAGAACCCTATTCGATATTTCCAGGGCTTTGGTATTTGTTGACATGTGTCCTCACTCCACTCAGTGATTAAGTGAAATTTTTGCCCTAAAACATAAATAACATAAATTATACTTAATTATTTTTCATTGCCTCTGCTTGGTCAGATAAGTAGCACTCTTTTTCTTTTCTTTTAAAAGATATATTATATACACATTGAATACTCAACCAATAGATTCAACTGATTCAATAGGAAAGAATGCACGGTGCATGTTTGATTAGAAGCACTAAAAGAAGAAGAAGAAGAAAAAAGAAAAAAAAATTGTAACCATGGTAATATGAATCACTTTTTATTTATTTATCTAAAAATCGATTAGTTGCTAGGCAACAACCACAACCATAACCATAGCAACAACAAAATACTAATTATTATTATTATTATAATAGTAAAACATTTTGTTTCTTATTTTATCTTTATCTTTATCTTTATTTTTACTTTATTTTTTTATTATTATTCTTAAACCGAATCAAACACATATATATAAGCTATTGTCATGGTGATCGTCGTATATGATTTGTGTCTAGTTGTTTCAAATAATAATAAGAAATCATGTTATTAAAAAAGAGGAAGATGTAATACAAGCTTGATTTACTTACCACAACCCCTCCTCTTTTCTTTCTTTTTACAGGCACACATATGTATGTGTTTATGTACAAGATAGAATAAAAATAAAAAGAAAGGCGTTATTATCATTATCATTATCATTATTACTCTTGTAGAATGTTGTTCTCTGTTATTTCTTTAATAGGGAAACTAAATAAAGACACAATGAAGGACAAGCTACTGTCAATTAACGCTTACATTTCATGTGTTATTCAATACAAACCCAATAAAGGCTATATATTGAACCATGCAGATACAATCTTGGATATGTCAAACCTTGTCCTCTCAAGAGATAGGAAACCTCGATATCTATAGACGTTTTTAGGCATAATAAATAAATAAATAAATAAATAAAAGTATCAATTGAATCCATTTGATTTATTAACATAAAAAAAAACAAGTCTTCTTTCATTCTGTCTTTATGTGTTTTGTGTATCTATTCTACTATGATCGATAGGTTGCGGATCTTAATTCCCTATTTTACACCGTCTTTGTGGCTCCTAGATAAGAAACTTTGTCTCACATTCTTATAATATTATTATGATGTACAGCTTACCAAGTTATGTGTGGATTCTATTTCTAGATCAAATTATTGAATTATTTCCAGAGACAGTAGACCAAATAAAAAAAAAGTAATTTCATTATTGTAAGATTTCAATTCTTCAAAAACATATACAATATACAGACATAAATCTGTAAGCACTCATATGTATGTATATATGTATGTATGCACGCACGCATGTATTTATTTATTTATGTACATATATGTAGGTAAAGGCCTTGAATGATTTTTTGATATGTCTAATTCGGTCATTCCAACTCTTCCGTTCGTACTACTTTGGGTCATTTTTTAGATAACGAAAAGGTTGAGAGCTTGGAGTCAGTGTCAGGAGACAAATTAGGGTTAACACGATTTTTTTTTTAGAAAAAAAATATCTTTATTGTGCCATTCCATTCATATATATTACTTTGCTATGGGAATACTAAGATGTCAAAATGTGGTTTATATATATATATATATGAATTCCACGAGGGATTAAAGCGACCTTTGCTCTAGCCAATATGACCAGTAAGTTTATTTATCTGTGTCAAGGTGAGTTTAGTCGTTTTGGCTTTCCATTTTGTTTTTGTTTTTGTTTTTTTTTAATTGCGTATCTCGAGGTGAGACGTGCCTTATTTAGTCTCTAAAGATAGATTAGGACAGTTTGAAGAGATGTTATCTCTACCTACCTGAAAAAAGTACAACCGACTAGGCCAAAAATATTTGACGCCAAGAAAAAAAAAAGTCAAAAATAAAGAAAGAAAGATATACTACAGTACGTGTCAAGATCTTCCTAGCCATGTGCTAAGTGAGATATAGGTTGAAAATCTGTATATCTATATATCTATATATCTATATCCATATACCTATACACATTTTTGCAGGGGGGAAAAACATAAAATAAAAACAAATTACGCCTCTTTCCCTGATATTGCATTAAGAATAACTGATTTCCGCCTTGCGCGTCATTTTATTATTAGTTTCTGTGGGCGCAAAATAAAACACACACAAAAAAGAAAGTGATTCATTAGTATTCCTTATTACACTTAAAAGCTCTTTGAGCATCCTTTAATTCTTAGTTTGGCCAAGTGTACAACTCTGTCTTATTTTAGAAAGCGCTTGTTGACATAATACATACTAAAATACGAGTAATAGTAATAGTAAAAAAATAATAAAAAGAAAAGTAATAACCAAGGTTCTACCCAGCAACATTGAAAACCTAGCCGATTAGACTACAAGGCTAATCGAACTTGTTAAACTAGTCTGGGATTCTTTAAATTAGCATATAAAATATTAAGCAATGTATTAAGTTGAATTCGATGGCTCGTGAATATTTTGTCCTTGTCTCCTCTTTCTCTCTGTCTTATACATTTTTATTTTCACTTTCTAAGACGCTGTTAATTTTGTCCTTATCTCGAGTAATATTGTATTTAATGTCCGTTTATCTTTCTCCACATATTTAGCCCTGTTGATATTGCTTCTTTTGCACATTAACTTACGAGTCATTCCACAACACGCGGTTAAAGCACATGAATATCCAAAAAAAAAAGACAAAAACCTATCAAATATCAACAATTGAAAACAACAATAATAATATCGAAATATTAAGAGCCGAGACTTTTATTCGGAAGAAACCCATTTCTGTATTCTTGTAACTCATCGATAAGCAAATATGCTTTTATACATATGTATATAGACACTTGCTTATAATACAAAGGCATCGACAAATAAAAAAAAGACATTCACCATAAAAACTCGCTCTTTCGTTCGCTTTTTTGCTCTCTCTGCCATACATTTCAATGAATAACTTTCTATTTATCAATCAATCAATCATTTATATAGTAGGATGAAATGAAACACATTTTCGTTTTTTTTTTAATTTCTTAAAGTGCATAAGTGTGACTGGTTTTGATAACCTTCACACTCTATGTTTGCTTCAACTAATTTTATTTTCATTTATTTTATTAATAGAAAAAAAAGTTATCAGAAAACAGCTCCTTCCATGTCATGCCCTGGAATAGAGACAGACGAGATCATCAACTGCTGAAAGTAAATTCCGAAGAAGAAACAATCAACACACTTCACTCTTTAGAAGGTCTGCTAGTATTCATCTACTAACTTGAATATTGTGTCTAGTTTGAAAAACGTAGAACGGTTATGTACTGCATACAGATCCTGTAGAGTACGGTCACTAAAGAAAAAATAGGTTTGCAGTTTAGAGAGGGTTTTTATAGTTTTTTTTTGAAGTTTTTTTTTATATATTTAAAACTACGCTACTTTAAGTGAGAATTATACACTCAGATCCTTTGACGTTTAATTGTACTTTTGGTTGGTCGGATTAATTTTTTTTAAAAGACATCTTTAGTTAATGATTATAATAGTTCATTAATTTATGTATCTATAAAAAATTATTATAAAGTCTAAAGTCTAAAGTATAAATTATACATATATATATATATACATATATAGAAGTAATATAAAAATATTAGATTTATAGTGCTCGCCAGTATATGCGGTTAAATATCAGGTTAATTTAACCAGATAATAGGGACCTTGGGCACATCATATGAAATTTATTTAGACGGAGATTGTATTCTTAAAAAGAAATAGCGCGTTTCAAAATCGCATTTCTCTATTTGATATAAAAACAGCATATGAATTTTATTAGCCAATAATATCTCATTATTTTTGGTGCTAAACAGCGATCCCAGGGAGACGACATTCCGGTCTAACCGAACTAATTGACTGGCTACTTTTTCGGGGCCAGGTGTCTTTAAATCCTTCAGGGCAAAATGGTGTGTCCTGAAATTAACACAATATATTCATTTTACGTATTAGCTTACTACTTTGTCCCCACACTTTGTGTGTTCATCAATCTCTAACCAGACACCTACCTATTCTTCTTTTAGGGAGTACAGTCTTTTTTTTGGGAAATTTAATAACAAGCTGTTGTCTTATACAAAAAACAAATCCAGTATATTCAATTGGTAGCCCTACATTTAGACTTGAACATAAATACATTATATCAATAATAGCGAGTTGTCATTAAATTGTGACGCAGTCCTGTGGGATATTTTACTATTTATTAGCCTTCTTATGTGCATGATGTCTTTCTCTTTCTTTCATCTACCTATATTATTAGAGTTTTAAAGCACCAACAGGTAAGCGATCCACACCCACCCTTTTATCTTAACTCTTTCAAAGCACAAAAGAAAATCTTGATACAAGTATTCTGTATCCTTAGGGACCGGATATAATAATTCCATGCCGGAAACAAGGCCACAATTTGTGGTCCAATACAATCAAAATGGCGTGCCCCACCAGGAACTGTTGTCCCTCTAAACTTTGCTTTTAAACATAGAAGATGAATACCTTCCTGAATCAACTGAATGGCCAAATGGCATGCATTCTGACGTTGTTTTCGTGCCAAAATCGATAGGTTCTAGTCTCCCACATATCATTATAGAGTTTTAGCAAGTTGTCAACTAAAAATTTATGAAACGCACGGTTCGGTATTGCCTCTAGGAATACAACAGATTTAAAGTCGAGCCAATTCTCTTGGTTATATGTATCAACTTGATTTGCGTTACTGCGAGAAATTGCTTAGAAAACTGCGATGATTTGCCTTGTTATGCATCACCATGCGATTATTGAGTGAATCGTTGCTATATTGTTGACGGAAGTAGCATAAAACACGATACTGTCAGCGATTCAGATCTGGATTCAAATATAAAAACATTTGCTGCTTATTGCTTATTTCTGACCACCCAAGCTACACCAATCGAGCTAGTTTTACAAAAAATGCGATAATGGAAATATTATATCGTATTTCTCAAAATGGATAAGCAAAAATTCTCGGAAAAGATGTAAGTGTATTAGAAGAGTTAAAGAACTTGTGTGATACTGCAAAAAATGCGAAAAGGTCCTCACTATGTTGACAGATTTAAGTCTACTCAGAAACGCAATTAAAGAGTATGCTTCACAGTCCTTATACAGCATCCAACAAAAAAAGAAAATTTGACAAGGTTACCAGCAAGTATTACCTTTTTGAGGACCGAGATTTGGACAAACCTGTTAAAGTAGAAGATTGATTTGACGAGTATATGGCCTTTGTAAAAGTTCTTAGAAAAGAAAAAGCCAAAAGAAGGTATTAAGATGGGCTGGAAGCTCTGGTTGAAGAAAGGAAAGAAGAGCTTTAATTGGAAGTGTAAAAACGGAGAAAGCCTTATAGTTCAATTATCTAAATATAAAAATAGATAAATTTCTAGGACATAACTCTCGTTTCTCATATTTTATAACTATTATTTCTTATTTGTTGCATATACTTTAATAAAGAAAGAAACTAACAGCAGTTGATGTGGACAGGCTAAAAGTTCAAAAAAAATACACCGACAAGGGACGTAAACCGAACTCTGGCTCACATTTGGGAGCCTTGGACCTGAAACATGAAACCGCACACTCTTTCCGGAAATTATTGGTGCGCCAAATTTATTTTCTGTTCGTGCACAAAATCGATTTTTATTTTTGCACAAAAAATTTCAGGAAGAATATATATAGATGTATTGCCTATGATAATGGCTTTAGTGAGGGGAGTGAGGTCAATAGGATCCGGCGTAAAAATACCTGTCGATTGAGCCTGGCTCTCCATAATGTGACTAAACCATGGCGTATACTGGATAGTTCCTGTAGAAATCGTCTTTTGGTAGCGCTTTATTTTGTTTCTTCCACGTCCTCCAATTATTCGTTCGTCTTGGGGGTAAAAAAACCATCCTGAGAGAGAATGTATTCTCGATAAAAAGATTGATGAGGTTAACAGAAGCCACCATAGTTATATCGGAATGTTGTCATGTTAAGGCACGAGGGAAGCGAGTGGGCAGAAGCCCATAGCAGTGCTCAGAGTGGAGACTGGCAGGAGCTTACTGGATCGGAAAAAAGCAGGGAGTCTGGGGCGGGTGGGTATTGAAGGTGCGTAGTTAGCATAAGCTGGAGGTAAGGTGTGAGGAAGGATATATTGATCCGCCGACGTGGGTGTAAAAGAGGATTGATGCATCGTAGCTGGAGCCCCAATTGCTGAGACTGTAGATAAAGCAGGCCCTAACCTCCATTGCCTTTGGACAAACATAGAATGGCCCAGCCATTTCTACGGAATCTCAAGGCTAGGTAAGCACAACAGTGTTTCTTCATAGTGGTGAAGAATTTCTCATCGGTTGGAGGGACGTGCAGGACGTGCCAGAGTGAGCTGAGAATCAATGAGCTGAGCACTAAACTCTTTTCCCTAACAGAGAGATGTCTCTGGACTAGGGATTGTGTATGCCATTAGATCTTGTTAAGTATTTCTTGCCGGAGAATGTCAAGCTGGCACGGATAGGAGTGTAGTAGGAAACCGAGATACCGAATTGCAGTAGCCGATTTCATATCATGAAGGCATGTAATCTAAGCGTCGTTAAAAACAGGATCCCAGTCAGGGACAAATATCCCAGACAAAGCTATGGCAACTGTCTTGACTATGTTGATTTTTGCGTTGGAAGCCTGTAAAAAGGTGGCTAAGATATGTAGTATAAGACTTGGGCCATGAGGAGCAGAGAGGTACACCAATAGGTCGTCTGTACAAGCCAGTACCTTGAAAGGTGGAGCCAAAGTCCCTAATATAGTAGAAAAGCAAACCAAACTAGCTGAGTGACAATCGGGATTTGACGTGACGCATTAAAATTATCTGGTTGAATTGACCTGATATTTAACCGCGTACGCTGGGAAGCACCATTATGCTGTATATATTAGAAGAAAGAAAATTATTTTGGATTTAAAAGCTGCATGTAGTAGTAGTAGTAGTAGTAGTAGTACAAATATGGCCACCAAAGAAAAAGATAACCAAGCAAAGCAATATAAATTTTCCTTAAAAAATATCTATTGTCACCTGCAATTTTTTCAATTGCGTACCAAAGTAATCAATTGAATTCTAATACTACAAATTCGTTTAGATTTATTCTACACAATTTAGATCAAGTGTCTACTATGTAAAATATATGCAGATATATGTATAGCGCGTAGCATGTAATGTGTAGTGTATTTTTTTCCTAGTTGATGTGAAGCATGAACTCCGATTCCAAATTTGGGTCACGCAAAAGCAGCATCATTCCCCGGTCAAGACTATAGCAAGAAACATCCTCTTCTATCACCTTTAGATAGCCATCCATCCTTTATCAAAATGGTAATTAAACCATATCCAAGCACACATCCGCGCCAATCTCACCAAAAACCATGCCAATCCATTTTTACTTATCATCTATGCGTGCTTTATTATTGTTATTTTTGAATATTCTCATTAATTCAGGCCAAGCGTACTAAGAAAGGTATATAAATTAATAATATACAGTTATTACTATTATTTGAAAAATAAAAGGGCAAATCATTATGGATTCCAAATTATTGACATGAATTTCTTCATTTCTTTAAATTCACTAATATAGTCGGAATCACCGGAAAGTACGGTACCCGTTATGGTGCCTCCCTCAGAAAGCAGGTGAAGAAGATGGAAATCACCCAGCACGCCAAGTACACCTGTACTTTCTGCGGTAAGGACGCTGTCAAGCGTACTGCTGTTGGTATCTGGAAGTGCAAGGGCTGCAAGAAGACCATGGCCGGTGGTGCTTACACCGTTTCGTAAGTTATTCTCTTAAATATAAAATATAAAGTTTTATTCTTTTCACTCTTATTAATATTATTTACTTATATACACATTTTTTTTAAAAAAATATATATAGCACCACTGCTGCTGCCACTGTTAGATCCACTGTCCGTCGTCTCCGTGAGTTGGCCGAAATCTAAAAAGTTTCAACGCAAAAAATACACCAACACCAACACCAACACGCGTACCAGCACCAGCACCAGCACCAACAACAATATCAACCTCACCATCACAAACAATCGTTATACATTTAAGTTTTGGACATCTCAGTTGTGCGTTAAAACAAAAATGGAAATTTTCCAAAATAAAGAAAAAAACACAATTAAAACATAAGCATTTGGTAAAAGAAAAATGTTACTTGTATATTATAAGGCAGTGAAAAAAAAGTAGGACCAATTGGTTCTTGTTTTTCTCTGGTAAACTGGATTGATGGTTTGAGAAAAGGTGACTTTTATGTGTGTATGTATATCTTTGTGTGTACATTATGTCAACTATACTTTTACATAAAGATTTATTTATTCTTTTTTTTTTTAAAAAAAAACAGTTGCACCATGAACTAATGGGTGAAATTACTTATACGGATTCAGATTGTTTTGCAGGAATAAAGAGCACCTTGCTTTTTGGACCAACTTCGGCATAGTACGACACTTCACCTTGTGTAGACTTTTGAGAGGCATATCCGACATTTGATTTCTTGATTTGGTTGATCTTTGCAGTTTGTTCTGGTGGAGAAGGGAATACGGCAGACTGTTCAAACAATTGAACGGCAGAATCGTTCATTCCAGCCAATGCATTCATTCTATAAAAGAGGAAGAAAAGCCGGTAGAAATATAGTATTAGTATCAGAGACAGAAAAGGCGGAATTCAATCACGACAGTACAGTACAGTACAGTTTAGTAACCTACAATCGAGATTTTTCGAAGCGAGGCTCAACTCTTGAGGAGAGGTAGAAATCTCCAGGACCCTTGAGACGTACGAAATCCTTATAAAGAAATTGGGAAAATTGCTTTGAGCCACGAACCAACTTTGATCACTGTAAATTCAAATGACTTACAGGTGCACCAAGAATGTAGTTTCGCAATGTCTTTGAGACACTGTTGATGTACTGAAGTTTTGTCTGGAGGGAGGGGCTATCGACGACATGTCTCACAAAGGCGTACTTTCTCAAGGGTGATCTTGGGGAAGGTACGATGGGATTGGCAGGATGAAGCTTAGTGGGATTAGTACGACGATCCCACATAATGAGATTTCTGCAATTTAATATATATGTATAATCAATTGATTAATGTATAAATAAGTCGTTAGTATTCACAACATGTTTGTGGACATATTACTATCTCTTTACCTAGGATTGGCCAAGTACTCTTCACCAGCACCAAGAGAGAAACGATACAGGCCTCCATAATGAGATATCGCAATTGTACCTGGACCAGTGACAGTATTGACGATCTTGTTGACAAGTCCCTACAGGATAACCACCAGAGCTTTTAGTTTCTCCGTCTGCTTTACTATATCTCCTACTGATAATAGAAATCCACAACTTACGGTATCTCTTCCTTTGACACCTTCTAATCCAAGTTCAAGCGTGACTTTCTCGGTCTTTGCGAGAAAGGCATCTCTACGGAGAATATGCTTTCCACTTCCCTTGAGTTCGATCACAGCAATTTCACCCATACGTTGAGGAGACAGCAAGATATCTCCAGCAGAATGTCTAGTGTAGAACTACTCCCCTCAACCAAAATAATAATAAGATATTGTAAACCCATCAAGAAAACATTTTTCCCTTTCGTATTTTTGTTTTGTTTTAAATCAATATTCTTTCTTTCATCATTACTTTTTGGTGGAAAACGGGGCTTCCGATCAATGATTTGCTTGCTGCATTCAGGACATTACCATCCAAAGTCAATTTGGATGTAATCTAAGAGAGTAAAGTAGGGTTTGAAAAGTATAAGCGGCATAATTCTTTAGCGTACACACACAGTTGGGGGGTTATTACCTTGCTAGATGATCCAATTGCACTCCCGGTAGCTGCTGTAATCTCAGTATCTGGAGGCAGCTAGTACAGACACAGATTGATCTTATTAATTTCTCATAAGATATTTTATATTGAAATACAAGTAAAATCTACCTTGATCAACAGAGCAGATCCTGAGAATCAAACGACAGGGTAAATAATTTGATAAGCTTTCATTATTTGTTTTTTTTTTCACGTGGGTAAGGTACATGATGTGACTTACCCACACCGGAAGATACCACTTCAAAGGTAGGTTCTGTACTGTCAATACCCAGGGCTTCTGCGAGTGTTTTTGCAAAATAGAAAATAATAATAATAATAATAATAATAATAATAATAATAATAATAATAATAATAATAATAAAGTGAGACAAGGTGTTGGCTACCAATATATAGAAAGTAAAGATAGAAATGATAGGCTGTTATTACTATTAAATTGCTAACTTACCTGGACCAACCGAGGATATCGCACTGGACACGTTGGGAGTGCTGGAGTACTGAAACGATTTCAAAGAGCGGTCGACAGTGGGTGCTTTACCAAACAAGTTTTGAGAAGAGTTCTCATTGAAGGCAAGGGCAACATAAGTACGGGGTGTAGTGGCCTGTACGCGCTTAAGGACTGTCTTTGCCGAGAAAGATGAGAGGGAAGAAAGGCGCGGATGCATTGTGGTGATGAATGTGCCTTTCTTTTAATAAATTTATTATTATTATTATTTTGTGTGTCCAAAAGTGGAGGTAGTGATTTTTTTTTCTTTAAATATATTTTATATATAAATATATAAAATATTTAATATATATATTAGATAATTATAATTATATATATATGTGTGTGTGTGTATGTGTGTGTTGAGTAGAAGCTCAGGACCACACAATTTAAGAAATAGGTGAATAGGTGTAGGTGGAGGGGGTAATAAGCTAAGCCCCGCAAAACGTACGGCATCTGAAGCCAAAACAATAATAATCATAATCATAATATAAATAAATATATAATATATCTGTGTGCGCGAGAGTGAGTGCGTGAGTGTATATATATAAATAAATAAATAAATAAAAAACGCCAGTCTGTTCACTGCTTGGTCGACCTGTCTCTATTTGGCCAAACCTATTCCAAAGACCGACTGCCCAAGCTACGTTTAGGCTGCGGTTTGTTCTAGTTTGCTGTTTGATGGTAAAAAGAAAAGAAAAGAGAGAAAGAGAAAGAATCCAACAAGAAGAATCCAAAAAAGAATAATGGTTGACCTCCTGCAAATACACATGTATACAATAAATCCTAAACTACTCCATTCCAGTCGTCTCTTAGCTCAAGTCAACAACAGAAGTTGAGCCAACTTATTGAGTTTACTCGTCTAAGGTGAGAACGTCCTCTAAACTTCATTTTTTTTTGTTTCAACAAGTCATCTCAACGTGTTTACTACCATTGCAATTTTACTTATCATCATTTCTTATTTTCTTTAGTGAGAACGATGCCCGTAGACTCTTAATGATCTCAAACTGGGACATCAATACTGCAATTGACAATTTTTACCAAAATCCTCGCATCAAACATGAACCTCAGAGAACAGACTTTAACCCAAGACTAGCCCAAAAGATGTTTGATAAATATCAAGGTAAACTTTCGTATTTCTTCATTTTTTTTGGATGAAAAATATATGTATATACTCCTTTGACCAACTTTTTTTTTTAATTCTTTCAATATATATATATATATGTGTATCTAGATCCTGAAAAGCGTGACAAGATCACAGTTGAAGGATGTATGCTGTTATGTGAAGATCTGGGTATTGAACCTACTGCTCTTGAATTCCTCTTGATTTCCCATCAACTCAACTCAAAAATGATGGGAGAGTTTACCCGCCAAGAATTTGTTGAAGGCTGCACAAAGCTTCAATGTGATACACCCCAGAAATTAAAGAATATCATCCCATCCCTGCGAAACAATCTTTCAGATGATGCCAGCTTTAGAGAGATCTATAGCTATGCCTTTGTGTTTGGCCGTCAGTTTCAGCAAAAGAGTCTTTGTAAGTGATAAAATATTGAAGGGATGTAAATGCAAGAAAGAAAAAAGAAAACTTAAGAACTATTGCTGACTTAAACTCTTTCTTCTATGTTTGCGTCTGTACACAATATTACAGCTCTCGAAGCTGCAGTGGAACTATGGAGACTGTTGCTGACCGGTAGATTTAGTATGTTGGACCAGTGGATTCAGTTTTTAGAGGCAAGTGTGTTTTTAGCTTAACCATTTGATTTGGTTTTATTTGGTTTCCTTTCTTTCTCTCTTTATCTAAACTCTTTTATATATATATTGTATTTACATACAACAGGAAAAGCACGGAAAAGCCATTTCGCGTGATACTTGGAATCTTGTGAGTTGGATATTTGGGCATTATTTTATGCACTTCGTAGTATCATGTTCCTGCAAATTTTGGCGAAACTAATTGAAGCGGCATTTCCGTTTATTTTTAGTTTTTCGAATTTGCTAGCCAAAAGGATCTTGACTTGTCCAAGCACGACGCGGAAGGTGCATGGCCTATCTTGATTGATGAGGTATAGTTGCAAGGGTTACAATGTGTGTCTTTTATTTCAACGTATAACTAAAACCAAGAGGGCTTTCATTGTTTTTACTTTCTTTTTTCTTTTACACTTATAGTTTGTAGAATATTTGAAACAATAAGATGTCACTATCCATTAATATTCCATCATATTTTCCTTCTCCTTCTTTTCCTTCTACCTCTACCTATATCTATACGCTGCTGTTCAAATATTCATGTATCTGTTTCTATCTCGCTTCTATCGATGTATCAATCCTTATTTACCATTTTTTTGAACTTGTGATTATTGATTTCAGGGTTACAAATCCACATATCAAACAGCTGTTCCTTCATTAAGAAGTAGAGTATTAACAGTCACACTATAAAGTCAAAAGCGGGATCAAAATAAGTGGCTTAGTTTTGGCCAGGGTACAACCTGCTCCCATCAAAACACATTCTATACTCTTATTATCTCCCCGCTCTTCACCACTCTATCCTAAATCGCCATGGGTCTCTCTGATTTCTTGTCCAGCCTTATGCCTACTGTCTACGCCGAAGAGGTGGAAGAGGTCGTTGAAGAGGTCGAAGCTGAGCCTGTTGAAGTTGTCGAGGAAGAAGAAGAGGAAGAAGAGGAGCCCGAAGACCCCAAGGAAGCCATTATGGAGGGTAATTACTATTCTTTTTCTTTTTTAATTTCTCTTTATTACTTTTAAACATTCCGAGAGAAACTTATCTAATACATATATGCATTTGTTTATTTGTTTTTTTATTTATTTTTATTTTTAAAGAATGTGCCCAGGAATGCTCTTCCCTCAAGAAGCATCTCGATGAGTGCAACGAGCGCGTAGAGAACGGCTCCCACGAGAACTGTACGTTATAATTCCTGTATACTCGTAAAAAAAGGACAACAATATGTAGAAACGAATGGAAGAGAAAAACAAAAAAGAAAAGGAAGCAAAATAGGGTTATTTCTGCTGTCCCTTGGGTATCAGGGCGGTCATTGACGCGAGCTTTGATATATATACTTTGTGTATTCCCTTTTTAGGCATCGAGGAGTTCTTCCATTTCATGCACTGTGCTGATGAATGTGTAAGTTTTATAATGTTTTTCGAAAGAGAAGATATGCATTTATCTGTGTGCGTTATATATATATATACTAAATACCTTTATCTATTTTTATATATAATATATATAGGCTGCTCCCAAGATCTTTGCTGCCACCAAATAAATTGCACTTTATTTTGTAGATTTATGTTCAATAAAACGGTCGTCCCCCGCAACGCTACTTTGTTACATTACTTCATATACTTGTAATTATTATCATTATTACTGTTTGCACCCGTAAAGAAAACTAGTAGTAAAAAAAAAAGACAAAACAAAAACCAAGAATGAAAATCAAATTAATTAAAGGGTATAAAATCAAATAAAATTAAACAAAATCTATTATTGGTGTAAGTAATAATGGTCAAGATAATCATTTTGTGCATATTATAAATATATAGAAAAAGTATTTTTTTAAAAGGCATTTATTGTAATTAATGATGTACTCTTTGATATATGCATTCATTTAATCTATCAAAAGCCATTGCAGAAAGTGTACCATAAAAAATAATAAAAAAGTGATCTAGAAAGCTATACCTTTAACCTACAAAAAAATACTATTAGTGCCGCTACCATTCTTGTCTATTGTCTAAAGACACGTATAAACTAACCTAGTTAAAACATAACACAAGAGGCATTTAGTATACAGAATGTCGGACTTTGAGATTAACAGTGTCAAAAAGTTGAAGAGACAAAGAAACCTCTAGTTTAATTACCAGTAGTATACGCTTCTTTCTTTTACTTATAAATTACTTTTATTTTTAAATTCATAATCAAGTAAACAATGTCTACTCTTTACGGTCTCGACAGAGGTAAGTAATTATGAACAATTGACGAATAGACAAAGTATCATGACACATGATGAGGTAACAACAGAAATCCAAAAAAAGCTCGATTCAAAGTACTCCGTGGAGCGAGAACAAGAAGCACGCGAATGGATCGAAGAGACTATCGGTGAACAATTACCGAGCGATGATTTTCATGAGAGTTTGAAAGATGGCGTAATACTATGCAAGTAAGGAATCTCGGTTCATTACTTTCATTTATTTCCTAAAATCGCATCCTTAATATTTTTTGTCCCCTTATCTCTCTCTCTGTCTCTCTATGTGTGCGGGTGTAGAGTCATCGAGAAGCTTGTACCAGGAAAAGGAAAATATAGAAAGTCTGCAATGCCGTTTGTTCAAGTAAGGTTGGGCTGTACACACACTAACACAAATTAATATACACGAACATAAATGAACGTATTTTAGATGGAAAACATTTCCAAGTTTTTGTCTGGAGCTGAGGCACTTGGTGTTCCTAAACATGATCTATTTCAAACAGTAGATCTATTTGAGAAAAAGAACATGACGCAGGTAAGAGCATACGTTTTATGATTTGTTTCGAAAACAAAATAAAATAAATAAATAGACAAAAGCATAGATGCAAAAGTATTTACTCTACAAGCTACATATGTTTATAGGTGGTTGATGCTGTTTTCGCTGTATCGCGTTATGGTTACAGGGCAGGAACTGCGTCCAGAGTAAGACTTTTAAACATCTGGATAATTCAATTCATTTATTACCGTAATCTGATATATATATATATATATATATATATGTATATTTCCTGTCGATAGCTCTTAGGTCCAAAACTGGCAGATAAGCAGCAAATGAACTTTAGCCCTGAACAGCTTAGAGCTGGCGACGGCATGTTCAACACTTTCCAATATGGAAACCACAAGGTCCCAAATCAAGTAAGATTATTTTCTATTATATCAATTTGATGCCTAATGCAATAATTATCACTATAGCCTAGATTGTCATTTGGATCGCGTAGAGAGATAGGTGGACGTGATCCCCACCCAGAGCTTAAATAAATGGCATTTAATCCTAAGCAAATAATAATAATAACATAAAATGTAGCAATATATACGTGAAATACAATAAAAGAAAGAAAGAAAGAAAGAAAGAAAAAGTTACTTTATTTATTATAGTAAAAAGAGAAAAATGAGGATAGTGAATACATAAGAGAGAGATAGAGAGAGAGATAGAAACAACCGTAGCTTGCTTAATCGACACCAAGTGTCTTTTTAAGCTTTACAATCAAAGCCCAGTCTTCCTTGGACATATCGTTACGGAAGGACTGTTTCAGAACATCAATCGACTGGCGGGTAATCTTACTGTAGAATTCGTCGGTCTCTTCGAAGTGACGACCATAGGTCTTGGGTGTCTCATATACAGCACACTCAATCTTGATGGCTACACCACCACCAGCTTGTCCCTTCTTAACAATATCGATAGACTTGTGATTCATTTCAATAGAAGTAACCTTTCCGAGAGTATTGATTTCTCTTGCGCCAGTCTCAGAGTTTGTTTTAACTACGCAGATAGGTGTACCGACACGTAATGCGCCCTCAACAACATCAACACCGATAATAATAGGATCCTTCTTGTTGAAGATAGCACCGGGAACCATCTTGAGCACACAGGGGAAGACAGCAGATGGTGCCTGGTCCTTACGCTTCTGCTCAGTAATGGCTGCGTTGTATTCAACGTAACGATCGAACAAGTGGTAAATAATGTCAGCAGTGAAAACGCGGATACCGAGTTCCTCCGCCATTTCTTCAGCTTCCTTGTCAACCTTGACATCGAAACAGAGCATGACAGCGTATTCACGTGCCTTCTCCAACATGACACTAGCCTTAACAACATCCTTTCTGTGAACAGGACCAATGTTAATACCGGAAACAGGAATCTTGGAGGTCTTGAGGAACTCCAAAAGGGCCTCGAGAGCACCAAGAGTTGAGGCCTGAACCCAAACACCATGACCACTGCGATCAATAGAGCTCATGAGGTTGGTGAGATCAGACATGACTTCTTCCTTAAGATCCTCTTCATCATCATCAGGACCACACACCAACAAACGAGAACCAGCAATAGCCTTCTCAAGATCAGGAGCAGAAATCTTTACACCCAAAGCAGCCTTGACAGACTTGTGGTGAACGTACTGAGACTTGATACGGAGTTCGCGCATAGGTTGGGGTGTAAGTAGAGCTCTGACTTGAGTGACAATAGGTCCGTTAAGACCGCACACGACAATCTTGTCACCCTCGTGAAGCCAGCCGTTAACAAGGACAACATCGATAGTAGTACCAAGACCTTCAATAACCTTGACTTCGAGAACAGTGCACTCAAGCTCGGTAATGTACATAAGCTTGTCGCTCATGCGGCTCTGGGTCAAGTTAACCAACAAGTTGAGCATGTCTGGGATACCTTCACCAGTGTGGGCAGAGGTGGGGACGAGCGAAACGTATTTGGCGAAGTTCTTGTTCTTATAATACAAGGTGGAGTTGAGTCCCTGTTCGGCAAAAGCTACCTGGGTCTGCTCGACACGACGCTGGAATTCATCTTGAACGGAAGGCTTCTGCTTGGCAAGAGAATCCTGGAAAGAGTTGTCGGGAATAGCCTTCCAGTCAAAGAGACGATCGATCTTGTTAAGAGCGACAATAAAAGGTGTCTTACGGTCACGGAGGAGACGGATAGACTCGAGAGTTTGGGGCTCAAGACCGTGCATGATATCGACAACCAGAATGGCAATGTTACAGAGGGAACTTCCTCTTGTTCTCAAGTTTGTGAAAGATTCGTGACCTGGGGTATCAATAACAAGCAAACCTGGAACCTTTACTTCTTCGGCACGATCAGGTCCAAGAACAGCAGTCTTCTTGACAATAGCGTCGGCAGGGAAGTAAGTGGCACCAATCTGCTGGGTAATACCACCAGCTTCACCTTCCTGGACGTTTGTTTGACGAATCTTATCAAGCAATTTGGTCTTTCCAGTATCTACGTGACCAAGAATACAGCAAATTGGCGAACGAAGGTCATCCTTGGATCGAGCAGCCATAGCTTCTTTTTGTCTTTGCAAGCGACGCTCAGCAGCCTCTTCCTTCTTCTGGAGGGCAAGGCGCTGGGTGGGAGTGAGCTCCTCATCAGAGCTATCATCGTCGGAATCATCGTCAGAGTCAGAGTCAGAATCGTCAGAATCGTCCTCGGAATCGTCATCTTCAGAATCGTCGGACTCTTCGGACTCACTCTCAACAACGGGCTTCTTAGCACCAGTCTTGGGCGCAGGTTTGGCGGCGGCCTTTGGTGCAGGTTTGGCAGCAGGAGCGGCTTTAGCAGCAGGAGCGGCTTTAGCAGCAGGAGCGGCTTTAGCAGCAGGAGCGGCTTTAGCAGCAGGAGCAGACTTGGCAGCAGGAGCAGGCTTGGCCTCTTCCTCTTCCTCCGAGGAAGCATCCCAATCTTCCTTCAAGTTTTCTTCTTCCTCCTTAGCTTCAGGAGTGGCCTCATCTTCACTGCTAAGAGCTGCCTTTTCCCAATCATCTTCGGCTAAAAGAATGTAATATCAAATAAGAATTTTTTTTTGCAAAATTCTCTCAAACTTACACTCTTCCTCAGCTTCAGCAGCAGCCTTCTTCTTTGCTTCTTCTTCCTCCAATCTCTTGCGTTCCTCCTCCTGTCTCTTCTTTTCCTCGTTTTCAAGACGTCTCTTTTCTTGCTCCTCCTTGGTGGGACCCTTCTTCTTCTTTCCGTAGAAAGGTTTCTTAGTTGGCTGCTCAGGGCTCTCAAAAGCAGAAATCTTAACCTGACCAGATTCGATCAATTGCTGGTGACGGAGCTGTGCAAGTCTCTGAGCTTCCTTCTGGGCCTTTGTCAAGAGCTTGCCTTCCTTACGGAGTTGCTCGCGCTTGAGCTATTATTTCCGTAGTCAGAAAAAATCACGCCACACATATCCTTATATCAATTGTACTTACTCTTTCCTTCTCCTTCTTTGCAGCTCTGATTTCTTCCTTTCTAGCTTCCTCTTCGGCCAAAATGCGCTCCTCCTCAGCAATTCTACGAGCCTCTTCCTCAGCAATTCGGCGAGCCTCTTCTTCAGCAGCCTTTTGGGCTTCTACCATTTTCTATAATTGGGTTTAACATATATCCTTGATCTTGATACTGTCTCAAAATACTTACTCTCAAAGCAGACACTGGTCCTCCGCTCTTCTTCTTACCCTTGCCAGTGGCAGGGGCAGGGGCAGGGGCAGGAGCCTCAGCTTCAGCAGCAGCACCAGCCTCTTCGAGGGCAGCCTGCTTTTTCTTCAACTTTTCTTTCTTGAGCTGGTTCTTAGACTTGACACCACCTTCGGCAGGAGCATCAGTAGCAGCAGTAGCAGCAGAAGCCTGTTCAACGTTCTTGGCCTTGTTCTCCAATCCAAGGAGACGGTCAAACTCGGCATCTTCAGCTTCCTGCTTTGCTTTTTTCTCAAGTGCTGCCAATCTCTTGGCCTCCTTGAGCTTCTCCTTCTTGAGCTTCTCCTTCTCCTTCTTTGTTAAAAGGCGGCCAGAGTTCTCGTCGTCATCATCAGCAGCTTCAGGGGCAGGAGATTCAGTTTGCTTGGATCCCTTCTTTCCCTTTTTACCCTTTGGCTCTTCAAAGTCATCCTCATCAATTTCGGCCTCTTGGGTCTCAATCGGGGCAGCTTCTTCTTCAGGAACTTCGTCATCTTCAACAACAGCCTGCTTCTTCTTGTTCTTTTTGTTCTTCTTGGATTTCTTGTCGTTAACCCAGTCAAGATCTTCGTCGTCGAATGTAGGCTCTTGGGCCTCAATAGGGCCTGTGTCGGCCTCTACTTCCTCCTCTTCGACAACAACCTGCTTCTTCTTGTTCTTCTTTACTTTGTTCTTTGCAGCCTTGTTGACCATAGCCATCAAACTATCAAGGGTTCCCAATATTTATTAACTATTATGTACTCATGTGTTGTATAGTATAAAGTCAAGCATAAACTGCTTTTTTCCTTTTATAGACACATACCCGCCATCTTCATCTTCTTCAACTTCGGCAAGAGCACTAAATGAAGCAGCTCTGGATTCAAAGTTGTTAGAGTCTTCTTCTTCTTTTGGGGCAGCAGCTCCGGTAGCAACCGCATCTTCAGCGAAAGCCTCATCCCTGAAAGAAATGACGAGATGCTTTAATATATAGATATAAAGGCATAATTGTTGTGCAGTATTCTTTACTGTCATACCAGTAATCGTCCTTCTTTCCCTTTCCAGATTTCTTCTTTGCCATTATGAATATGTAGTTTTTAGAGTCGTTTTACGGACAATAATATGAATGTATGTATATATGAAGGCAAGCCTTGGCTAGTGCTTGAAAAGAAGGACAAAAAAACACCAAGTCAAGCGACTAATAAAAAAATCGATTTACAAGCCACGCATGCGATGTCACGGGTAGAAATGGTCCTTGTAGTTTTTAACATCCGCTCATCTCTACTAACCACAGTGTTATCTACTACAAAATAGAGACAGCCACATTTTTCTCGAACCTGAAATAATTCGGCAGGTCCGGCACAAACTCGGTGTTGACAGACTAAAAATTCGAAAAAAAAGGTTCAAAAAAAGGGCAAAACAAGCTCATCTTGAACTTGGCCAATCAGACTAATTTATTACTGACCACACCTTTCTTTAAAAAAGTGCAAAATTAGTCCAAGTACATATTAGATAAGATTGTGCTTATAAAGCCTTCCCTGTTATTATGTGAAAACCTATTTTGCGAGTTATTCTAGATATCACATTCTATGGCACATTTTTCCTATAAAAATGCTCTTTTTCTCAATTCTAATGGCAATGGAACAATTATAGCCAATCAGAGTCGTTTCCAAATTGATCTTTTTTTTGCCCTTTTTTGCCCTTTTTTTTACCCTTTTTTTAACTTGAAACTATCACAACTCGACACCTTTATTACACGTACTCCATTATTAAACAACTTTTTCAATAATCCGAATGACATTTATACTGGGGCTCATATTCACCCAATATTCATCCAATATTCAGCTTGAGGAACAATTTATCAATTGATCGCAACTTTTGATTACGTCAACCCCGTGAGCACTACCTCTTGGATGTTTACCTCTTTGTTTTCTTTGTTTTCTTTTTCTTACCCTAAAGTATTTTGGCAACTCACATATCCACTGAGCTGGTAAGATTAGCTGCATAAATATAAAACGAATTCACATTGTGAATAAATATATGACAATTGAAATGTATAGTACAAACAAACGCCATATTCGCAAGTTTGAGAAAGAATAATCGAATGCGTCGAAAAAAAACGCCGCAAGAAACTTTTTACCAAGGAGTGAACACCTTGCCGCCATCCTTTCTACAAAGTAATACCAAACGAACCTTATCCGAAAGCTTTTCAGAAGAAAGTTTCAACAAAAGAAATCGTGTAGAAGGGCCGGTGAAAGACTTGGAGGAATGCTTCTTTACTTCGATGAGAGACCGCGTAGAAGAACTTGTCAAGCAAACTAAAACTCAAGATAAAACAAATGAACTGAAAAACAAGCTCCTAAATGTAAAGACTCTACCGGCAGCAATAATAACGAACGCAGCACAACTTGCTAAGTGTGATAGAAAAGTAATGCGCTCACATATGGAGCACCGCCCTGGGCTAAAAAATATTGAAGAATGGAAGAAGTTCGTATCTCAAAACTTCGACAAAATAGCTGAGGCTGCCGTAGGTTCGGTCGTAAAAGACACAGCTAAAGTATACTCTTCTTCCACTCCAACAAATAAACAGCCGTATGAAGAAATGAGAACGTGCACGGTCCAGATAAACAGCCTCTTTAGATCGGATCTCCCTCCTATTGTAAAGACATTCGTGTGTACTAGATTACAAGATTCGATGGTTACCTCGACAGATCATACCCTTTGCTTTTCGGCACTCGTAAATATGATAATAAGTGAGCTGAAGACTAGCGAATTCTTCTTTGACAACAATGATATCAAGATTAAGAAAGTTCCTGGATTCAACCTCGCCAAATTGCTGCCTTTTGTTACAATTAATGAGCCAAAACAGACCATCCAGCCATTGGACAAGGATTTAATTGCCTCTAAACGATTTGAGACGGACTTCAAGTGTCTCTTCACAAGCCAACATCTGCAAGTTGTGCATAGTTATTTTTTTGGTGCCCGTGGTGCTAAAGAAGAAAATTTAAACGCCCACCCTGTGCAGAATAGTCTGTTTTGTTCTTTCAAAGAATCCGGCCTTGATAAGCAGAGCTTCTATCTTGAGAAAGCATCATCGTCGGCAATGTCGATGGCTCTTGAAATGTACCTGGTCAACTTCGAGAATATGTGGGACGGAAAAAAGATAATTAACAAGCTTTTGGACAAAGTGGTACTAGTGCTACTTCGCCACCATCTTGCCCGCAATAGAGAATCAAAGCGTATCTCGACCACAACAACAAGGAATCCACCTGGAAAGAAGGATATAAGAAACCATGCGCGTTATGTTTGTCGTGCAGAGGATAAAAAGCTGAAAAAGTTGGTACAAAGAAAGGAAAAGGCAAGCGGATTAGAAGAAGAAAAGTGGGCCACTAAGATAAATAGTGCGAAGCAGCGTCTAGCAAATTTAAGGCATACTTTTAAAAAGGTAAGGTGGGAACATTTTCATTGGCTTGAAATTGCCAGCTAATGCTTCATTTTACTTTAGAAGATAAGCCAAATGCTGAATGATAGAAAGGAAGCTTCTGTGGAGCACAAGCTCGTTGTTCAGGATTTGAACATCGCGGAAGAACAGCAAGATTTTCTGGAAGAGGAGGGGACTTTGGATGATGATGTTCCGGAAAGGAGGTTGAATCAACTCAAGTCCGTAATCAAACACTTGGTCTTCAGCAATGATACGCCTGTATATTTAGAAGATGTCAAACATCAGTCCCCTGAGGCCACCACCACCGAACAGTCAGTATGCTTGTTGATCTGCAATACGTTGATGAAGTTCTTGCCTCGGAAAAAGTAATATCACGTAATTGCGTATCAGATGTATTTCTGTATCTTTGCAAACGACGTTCTTAAATATGCACGTTATACAAAGTTTACTCGCGCATTATGTCCTTCAACATAATTCTCGTCATTGAGTGCACTACACCTGGATTCAGTTGCATTATATCAGCTATTGACCCAGAATATAGATCAAGAAAAGTCGGAAGAACCACCATCACATACCAACCAGCAAGAAAAGAAAGGGTATAGTAGAATGATACTCTATGGGTATAATAGGGATGAGCTGATAGGGTCTCAAGACAAAGCACGCCAAAACAAAGATGCCACATTTAACGCAGTATTTGATATGGGAGAGATTCAGAAAGCATGTGAATCGTATGGTCTATCTTTTGCACATCGGATGACATGTCTACCAGGAATGAAAACAGTACAATTATTGGGATCAAAAATAAAAACCCATGGCACCGTAAAAGAGGGGACAAAAAAGTCATATGAAGCACGGATTTTAAGAAACCCGAGCATTATGCAAGAAGGACGAAAAACAAAGGATGTTCTTTTTTCTGAGTTTCAAAGCTTAACAGAAGAAGTCAAGACGCTTGAATCTGTTCGTAAAAGAGAGCTAAATCTTCTAAAAGACAGTAACTTCCAAAGGAAAATCAAAGAATGTAAATCAAATTGGGGGACAACAGATGACAAGGATCAGTTATACCGGACGATTGAAAAATATAAAGAATCGAGATATAAATCTTATTTGATGGTTAAAAAGATCAGAAACGAACTCGCCGAAAAAAGACAACAGCTATATTTCCGACAGATGGCAATTCGTTCCAAATCAAAGCTCCATAATGTTAAAGATGTCCCTCATGATAGCAGAAGTCCAATTGAGAAATGTGGCAAAGGTGTGACCAAGGCGGAGGACCGAACTGTTGTGAATCCTGGCGACTTTAACTATGCGGGTACTGACAATGGCCTGGTGAATATGACAACATCAATACCGATGTCATTACAAAGAATGAAATTTCACATAAAGCTTTTCAACTATTACACCGCGTTAAGCAAGGTCTCCAATAAAGACAGTATCGGCTTGAATCTATCTAAAGAAGAAGAATCATTCCTACATTTGCCATCAGTTACAAATACGAAGGCTAGTGATGTTGATGTTGGCTGTGGGTATTTTCGGCAACGAAAATATTTAGAAAGACGAAAGAAGTACACGGATGAAGGGAAAAAGGTCCAGTTAATAGAAGATTCAATGAAAGAAATGGAGTCGGCCCCTGTTACTTCTATTGACATGGCCATCGGGAACTTTCGTGCTAAATACGATCAACGGCGAAGCCTGTGGGATTTCTACAATTCTCCAAAAATCATCAACCAAAAAAGACATGTAGAAATCCAACAACATCGTTATCGACATCATCTCTGTCGACGAGAGAGATTGGAATTGAAGCATTCAGAGAGTAATAGTTTGTTACCAATATTAGTATTATATTCGGTTTTTATTAAAGCGCATTTTTTTTGCTCAACAGATAAGTCGTCTTCTAAAAAGCCCTTGATACTCTTCATTGGTGATCGAGGAACCGGTTCCGGTTCTCGAATCAAAGGCTTTAGAAAGTATGGTGGTAAGTGGAAGCAGAAGATACATGAGGAAGCAGTTAATGTCTGCATCACAAATGAGTGCAAGACCTCCCAAACGTGTATATTCTGCTTTTCGCCTTTAACCAATCCGAGGATTCCTGGCAAAAAGGAAAGAAGTTACAAAGTCAACAAAGACACCTTCCTTTGTATCAATCCTCTGTGCATAACTGTCAAGAATCGATGTGCAAGTAAGCCGAGAGATGCACTTTCAGCTCTCGCCATTGGGCTGGTAGGCCTAAGCTCAGTTATGTTTGGTGCCGCACCACCTCCTTTTTATAACGTCAGCCAAATAAATGCTGAACATTATACAAAAATAACATCTGACTTCTGTACACGAAGAGACGATTTGGCAGCTACGTTGTAGCTCTGGGGGTAAATATCATTGTATAGTACCAATGCTTATGAATTTTTAATTTATTAATTAATATTATCATTTCTTTTTTTTTTTAAAAAAAAAAGTGGCTGCCCATTTTTTGTGGGAAATAAAGGCACTCCTCTACTTAATAGTATCGAGCTTAAATTAAGAGCATTTTCAGCTGTGAGATCACTTTTAATTTATATAAAGTTAAACACCACTACTTTATCTAAATAAAAGGTCAATTTTCCCAGCAGTTCGATTTATCTTTTTCTTTAAATAAATTTTGAGAGCGTTTTTATCAATACATTTTACCTTCTTATTAAATTTAATAGGAAGATAAAAAAAGAGATTATCTTTTATATTTAAAGTGAATTTAGTTGAACTGCCGGGAGGACCAACTTTAGCTAAATATTTAAATTTAACGTAAAAGTGGAGATAAAGCGGACTGCTGAAGATGCTCTAAGGCGCCTAATTCGAAGATTTAAGGCGCATTTTTGGGATATTTTTTTTTCAAAAGCTTTTTTTTATTTAAACAAAAAGTTGAGTGTACCTTATATAAAAAAATAGTGTCAAAATGTTTAATAAGTCAATAGCCCACTTGAGCACAAAGCTCCCTACAAATAAACGAAAGTAAGTTAATAACCTAAGAATAATTTTCTGTACTGTTTATTTGAAAAGAAGATCCATTCACAACGGCTAGTAACTCTTAAAAATAAGCATTGTATTCTCGAATTGTGCGCCTTGTATAGTGTGTTTCACTATACACTGGATCCTCTTTAACACTATCTTATAACATACCAAAAGATTGTTTAATAAACAAAGATACTGTGATTTACTGTTGATCTATGGTAGTAAATATTTAAGTATCGTATTTGTAAATATACTGATTTTTTTTTGTAATTCGTGCTTACACTGTCTATCATAGAGTGCACGCTTAAACGATTAAGCTTTTTTATTATCTTTTACAGTTGCATAATACAAATATAGAGTTTAAAGGACCAGCTAAGCTAAAATTCCAGAATATTTTACTGCTCCTAGCTACCCAGCCATGTAAATGTAGATATAAATTACAGATTTATAAATCAACTTGGCTTTATAAAGTAGCAATACCTTTTAAGTGTACTTGTGAAGAGAAAATATATTTTGAGAAAAAATAGTCCAAAAACTGAGAGACGTTGTACCCAACTCTGTGTACAGAAATTTACACACGTATTTTTTTTGAATTATTATTATTATTATTTTTAAAAAAAGGTATCTTTTTGTATGTAATTTACAATATATTTTATTAAAGCAAATGTTATCAATAGTTATTTGTGATAGATAAACCTTATAGCTTGGAAAGGTATTTTGAAATAAGCTTGACATTACAAGCTTTACTTAAATGTATCTTGCATACAGACAATATCCTGTAAGATATGCAGTAAATAAGGGTTAATTCATGCCAGATACTTTATGCTCTTTTACCAAATACACATGTTTTATTTTTACTCTTATTTTATATTCAAAGCTAGCATACTTTTTTTGGATCTTAGAAAATATAAAGAGAAATAAACCTTTTGATACCCTATATAGAATTAGATGGATAAAGAATAAAGAGGTAATCTGTAGATCTACCATAATAATACAACCATTATTATTATTTGTTGTAGTAGTATCTATATCTAAATATGAACTGACCAACACCCTAGATTGCCCCACAATCATGACAGCTTTAAAAATATAGAATATGTAAAATATAAGAACATGTAGTAGATCCTTGTATAAAATCTAAATTCAATTTCTAAAGGAACTTTGGATTTAAAAAGGCTAATTCATTATGATTACAGTCTAGATCATTCAATAGCATACTGTTTTTGATAGAGAGAATGTCGAGTAAATATTTAGATACAGTGGTATTTGCACAGTAAACACTCAAGAAATCGCCACACGTTGCACGGGAATACAGTATATACACTGCGCAACCCTGTGTTAATATGATCTTAGTGCCTCTTACATGTACTTCATTACTATTTATCTTTATCAAGACTTTTTTTTATATCATATTATATTATATTATATATATATATATATATTTGCCTTTATAAAATTCTATAATCAGCCCGTTCATTATATAATGCTATTATACATATCCAAGTTGATTTTTCATTATACTCACTTGGTTGAATCATTGTCATCAATGATCCCAAAGGCTGCACCCTTAACACCTTTTGCATTTGATTGGCTGGTAATTCATTTTTGATGGTCACAATTTCACCGTTTCTAAGTCTCATTTACTTTATTCGACTCCTTCCTATTCAACAAATTCAAGGCAACCATGGGGTCCTACCGTAGTTCTTTTGCAGCACGTGGTAGAGGTCGTACAATGAAGTTTTATGTCTGGAAAACTAAATGGCTTTTATATACATATGTTCTCTTTAGTTGAGAGTCATGTTTTTCTTTCTATCAAGAATTATGTCTACAGCACCAAGAGATATAACCTCGGAATGAAACGGCCGTCGGTGGATAGATGCTAGCTGTGTGGAACATAAGGCTGGATAATCTTGAGGACAACTACAGATAGGGTTACCATGGCCATACAGAGTGTCTGACAGACGGGGTTGTAATATATTAATTTCAACAAGCGAAAAATAGAGATGGCATAGGTGAATGCATTCAAGTCAAGATATTGATCATAGAGGCAAGGACTTTACAGGAAAACAAGGCTGAGGTCTGTTAGACCATGGGCCGAGGTCTACAAAGTGACTTGTGCATTAATCACAAAGAAGAAGACGGCTAGGGAAGCAAGGCGGATGTTGAATTAGAGTGCGACAAGCCACTCTACCTTCCATTCAACTCACCACCTTTTGTCCCCTCTTTGGCTTTCTATCTGATCTCCTTTCCTCATCTCGGATTCTCATCTGCATCCCATTGTGCCAACACATCTAGAAATCTAACATGTCTAAACCATCTTCATTTGTGCGTGAATACAAACTTGTCATGGTCGGCGGCGGAGGCAAGTTTCCTAATTTACTTTAACAGTAAAAGGATCAAGCAAATTCATTTTGTTGCAATGACTTTAATCCCCTAAAGAACATCTTTACTAGCTGAACATTATTTACGACAATTGTATATCGATTTCTAATTTATGCTTATCTACACGCTAAACTTTCTAGGTGTCGGTAAATCAGCATTGACAATTCAGTTTATCCAGTCTCATTTCGTAGACGAATACGATCCAACCATTGAAGGTATACTTTTTTCTTCTTCTTTTTAATAAAGTAAAAGGAAAATCAACATATATTTGCTTGAACCCCTATATTGGTACTAACCTGCTAATTTTATCCAAGACTCGTATCGTAAGCAATGTGTAATTGACGGTGAGACGGCATTATTGGATGTGCTAGATACGGCAGGTCAAGAGGAATACAGGTAGATACTATTATTTTAAGCATTTGGATATATATATATATAAATAATATTATTATTATTGATACTAATTGTAATAAATAAATAAATAAATAAATAAATAAATAAATAAAAATGTACATTTTTTTTGTATATATCAGTGCAATGCGAGAACAGTATATGCGTAATGGCGAAGGTTTCTTGCTAGTCTACTCTATCACATCCCGCATGTCCTTCGAGGAAATAGATACATTCTACCAGCAGATCTGTAGAGTCAAAGACCGAGACTATTTCCCTATGGTCCTTGTAGCCAACAAGAGTGATCTGGAGTCCGATAGACAAGTGTCCACATCAGAGGGCCGCGATCTTGCCAAAAAGTTTGGCTCACAGTTCATTGAGACCTCCGCAAAGCAGAGAGATAATGTCGATGAAGCCTTTTTTGAGGTAGTCAAAGACATTCGCCGATTCAATAAGGAGCAGGAGCACCATGGACGAGGTGGTGGCCAAGACAATTTTAACATTACAGACGCACCCGATGTTGCATCGGACAAGTGCTGCATCTTGATGTAGAAAAGAAAGAGAGAAAAAAAAATGACAAAGACCTCTTTCTTTTCCTTTGAAATTGGTTTCTAAACTATTGCTTACTTTTGTATTATCCTAATCCCTCCCCCTTACACCACAGTGAGTGTTACTGAATACATGCCAAAACCCCCTCTTGTCTTTCTATTATAAGATCAAGACAAGAGAAAAGCTATTCCACACAGCCACTCCTACTTCCCCTTAACTCTCTACCCCTCATCTCTCATTCACTCACTATCTATCTTTATTTCTTTATTTCTATCTCTATTTCTATCTCTCCTATTGTCCCTCCTCTCTTTACCATTTCCTTTTTATTATTTCTATTATTTTTATTACTATTACTATTACTATTACTATTTGCCCTTTTGCTTTAATGTGTAGATATAAAAATAATAATATGCATTTACAAACAGCAACGAAGTCTAATATTTGTGTGACATTTGAATCTGTAAGATAAACACATTATTTCTCTCTCTCTTTCTCTCTTTGTACGTGTGCGTGTGTGTTATCAAGGAAAAGAAAATTGTTATTATTGTATGAAATATATATATATCGTAAGGGAGGAGAGTATTTCTGCTTGCTAGTTTTTTTTTTACAATTCGAGAATTACAGAATAAGGCACTTGAACCGCTTCTTTTTTGGTTTGCTGGGCATTTGCTTATTGATTTGACGTACTACATCGTAAAACACCTCGTCCACATTGATCTTGTATCTAGCTGATGTCTCATAAAAAGGTTTCCCGCCCCATTCCTGAGACAACGCCATTCCCTGTTCACGTGGGACAGCTCTCTCTTCTTCCAAATCGCACTTGTTGCCAACTAAAACCATAGGAACCTAGTACCAAATAATGGTAACGATAAGGATATATATAAGCACAAGTATACACACACATATATATACAAACACACGCACACGCACACATACACATACACACGCATATATATATATATATATGTATGTATGTGTAGTTATGTGATAATAAGGTGATAGATAACAAAGGCTTACATGGTCAACATCCTTTACACGTAAGATTTGTTCTCGTAACTCGCGGAGATCCGTCAGTGTAGCCAAACTTATAATTGAGAAAACGAGAATAAAACCCTGGCCATTTTTCATATACAAATCTCTCATGGCTGTAAATTGCTCCGTACCGGCGGTGTCGAGTATCTCGAGAACACATTGCTGACCGTCAACTTCAACTTGCTTTCGGTAAGAGTCTTCAATAGTAGGGTCGTATCGTTCCACAAAGATCGATTGTACAAACTGGACAGTCTTTTTTGTTTTTGTTTTTGTTTTTGTTTTTGTTTATTTATTATTATGAAAATTAAAAAAAAAGTATTTCATATATATATATATATATATATGTAGTAGAAAATTTTTAGACGGACTGTAATAGGATGTCAGATATAACTTACCAGGGCAGATTTACCAACACCTCCAGAACCGAGGACTACAAGTTTGTATTCTCTCATTATTAAGAATCGACTAGGTTGAAATTATATGATTCTTAGCGTTAAGATGAGATCTAAGGGAACTGAAGATTAGACAACATAAGACATCTTGGATGTAAAGCTCACATAAAGGATAATGATGAACAGTAGGAGAGGTATATGCTTGATATAATAATAATAATAATAATAATAACAGTAGTAGGAGGAGGGAAAAAAAAGAGAATATAAAAAAATATGAATGTAATAACTATAAAAAAGAAAGAGAGAAAGAGAGAAAAATAAAAAGAGAAAAAGAAAGAGAGAAGAGAAGGGGGTGTTGCACAAGTACCCTTCATTCTAGCATTGTAACTCAACGATGAAGGCATACCCTGTTCTCTTTAGCTATTTGTTGATCTCCTTGATATAGACAACGCATGTTGTGTCTAACCACCCTTCAAGGAGTAATTTTTTTACGAGAGGTCATAACAGAGTGCACTGACTCCAACTGTAAAGAAAATAAACATTACTCTAAAACATATTTGATCCACATTTACTGTATATTTTTCTCTTTCTTTATCTATCTCTTCTTTAAAGTACCGTAAAGAAAAACAGGATGATTATCTTTAATAAATCTCGAGAATATTTTTTGTAATTGAGTTAACATATTATATTATATTATATTATATTATATTTGATGATAATTATTAAATCACCACGGCTTAAAGCAGGTGCCATTCAAGACAAGACATGAGGAGGTTATAATCGATCAAATACTTAATTGCGAATATTAGGGAATACTTATGCACAACATCGCTTTAGTAAGCAGCATAAAAATGCCTGCTTAACAACTTTATCTTGGTCAGGGTCAATATCATGACAAGTTACATATTTTGCCTCTCATTAACTACCAATATCAAGCCACTAGCCTTGGTATAGGCAGCACACGTATACAAAACAAAGTATTGGATTAATATCTTGATTGTTGTCAATCTCATAATATTACTAGTATAATTGTCCTTAAATCTAAAGATCTAGACAATTAATATAGATTATATTCTGTAGCTTGGGTGTCATGGATACCGCTATTTTCATGTGATATAGTGTAAATCTGTTGCTGTAGAAACCATCTTCATCCAGTATCAACCGTGATGTAGGAGAATTAATTGTTATAAAGACAAACAAGTCTTTTATCATGCCCAATAGAGCCACACCTTTACTGACATCAATTTTTCTTTGTTTCATAAATACATAATAACTACCTTTATTAATTAATTTATCTATATTATTACTATTATTATTTTTTAAAAAAAAAAGTACATTGAGTAACCTCAACCTATTACCATTCAATCAACAATTCTAAAACGTAATTTGAAAGACATAATATATATATATAATTAATGTCGCTCTTTTAAGCAAAACACAAAACTGTCGCATTCTCTATAAATAGATGTCGTGCCTTGATCAAATCGTCCAAGATGTGTAGGGGACAGACCATTATTCTTTATTGAATGTTTTACAAGTGAAATATACAATATTATGTGTGTAATTGACGTACAAGATAGTAAGCATTATGATACAAAATTAATAGAACTTATAACTGTCACAAGAAAGTGTATATCGCCTTTTCTCTCTCTCTTTCTCTCTCTAGTATAGAAGCTGTAACTATGACGGGGATATCTTTCAATACACTCAAAGATCGGCAGTCAATTTCCTGAATAGAATACTTCCGGCCCGGGTACCGATATTCTCAAGCACAATTCGGATTTCTCGATAAAAGTCAAAGCAAGTTTCTTGAGCTCACATATGCACAGTGTATTATTTAATTTTAAGTAGTCGGATTAAAATAGCTCACACCCTTCTCTACATGCATTTATCACGTAAATTAAATGCCATAGTGGTAAGAAAAAAGTATGTACTGATTGCTCAAATGAATTTTGGAAAATTATTGTGCCAGTTGGGTCACAACTTGTCCCTAGTACATTAGGTATTCAGGTTACAGTTATATTTGGTAAACAAAATTGTAGATTTTTGTTTTATTTTTATGACCAAATATGGATAATAAACTAATGATTGTTATTGTAATCTAGTAATAGTTTTAATCACACTTGTCATGCTTAAGAATATATTTATTCGTCAATGATATCTATGAATATCATTGTTCCTTTTTTTTTGCAAAGATTATTCAAATTGTAATTGGGAACATTATGTATATAAAATACGGGATTTCATACCCATATATAAAGTCAATAACATTACACCGGTTCTAAGTTACAATGCAAACAAAAAACTAATAAATCACGAGAAAACAATAATACTGCTTCACCAGACCTGATAATATCTAGTGTGCCCGGTAGACCACAGTTATTAATATTCTCGAGTGATTTAAAGGTGTGTTTTTTGCGGAATTACTTTTTTCTTTCTTTTGGGCACGTTGTGGGCAAGTATTTGTAAGTGAAAAATCAAATTTATATGTATAGATATTCTATAGAACAAGTGAATTTTTCAACGATTCTAGAACCTTGCAAAAGTTAAAAAAAAACTGAGTTTTTGGTATAATTGCACAAGGAACACATGTATTCCTGTAAGTATGACTGACATCCAAGGAGAAAATGATAGTTAAAAAAAACAAAGAATACTAATAAACCTGTCTGACAAGCTGTCCGTATATAAATTCAAAACGAATAGATTCCTAAAAATCTGGTACACATTATTTGTTGGTAAACATTAAATATATACTATATGATATTTGTTTAATGTATGGAGTGTACATGTTGTGAGTACACAAACAAACGATATTGGCTGTTTTGTTTTTGGTAATTCTACACATATTACTCTGGGTATTACACACACAATTGAAACAGCAACATTCAAACAAAAAACAGAGGTAAAATATAGATCTCTATCTGACATGTGTCAAATAATGGAATTAATATGATATTAGACTCATTCTATATTTATGAGCTAACCCACCTAAAATAAGAACCAAACTGTCAAACGAATGTATATTCCAAATAACAATAACACTAATAATCTCACATTTGGGTACAAGACCAGCAGTCCCCTTTTCTTACATATCAATTGATCATTAGTAAAAGGACCAATAGGAAAAAAACTATCAACCATGCAATTTACCTTGGCTCATGGACTGTACCACATTTTATTCAATAATCATATTCCCCATCTCATAAGCTCTAATATAGCACCTCTAATATGAAATAATTAATCTCAGAAGAATCACAAGCTTATTACATGAAATAAAATAATAAAAAAAAGCTTCCTAATACCAACACTCATAATGAGACCTAAAACACTTTTAAAGATCCAAGCATTTAAAAAGTAACCAAGAAAAAATATGCAATAAGTGTTATGTATAGTATTTGTTACAGATAATACTTTATCTATATACTCTAACCACAAAGTGGGTTATTTAGACACCAGGTGATAGTTAAGAAAAGAAAAACTCCCGTAAAACGTGCTATTTATGTACTACATTCTGACACTAGATAGAGTCTTACAACTCAGGATAAATCTATGATGAATTAGGTTTTTACGCTAAAAGTCTGTTGGTAAAATGCACACAACTTGAGTGTAAAGAAAGCTATAAAAGCTAAAATCTATAAAGGAGAAATATATACTGGTAAAAAGATCCAATACTTCTAGAAGCCTCTAGAATAATACTCCTTAAAACTAACAGGGATACTTTATTCTCTTCTAGCTATTTACTATCATTTAGGCCTTTAATATAAAAAATAAAAATAAAGGTTTCTTATCAGGGTTATGTTTACTATAGAGAGCATCTTTTTAAATTCATGGTCAGAACTATGATAGATTATTTTTCTTATTTGCAGCTGTATCTATCTGGTGATATTACAGAAATAGACGCTAGTTTTGAAACTAAAGAATAAATCCCTCCTTATGATGATAGGGTCTTAGTAATACCCTAAATAATAATGTGTTTTTGACTGCCGGGATCAAGCAAACCAGTATATAAGTATACATACTAAATGAAGATTAAAAGAAGTCTATAAAATATTTCTCAGGATAGCTCATTGGCTGTCAACAAAGAAAAGGGCTATAATAAATGAGCCATAGTTTATCGATAGTTAATGACTGTTTATCACCCCCACAAAAATGACCAAAAGATCGTTCATTTTCTCTCTCTTTCCCCATTCAATATTCCTCAAGTAGTGTAAATTTATTCAGAATTTTGATTTGGATGATTTTAATTGAGAATAATATAAATACAATATTAGCTCTTCAGTACATTGATAAAAAGTAGTGTCTATACTCTTACCAGGAGTATATATATATATATTTCTGTTTTATCCCTTTATTGTTTACAATTTATGTTTGAAATTAGGGCAGACAGTATATTAGATAGAACAAACCCCCTTTCTCCTCCCAAAGAAAAATCAAGACTGTCTGTAGAGAGATATACCACATACAATTATTTATATTTATTTATTTTGCTCATTAAGCATATGTATGTATTGATTTGGCTAAAAATTACAAATATTTATATACGCTTTGTAAATCATTAATACAGAATACAAAAGGCGATTATTATTACTATTATTACTATTATTTTTATAAGAAGAAAAAGAAAGAAACAAAGCAAAGCAAAACTATACAGAAAATAGACTAAAAGGACAGGAAGTAGATTTTTTCGTGTCCAATAGTAATAATAAGGCTGCAATTATGCGAGTATAAGTATATAGAGATTACACTTGTTCTAAATTACAAAGAGAATCTCCAATATCTTTCCATGGCCGAGCGTGGAATCCTTCCTACGGCAGGTAACTTTTGTGGCATGGAATAGCACGGGTTGACATCTTGACGGAAATAGTAGCTGCGAAGATTGTGAGTCATAAACTTCCATCCTAGCCAGGTATCAGGGAAACGCATGGTCTTTGACGAGCAAAACTCGATCACCTTGAGACTGTCGAGGTACTGTGACTCTTTAATAACAAATAGTGTAGTTTGAAGACCATCAATGGTTGTGTCAAAAAAGGTATTTGACAGATCAAGGTATTCCAGATGAGGCATCTGAGCAAGGGTATCCAAAAAACTCTCTGCTGTGACTTTGGATGCCCCAGCAATAGAAAAGTGGGTGAGGCGGTGTGTGGTTGGCTTGCAAGAACCAAGGATCTCGTCATCTAGTTCACCCTGTCCGCCCAAGTGGAGTACTCGCAAGTCCTTCTTTTTGTTACAAGATAGCAATAGTTGACTGAGTGATTGAGGGGAGAACCAATAGCAGGGTGGGGCATCTCCAGGATTTCGCGGTATTACAATACCAGCACGCATGTTTAGATTAAGCTCTTGAAGATTTGTGCAGCGTGCGAAGAATTGCGAGGCATTGTCATCAAGCGAGACCATGCGACAGCCTTGAAGGCCAAAATGAGTGAGTTTCTGAGGTAGGATGTGGTTGAAGATATCATTTGTTACTCGAGTGTGCCCAACATCAATGCGAGTTAGTGAAATATTGTTTTCCTTGAGAAGTTTGAAGAAAGGTGTGAAGAACTCAGACTGGGTGAGGGTGGCATTGAGATAGAATGATACTCGTGAGAGATAAGATGATATTGTGATTGGTGGAAGTTGGGTTGGAAGAGTTGAAGCATAATCAGATGGCTTGTTACAAAGTGCCTCGTGTTTCTCATGCAGGTCCTTGTCACACATCGTCACGTTTTGTGCAAAAAGACTAGACATGGTGTTGGCATACTTGAGTTGAAAGAATCCAATCAGATCAATAGATTCTATCCTTTGGTGGTTGGCGAAAATGGATCGAATGACGCTTGAATCTTGGAAAACATGGTTTAGTTCATTTGTGACAGAGAGCTCCCTTAGATCGATACACTCGTCCAGCAGTTGGGCAAATCCTTCTGGAGTGACAGCCTTTCTGGCCTCTTCCTGGCTGTAGCGGACACCGTGGGTGGTGTAACCCATGAAATCAAGATGGCGGACGAGCTTAAAGAGACCTTTCTCGCGCATAGAGGCCATGTGCCTACAAAAAGTAATGTACTGTGCAGGGCCTTTGATTTCAACCGTTTTGAAGAGGGTTTGTATGGTAATGGAATAGAACTTCTTGTTGAGTCTGCATATTTGTGCAATGTCGCGAGAAGAATCGCAAAATTGCAAGCACAGCTGAACGAGCTCAGTAGAGAGTGTGTCCATGGAATTAAGATAAAGATAATCAAGAGAAGTCTTGAGATTTTTTAAAAAACGAATTGAATTTATACATTTTTTTCTCTCTTTTACCCCGAACTTTTCATTTTATTATTATTTAGTATTATTATTGGATATTTTTAAATACAAAAAAAAAATGCTACGGATCTGGTTGTTCCGCGTCTCAGTTTGGATACAAAAAGGTGCGTCGATTCTCACGATAAAAGCAAAATGTAAGCTATATGATTGGTGGCAAAGATCTTTGTAGCACAAAGAAATAACTCCCGCCAGTGCTTTGTTACACACTATTAGGTAGAATGATAATCATTAATGGGAAAATGTAAAGAAATATATATATACTACGTGGGCTGTTTATCATTAATATGAAAATGGCTCATAGGAATTCCACACAACTACCATGTGTAAACAGAAGAATCAACACTTTCTTTAATTTTCCCAAGCAAGAGAGAAAGAAAGAGAAAGGAAATAATGATTGGCAGTCTTTGGTATACATAATTCTAGGCATATTTATGCTTGTATTGCCGAATATATATATATTGTATTGATCTTTCAGCCTTGCATTTCCCCTCCATTAAGCTTCTTTTAGTACTCAACATAGATTCTGGTGCACCTTGAATGTAGTCCTGACTAGCGACCCTCACCTTTTATTTTCCTCCTTTGTTTCCAAACGGCTCCTTATCAATAATTGTGTAATTCATGACATTTCAAAACAAGAGAACACAATTCTAAATGCAAATATAAATTTGCTTTCAAGTAGTCCACACACACACATATATATATTGATGTATATAAATGAGTTACATGTAGATAAACATTTGATAAATTCTCAAAATAATAGTAGTAATAATAACAAAAATAAAAATCAGATTCCACGATAATTTCTATAAGCGATTCCGTGTGGCGCCATCTTTCTATAAGAACAAGGGAAGAAGAAGAAAAAATATCGCAATTTACATCAGCGCATGCTCATGTATGCACACACCGTCATAGTGTTTCCAATTCAGCGCATATAAAGGTAATAGCTGTGAATACATGGTTAGGGTATATCTATTCCAAAATCAGTGCCTTTTCTTCCAAGTTTATAAAAAAAAACAACAACAAATAAGGGTGTAAATTCTTTATAGGCAGAAAGCAAAAAAGAATCAACGCATACTTGTATTATTTCTCTTGGCTGTAGTACAGACATATATATTTCATATATAAATACTTATATGCTTATAAAATTAAAATACACAATAATTTTGAAACGTGATTTGGCATTATTACAAATAAAATGATATAAAAGAAAGTTTGCTATGGTAACCGGAGATTTAAAAGAAATTAATATGGTATTCATGCCAACTGCAGTCAATGGGATTTTTTTTTCTTTTTTGCTCGTTTTCTATTGTGTCTCTATCTATATATAAAAAAGGCTCAAAAAGAAAATAAAAAATAAAAGTCACTTTTATGTGACACACCAAATTCTGACTCGTGTGTGGTGTATTCCATAAAGGGTATTATACATATCTGTAATGCTACTTCAAAGTGTATAAAGTTGACAAAAATAGGTTTCTACAATAGAATCTAGGTCATAATACACTTGTAGCTTTTGAGATACAATGCTGTCAATTGATTTTTAGCCAAGATAGTTTATGAGCAAAGCATACCACTAAATACAACAATAATATTAAGCTTACCAAGCAATTAAGATATATATCAAGAAGCATTTTGTCACTGCTATTGTTTCTATATTTTAATATACCGCACCTACAGAAATGTACTGCTTTTCACTCCAACACTTTTTGTACATGGTATGCTGCACCTCATTCATCTCATCCCCCTTATTATAACAACAATAACAACAATAACAACAACAACAATAGCCATAAGAAATTATTGCTATATTTCTTTTTCTTTTTTTTTCACTTCTCCTTCTTCTTGTTCTTTATCACAACAATCAAACAAAAATAATATTTTTAAGTGAAGGAAAAAAAAGACACTCGTTTCTCATCAGTCTGTTACTCATCTCTACTTCAGAGCACCACCAAGGTGTGAATGGAATGCAACGCACCCAGACATCTTGCCTTCATTATCCTCCCCCCCCCCCCTTTTTTTTTTACCTTTATATTCGCCGCTTCGATTCAATCTTCTCTTTCACAGGTAGTCCTAATACAACCCCAAAAATGACCTTCTCTCTCTCTCTTACTATCTTTTCTTATTACTGTAGTCGAGTATCTTTAACTCACATCTCGCTTATTTTGTGCACATACACATACAAATACAAATACACATACACATACATATAAATACATACATATATCCTGTCTTTCTTTTGTTTTTGACCTAACCTATCTCGACCAAAGCAACCAAAGCAACCAAGAAAAGAAAGCAAAAAAAATCAAAACAATTATTGTATACTGATATATATAAAACCGTATATATATATACATATATATATATATTTTCTGTAACCGCCCACCCTTCCTTTTATATACATTTATACGGTTGCTGGTCAACTCCCTTTTTTATTTGTAGTTTTTGCATACCTTGTTGATTTCTTCATTTCAGGTACAATTCTCATCCACAAACCAGATGGATGATCAACACATCAATTCTGCTTAATCCAACTCTCACCAACAATAGTATCGTCATGTCCGAGTCTCCACTCCACAGCGCACGATTCGACTTTGACCCAGTAATGAAGCAATCAGTTTCTTCCTCCACAACCACATCGACCTCCTCTGCTGCAGACCGATGGCGGCAATTACAGTCTTCTCATGCTGCTAAGCGGCAGCAGACCCAGGCAGAGCGACAGAAACAATTACAAGATCTCGAAAAACAAGTAGCTGATGCTGCTAGCCACAACCAACGAAGAACAGAGTTAGTCACCACACCAAATCGCCGTGGTGCTCAACAAAAAGACAATAATATAGCCGAACGCGAGCGACGAAGACGTTCAAGTCATACCACACGAGCTGGATACGTTCACCTTGGTACCTTTGATATACTAGATACCACAAAAAACAGTGCAGAAAGAGCCCCCCAATCCTCCTCTTTGGATCATATGCCGCATGGGCAGTTGAATGATAATCAGGAGACGATGCATCGCCCGAGAGAAATTGATTTAAAAGACGCTAGTCTAGAGGATTTAGAGGATCTGATTGCTGCATCTGCTAAGCGCCTAGCAGAATACAGGCTCAAAAAAGTAGATAATGCCCGTAATCGCACGCGTTCGTCAGACCAAACCATACCTCCTGTCAATCCACATCATGATAGTTATTCTCACAGTACCACAAAGCAGCAGAGTGATATTAGCCGATTAAAAAATATGGTCAATGGAAATTATGTACGAAATCAAGCACATAATGCTTACCCTATCATGCCTCCATTGGACCGAGGCGACAGTCTCGAACTGGGTCACACAATGCACGATGGCCTAAGCGAAAACGAAGCTAGCTTCATGACGGCCTACACAACATTAGGGGATTTTGCTGATACTGACGACTATATAGATAATTGGTCACTCAGAGAAAAAGCTCTCCGGCAGGGAACGGTAAAAAAAGAAAGGAGTACTAGCAAAAGACTTGTGGTAGATACCTCAGGTTCATTAGCGCTTGACAAGGACACCCTTGTTTCACCATCTGCCTCCTATCTTAGTCTTCGTAGCCGATTTGAAACAAAAGAAGACATGCATAGAAAGGACGGTAATTCATTTGATCCGCTACTGACTAGCTCAGAATCAACAAACAAAAAGAGTGGCCACAGTCTCTCGAAAAACGACATGGACCAATTTCGCAAATCATCTCGCTTTGGCCCTATTTCACCCTCACCGCTCTCTCCAAATCTCTCTCTACAGAGCCGATCTTCTTTAAAACGTTTCCCTCGCACAAACTCAAGCTCATCCATTGGGCCAGCAAGTATAAGCACAAGCATATCAAGTAGTCTAAAAAAAACACGGAAGAAGCGTCCAGTAGACGTATCTGAAATCAATGTAAATCCCAGTGCATCGACCAATGGGCCAGGCAGAGAACGTACTATATCAACGTCTGATAGCCCCAAGACTCCCACGCGTCTCCCTACACCCAGAGGTAATACAGCTGCAACGCCAACATTCTCACGCACCAGTTTACCAGCTACATTACGCTCCACCCATCGTCGATTACGCACCCTTTCTTCCATTGACAAGGACGAAAAGGCTGCCTGGCTGGATGGTGATCTTGGCCTTTCATCCACTCGATCCACATTGGCAAATGCTACACCAAAAATAGAGCATCCCAGACCTAGTACCAGCACAACACCTCACACACTTCGCACCAAACAGCACACTCTCGATAGTTTTTTACACAAACCAAGTTTGTCGCATGCGATCCCACGCAAATCAGACCTTTCTTATGCACATAGTGAAGAAAACGACGATCGACTTTCGGTATCCAATCGTCGTATTCGCCAAGTATCCCATTCTAGAGGATCTCCCCCCAAGGTCAAAACTTCTTACTCCACTCGGGGTGAATCCGATGCAACCTTAACAGCTACATCCTCAACTACTGGTACACGCACCCGCAAAACAAGTGGCCTGCCAAAATCACGCGGAGGGTGGGGAACACTTGCTAAAGAAATTGTTGATGTGGAACCACTCCCTCCTCTAGTACTTGACAATATACTCGATGATACAAAGGAGGCAGCTGAAGAAGGTAGCAGTGAGTCATCAGAAACCCTCCAGATAAACGCCAAAAAGAACGGAGAACAGAGAAGAGCAAGGGCAATTCCATCCCTTAAACCATTACGAGCAGCAGCGAAAGAGGATCATGAAGACACAGCTGGGGTTTCGACACTTGCTGGCAGACGTGTTCGCCTTGTTCAGCCGCAGCCACAGCCGCAGCCGCCTAAAATAGTTTCTAACCACGGGATCGCAAGACCCTTGCATGAAAAGGGCATCAAAACAGTCCCGAAAAGAAAGAGAGGCAAGGTAAGAATAATAAGAGAGAAATAAGAGATAGGGCAGAACATGGTAATTTATCACTTTGTGAAGCAAGAGTGAATTATGCTAGTGTTAGATATATATATATATACAAAATATACAAAATATCCATTTATTTATTATACGCCTTTGTGTGTTCGTTCTTTAAATCGCATTAGACATTGCCTGGTAATCTGGCAGCACCTCCTGTAGTGGCTTCCCTTGCTCTCCCACCTATGAAAGTAGAGCCACTAAGCCTGGCTTTACCCCACGGAAAAGTAAAGGAGGGATCCCGGACAACGGCGAAGACCCCCACTCGGATTCCCTTGCCTGTTACAAAAGCACCCCATGGTTCTGGACAGAAAAATGAGAGCACTAGCACTGCAAGTAGTGAAGATGAGCCAATTATCAATTCATTGGCTCCAGAAAAGAGCCGAGTTTCGGGAGCTCATAGTGCATCTAACCGAACAAGCCAGCAACAACCACGCCAACAGACTAAAACGGCTAGTCATGAATCCTTTGGCTCTGGAAACGCCAAGGTTGGGCCGACAACAACAATATATGCCGGCACCACACCTTTAACGCTCCAATCAGCAAAGCCATCTCGGGTGGACATTAAACCAGTACGAAAACCCAATGCCTTGGCCGTCAATCTTAAACCATCTTCTTCAGCTACTACGACTCGTCATATTAAAACCTCCATAATTTCATCAGCCTCAAGGACTCGCAAGATCAGCACTGCAACAAAGACAGGAACATCGTTATTCTCTACCGGAAAGCCATATAATAGTAGTACAGGTAATATATCCCCTTAATAAGACATATATAGGCATCGGAAATAAGTTCAAATAGGGATGAAGCTGAATTGAACCAAATTTGGATATATATGTATATATTAGAAACTACTCGTGCCTCAAAAGTCGATATTTCCTTTAAAGAGGCTTCGAGTAGTACACACAGAAAGGCACACACCCTGAATGAACGTCTCCAAGGGCTGGTGGACGATAGCCAGGCATGGACTGCTCAACATGAGCGCGATCGAAAGCTTAGCACCAATGGAAAGCTAGAAATACCTGGATCTGAAATTGTTGTGATCCGTGGTGGTGGAAGTGCGAGCACAAGTACCACTACAAGCGGACGAGATGATATGTCTTCGATTGTGGGCGGCCAAAAAGGATATACTTCTGAAGAAATTGCTATGCGGGAAAGAAAGCTGTCAGTTGGACTTTTCACTAGCCCACAAGGTAAACAAATAAACAAATAAAAAAAAACAAAGGCACCAAATCGTATAGTGTTTTATTGTTAATGTGTATATGTTACTTACGTCTAAATTATAGATGCTCTGATACAACACCAATCTGTTTTATCAAGCTATGAAAAGACGGAGATCCTTAACTATGAAAAGGTGTACTTTGTGGGTCCCCAGGCTCAGAAATGTGCTGCAACTGTAGAGCAATTGACATGCAACCATGGCTATGATGACGATCGGGGAGACTATCATATTGTGCTGCGAGACCACTTGATTTATCGTTACGAAGTTATTGACGTGCTTGGAAAGGGTTCATTTGGTCAAGTTCTCAAGTGCTTTGATCACAAGAACGGACAAATAATGGCTATTAAGCTGATTAGAAATAAGAAGCGTTTCCATGCACAGGCGATGGTAGAAGTCAAGATATTGGAAGACTTAATTAAATGGGTAAATTTACTCCTTGAGTTTTTTTTTACAGGGAAATAGAGGGTTGTAAATTAAAATCATTAATATATGTATATATGTATATGTATGTATTTGATTTTCTTTAGGATCCCAAGGATACTCACAACAATGTACGAATGACGGGGCACTTTTCGTTCCGTAACCATCTTTGCATTGGCTTTGAATGCCTGAGTATCAATCTTTATGATTTTATAAAGACCAACAACTTTAAAGGATTCAGTATGGGGCTTATCAGAAAGTAAGAAGAAGAAGAAGAAGAAAATGTTCCGTGTTTGGTTACTAACATTAATTTAATTAGATTCACTATCCAATTGCTCAATTCACTCTCACTGCTGTACAAAAACAAATTAATTCATTGTGATTTGAAACCAGAGGTAAGTTTTATACAACTTTGTGAATACTTATAATAACACGACCATATTTTATTCGATTATGTGGCCCATAGAATATTCTTCTTAAGCATCCTTCTAAGAGTACCATCAAAGTTATTGATTTTGGTAGCTCATGCCTTGAGAACGAAAAGGGTAAGACTTTAAATAGTTTATTTAAAAAAATCACAGCGACTTATATTTGGGATGGACATTATGCTTACATGTGCATGTGCATATAGTATACACGTATATCCAAAGTCGATTCTACCGTTCCCCAGAAGTTATTCTTGGCATGAACTATAGTATGGCTATTGACATGTGGAGCGTTGGTTGTATTCTAGCCGAGCTGTATACAGGTAAATTAGACTGACTAGATCTGATATGTAAATTTAGCCTTACTAATCGACTTATTAAAGGCTACCCGCTTTTTCCTGGTGAAAATGAACAAGAGCAACTGGCTTGTATCATGGAAATTCAAGGTGTTCCAGACAAAAATCTCATAGAACAGAGTTCAAGGCGGAAACTTTTCTTTGATGCCTATGGGAATCCCAGAATCATGCCTAATTCCAAAGGGAAAAAGCGTCGACCGGGAACTAAGAAACTATCAGAGGCCCTCAAGACCACAGATGAAAGTTTTGTTAGTTTCGTAGAGCAATGCTTACATTGGGATCCTGAACAGCGATTGAAGCCAGATGACGCATTTCTACACACTTGGATTCTCAATAGTAGTTCGGGTTCAATGGCAAAGAAGCTATCATAAACAATATATATATATGCGTATATAGCAATCCATTATACCCAGCAAACCAACATAACCATAAACATATTTCCACCATTACCCATAGATTCTAATCTCTAAAGGCAATATAAAAAGAATACGGACAACATAAATATCTTAATACATTTTTTTTATAATGTCTTGCACTCAAATAATATCATTTCGTGTCGCGTATAATTATGTGCAGCTAACAGGGCTACTCCCAAGTATTTGTTTCTTTCAGCAAAAGTAAAGTGAAAATAAAGACATCCAATTAAAGGTGTTCTTATATTTACTCAATTGTAAGTTGTGTATATATGGCGGGGAAAAGATGCAGATATCAAAGCAAAAGCAAAAGTAAAAGAAAAGGTACATTTCAAGAAAATCCTAAGACTTTCCATACTTTTTATCCATCAAGTTTTTGACTTGCTGATAATCTCGATCGAGTTTCTGCTTGTCATTCATGCCTCTTCTCTCTCTGTTACGCTTTCTGCCATCTCCCAATTTGACACCGAACTGGAAAGCACTCTTTGAATAGATTTCAACAGTATCCTTGTACTTTTGCCATTCCTCTTCATTGTCAAAGTCCCAGCGAGTTAACTGGGCCTTTTTGTTGCGATGTGTGCCTTGATCCACTAGCGATGTCGGAACAGACGTGCCTTCATTTTCATCATCATCCGAGGTTCCGTCATACGCTACTGTACGCTGACGATCTTCGAATGAGGTTGGAAGGGCAGACGTACTGAGACCATACATGTCCATGTCATTAGCATCTGCATCAACTTCATCTGCTTGATAATCCCGTCGTCTTTTTGAAGGAACTTCAAGGGGTTCCTCATTTTTGTTTTCCAGAGGCTGCGATCCAGCTACTGGGATATCCGGTGTTGCCAAGGCACCGCGACCCGTCGCCTGCGACAGGAGTGCAGATACTTGCTCTTCTGCCACATCTTTCATCTCCACATCTTCATTTTGATTATCCTTATTATCAGATCCATTGGGCTGGAATCCCTTGAAATAATCCAATTTTCCATTCTCATCTACTTCTGTGCTCTTTTCAATGGTTGATTCATCTAACTGATAATCTCTGCCAGCGTCTTCAAAAATATCGCAGTCAATTGTGACCATTGGATTAGGCTTTGATATAGCAGACAAGTAAGCAGGGGTAGATGCAGCCGATGCAGACGATGCAGATTTGGCCAAAGCTTTTTTTGTTTCGATAGCCTTCTCCACTACGCGCGCATTGGCCATAACTTGAGACACTTTGCTAATCACGAGAGTAGACTCTGCCTCCATATCCTCCGACCATCCTGTCTGACCAAGTCGAGTGACGCCGTCTGTTTTACTTCTAATGATGCTGGTTGGAATAGAGAAGGCATCACGATAATGGCCAACCTCATCAGCCAACTCGAATACAAAGGCCATTCGACCAGGCACAAAAAGTTCGTTTATACCGCCTGATTTGGTTTCTGTTTTGGATAATAAATCAGCAATCTGTCTTCCCATTGCTGTATGAGTGATTATGGATCCGTCTTCTGCAATCTCTTCTTCGTTTGTTGCAATCGATTCTCCTCGATCGATCTTGTCTAGACAGTCATCTAATTCATTCTCTGCTTCAGCCTCGCGGTGTATCTCGTCCACCTGGGCACGTTTAGTTTCTAGTTCTGTTCGGACTCGTTCCAAGAGACTGAAATCAAGACCTTTGACTAAATGGGTATGGTCTACATCACCACCTAAGTATTTTGACTTTTCGTAGGCTTGCTTAGCATCGAGTGTACTATCTTGTGTGATCAGGGTACTACGAAGAACGTCCTCCATAGTTTGTACAGGTGCTTCTGCTTCATCAGCAGTTGTTTCTTCATTACGTCGTTCAGCAGCACGATCGCGGTATTGATGTGATCTGCCTTCCTCATCATCATCGTCATCGTCGTATCTTTTCTCTGATCGTTCATTTCTAAAGCAAAACAGAGAGAAAGAAAAAAGTAAGAACTAATTAGTACCAAGATATTGAGTTTTTTTTTCAAATATATATTTCTCTCTCTATCTTTTATACCGTTTCTTTCTCACAGGTTCTGGTCTGGCAAATACAGCTCCTGTATCACGTCTAAGATGTGTATATATGCATAAGCGCATGAGCATTGCACTCCATTTCACGTTGAATGTTTACTTGCGGTGTTTTTGAAACTGGTGTTTTAAATCGAGAAGGATGAGGTGTACTGCTGCTGTTAGATGATGCACGAGGCGTCTGCATGAGTTTACGAAAATCGTCTTGGCTTAGTCTAATAACGTTTAGAATGTCAACTTTAAGCAATTATTACTCTTTTTTCTTCTTTCTTTCTTTTTAGTACCCTTCACTCATGGTGTACAGTAATTGACAATTTGATCAAGTTGCTTATTTTGTGTTTTATTTACTGAATTAAAGCAGAGAAGAAAAATGAAAAAAAGAAAACTAGAAAAGCCAAGTTCGGAGAAGTTTATAAAGTGTAAAGAAATGGCTGTCAATATGTATATATTTATATATTTTTTGGTGTGAATAGATAATAATGATAATAGCAGACCCTTTGTAATTAAATAAATAATATCATCTAAAATAAGCAAACGCAAACGCAAAATAATAATAATAATGTGATATTTAAAGAGGATTTATATGTATATCTAGATTTTAACAGAGCTGCTAAAAGCATATATATATATACACCGGCTATATTCGATAAAGACTATTCGACTGTGTGGCTTGTATAGTGGATTTGTCTTTTGTATAGTTTGGATTTTTTAAATTACCAAAAAAAAAAAGAGAACGTATTAAGTCAAGGGTATGGACAGCAAATATAGACAGAAAGGCAAGTGTCAATGTTTCTTTTATGGGTATGTTTTTACTTTTTGGATTGATTTTGGAGCTCATGATTACACTCATCGATAGAAGGTTAAACCTCTTGTTATTATATTATCTTTATTATTAATTATTATTATGTAATGCCCAGCACCATTTTATTGTATCTTAATTTACAGGTTTTTTGATTGGATTCTTCTCGTAATAAGGAGAGATAGGACGTCTCCTCGGTGGCCGCCTTCTTGGGGAGCGAGATCTTGGTGAGCGAGATCTTGGACGTCTTCTTGGAGAGCGAGATCTCGGAGAACGGGATCTTCGCATGGATCTAACGCCATAACTTGATGGTGGACTACGATCTCGGCTGTGATATGAATTTGGACTGTGCATCAGATATCGTTCTGAGCTTAGGTTTCTGTTATATTCAAGCTTATCACTGAGACCCTCCCGCGGCTGAGATGATGGGCTACATGCCCTGACTCGACTTCTGGTTCTGCTAATGTTAATGTTTGGACTTGTGTCAGCAATTATATCTCTACTTGTGCTTCTACTCCTGTTTCTGCTTCTGTTTGTGCTTGTGCTTCTGTTTGTGCTCCTGCTCCTGCTTCTACTCCTGCTTCGATTTATGCGGCCAAGTCTACTTCTCAAAGAACTGGGGGGCTCGGTATTATGTGGACCCTTGTATATATAGTTTGTCTCGGGTTCTTCGACTACATATTGATCCCGGACAATATGAGTGCCAAACCCGCCTATATCTGAATTTCGCAAGGCATGCATTTCGTCGCGTTGGACATTCTCGAGTTCTACAATGGAGATACCATTTGTGGCATCTACAACACCACGGGAAGGTCCAAACGTACGAGCCCAGCTAAGCTGTTGTTGTTGTTATTGTTGATGATGATGACAATATTGTAGAGATGGGAGATATGTTTTTTTTTTAAAAAAAAGCAAAAACACAGGGCAATGAATTACTTTCTGTTTCCCATCTTTTTTTTTATATACATGATTTTTTGTTGCTGTTGCTGTTGTTGTTATGGTTATTGTTTATATTCCATTGATTGGTTTTATCAGATTATTTTACTGTAAAATGGTTAAATAATTATACTCCTCTTCCATTCATTCAAACTGCCATATATTCAGCGCTTATAAGCTGTACACTTTGGCAAAAACCTTTTTTTGGTTTTGGTTATAAAAACAAGCAAGAAATATAGGAAGAGGAAGAGGATAGAAGACGAATGATAATAGAAAAAAAAAGACCCTAAAAAATGACTTGCGACTAATGCACAATTAAACTTACTTTGACTTTCTCACCATTAGGACCTGTTTCGACTTTTGAGTTGACAGCCTTGACAGCTTCTTCACGTCTCGAGTATCGTACAAATCCACTTATTATCGTGCCTTTAGCCTTGACGGTCGTGAGCTAATCATGTTGAGTCAATCGTAAATACATCAACTCTATATCGTTTGTCTGCTATTCTTTCTTTCTTTCTTCGTTTGGAAAACTTTGGACGTGCCTTTACAGATGTCACTACTCCGTATTTCTCCATAGCCTTTCGGAGATCTTCTTTAGATGTAGTTGTTGCAAGAGGTCTTACGAAAACTGTCCTTGAGACGACTATACACCAGCAAATAAATAAAAGATAGTCTCTCTCTTTCTCTTACATATCTCTTCTTTTTCTTTGGAAGGAGAGAGAAAGAGAATAATGTATTGATTTACTTACTACAAATTGTTCCCCTTTCAAGACTTGGATCAAAGAAAGGGTAATTTTTCGGAATCGAACCGGCATCTTCTCTCAACATTCGTACAACTCTTTGAGCATTTTTTTTACCTGGAAGCCTCTTTTTCACAGGTTTAGCAGGCTTGTTTTTTGGTTTAGCAGGCTTATTTTTGGGTTTTGAAGCATTCACCTTTGAAGATGCTTTATGAAATTGCTCGGGAACGATGGGAGTTTGTAAGGCACCTCTCTTCAGAAACGCTCTTGGTCCAGTGGGTGGTAGTTCAGAGTTTTTCTGTCTATGGTTATCAATATCAGTAGTCGTTGATTCGGGGAGAATCAACGGCTCGAGTAAAAGGGCAGATTGGTCCAAAGTGTTTGAACCGCTGGTGCCACTGATGCCACTGTTACCACCGATTCCATTGATGCCACTGATGCCGCGGATGCCGCGGATGCCACTGATGCCACTGATGCCACTGATGCCACTGATGCCGCGGGTGCTGCGGGTGCCGCTGGTGCTGCTGATGTTGTTGTTGGTTCGGCTGCTACTAATGCTGCTGCTTGGAATCGCTGCAATCGGAGGCTCTGGGATGACAGATGCGTCGACATCTTTTGTTGGACTTGATTGCTGAACAGAAGGCGACATTCTCAAATGACTTTGGATACCAAGAGTGTCTATGCCTGGATATATTGGATAAGGTTTAGGCGAGTCACTAGCATTCCTTTCAAAGCAACTTTCCACGAATGACTCGATTTGTTTGGAGAACGAGCTAGCATAAGAAGGCGACAATGATGAAGATGTACGAAGCTGGGAGGATGGACTAAGAATAGATGACCCTGCTGGTTCCTTGGGCCGCCCCTGAAACTGGGGAAGGTCCAACCAGGATGTACGTGTGTCTTTCTCTACAGGTGCTGCTGTTTTAGGGTACATTGGTGTCCATTTTGCAAGTATGTCAGCATCAGAGGGTTGTATCGGCTGTTCCTGAATTGAAGTATCCAACAATTGACTGTGGTTTCTGTCCTTTTCTATGACATTTTGTTCTTGGGGATGGGTTAAACCATGGACTCCATTGTTCTCCACTACACCATATGATGCCGATGATGGATGAGCTGGATACTCTTTGTAAGTATTTTGGATATGATGCTGTTCCTCGTGTTCGACATTTTCAGCATCTTCTTTATCATCATCTTCTGGTAGATAAGGCGGCGTTTTTGGACCATCATTGTCTATTTCCATCGGGATTATAGCTTGGTCATCTTCTTCGTGTTTAATTCTACTGCCGTGCGCCTCAATATAATTTTCAGAATTGGCTTCTAAATGACCAGTGGTATGGTTCTGCTGGGGACTGTTTTCGAACTCTCTTTGATTCCTGCGGATCGACGACTCTTGATTACCAAACTCATTTTTGTAACACTGATTGACGTGTTTGTTTTCTTGGTTTTGTGCTTCCGTCTGCATTTCAATTTGCATTGTGTGCGCTCCTTGTCCTTCAATGTCGTCATAATCACCACCATTATGATCGTCATTCTCGTCCTCGTCGTCCTCGATCGGTGGTGTTTTTGGACCGTCATAGTCATATTCTTCGTGGGTCTGTAAAGATGATGGTTGTGATGATTGAGATGCGTGTGGCGGGGAAGCGATATGGTCTGATATGGGCGTTTTTTCCCATGTCTCGGGTTGGATTGCTGTCTCTTCAGGGTTTATGGCTGAATCGATATCCATTTTCCAGTGCGCCCGTTGAAGTGCCTCTGCAAGTAATTTTGCGGTTGCTTCAGATGGAGCGGCTGCCAATTTGCTCATAAGCTGGGCTATAGTTAAAGGTACTGCGACGGAGACTGGTTCGGAAGATTCGACAGATTCGTCCCCTCTTGGAGGTGAGATTGAAAGCGTCCTTTTTTCTGGACTAGCCTGTGGAGCGCGTTTCTCGATTACTGGTGATGTAACCATAGAATCCGCCGTAGAGTTATTGGCTAAGTATATAATCAATAGTGGTATAGTGGTATATAAAGCATACACAAGTACAGACACACAAGAATAAAGATATATACATATACATGTATGTATGTATGTATATGAATACGAATATGTGTATATATATAATTAAAAACGTTCGTTATTTTCACTAGCCCTATCCACATGCACACGCACAAAGACAGATATATAAAGAGAGAGAGAGAGAGCAAGAGAGCGAAACAGGGAGATGGGTATGGAGAAAGATGGGTATTTTCCTTTCTTGATTTGCTGTTGCCTTTCGCAGTCCGTGGGGCTCTTTCTTTTTGGTGTTTAATTTTACCTGATGATTCGGATGGCCTGTTTGGATTTAAGGAAGAACTTTTGTGAAACAGCGTTTGCTTGAGGTGTGCAATATCATCTGGATGGTATATCTTTGTCTCGTTCCAAATATCCAAGACTTTAATCACCTTTTCCTATTAGTAATCACAACCAGTCTGTCAAGTCCACGTTTATTGCGCATCACAACATCACACATTCTTTGATGTGAATCATAAAGGGGAAAAAATTCTCACAATAGTAATAGACAATCTACCCCTACTTATCTACCTACCCACACCCCCACTCTCCATCTTCCATCCTTATGTTATCTGTAAAGAGAAGGCTCCTTTCCCCTTTTTTTCTTCTTCCTTGTCTACCCACATTCTCTTTCTATATATGTAATGCATAAGAAAGTGAGGAATATAGGCTTACCTTTTCGGTGGTCGTGCAATTACTAAAAGCACCTTTGAATACATCATTTCTAAAAAGAATTGAGAATGACTTGAGATAATTCTCAAGTCCTTCTCTCCTGCTTGGATCTTTGCGAGCCATCTTGGCAGCCATTCTTGAGATAGCATTGATTACGTAGAATCCAGATAGTCTGTATTCAGGATGAGATTTCTTCATGAATTTGATAATAGATCTTATGATGGAAGTACTGTGCTATTCATTATTATTAGATTATTTATTTTTTCAATTATTTGACGATATATATATATATATAGATATGGATGAATGAATAAATGAATAAATAAATAAATAAAATAATGGTGAGTATTATTTCCTTATTTTGTTTTTTTTATCTTAATGTAGGTCATTCGCTTTTTATATTACCTGTGCATGAGCCATTGCCAAGTCTTGAAGGGTGATTATCTTTGAGGCAGAGACCGGTAGTCTCGAATGATAGATAGAATATAGTTCATGTTCAAATACTGCTGGATCGAATGAATGCGTCATGTTGGAAAGAGATGCAAATCTAAACAATCTATAAAGACGTGCTATTCATTTATAGACAATTGAAATCCAATGAAATATATATATAATATAAATAATATATATATATCCGCCTATTTAAGCAAATAATAAAAAAAAATAGATATATGAATATATATATAAAAGAAAAATCTACATGACTTTCAAAGTCCGACAGAAGAATAAAAAGGAAAGAATTTGGTACAACAGTAGAAGGCTAGAGGTTATCACGAGTCACAAAGTTAAATTTTAATTGATTGTTCTAATTTACCCTTTTTTATTTTTACTTTTTTTTTTTCCCACCCCCCTTTTGAATATAACATGCCGCCATGATAGATCAAAGCATGGTAGTAAATGCCAAGTTATCTGATCTGCTACAATAGTGAAGCATTTTGGGTATTTAATGGCTACAATGGAGCTTCGTATTTAATCCGTAACTGAAAATAAGTTCCGTAATCTTATTAAAAGAAAATGAAAATGACAATTCACAAAAAATGTCTTTCGTATGGGTAATGGGTAATGGGTAATGGGTATATAAAGGCTTTTATAATTTCCAACATATTGGCTGAATCAAGCAATTGATCCTTTACTATTTATGAGTGACCGCTGTGGAACGTATGTTGATTTTAGGATATATTACTTGTCAAATGATACAAATACTTGAAGCTGTTGTCCTAAAGCTAAAAAAAAAACCCCCTTTGGCAGGTAGAAGAAAAGGCATTCCAGGACATGACAAGACAAGACTAATTGTGTAAACATATGTCTTTTTGCTGTGGATTGTGTTTGCTTTATCGACAATCTTTTATCAACCCTCTTCTTTACTGTATCTAGGTTTACTAAGAAAAAATGCATACACATCAAGTAATCAAGTTATAAAAGTCCAATGCTAATTTTTATTTATTTTTTTATATAATTTTGGCTTGAGTACCAAATAATAATACATGGCCTTGTTAAATTTATCGTTATTCTTGATTTACAGAGTTACCGTTGTATGTCTCTCGGTTGGTAGAATCAGTGGATCTCAAGGTATTCACATTTGAAGGAGAGTTTCTTTGTTTTATAGATAATGAAGTGTGAGAATACTTAACTGTCCTAATATAGTAAAGTAAAATAAAATTAATTTTTTTTTTAAAAAAAAAAAAACTTACGAATGATTGGTAGAAGCACTTGGTCCTCCCAAACGCTGACCGCCTCCTCCTTGCTGGTGTGAATTTGTGTAGCCACCGATATTTCCAGGTTCGGCTGGGAACAAGGATCCCAGGGCACTTGATAGGGTAGTACCCACTGTACCAGCAGCTTGGTAAAGTGTACCTGTGGCCGAATAGACATAGTCCATCAACCCACCACCCACAGTCGATGGAGCATATGCGTGACTGACATTCTTGATGGCCTTCATAATAATCGTTCCACTTGGGCAGAGGTCTAGTTCGGTAAGCGATCGCTCTTCATCTCCGATACTAAACTGTCTTGTGGGGAACTGTGCCAATAATTTGTAAGGTTGATCTCCATCACTACGATTCTATAGATACATATATAAAAATAAAACAAAATAAAGAATCATTAATATACATGTATGTGGATCTGCATGTACATGTGCATGTAGATTTGCATCTGCATCTACATCTGCATATATGTGTAGCATGTACCTGGTCAATCCAGTTCTGAACATTAGATAGCTTATCGGTAGCTTATATTGTGCAACAAAACATCAATTAGAATTGTTTAACCAGCAGCTTTATACTTCCTTTCGTTTATAGACATGTCTAAATATCTAAATATCTTATATACTTTACCTTGAAACGTATTACGGAGCGTAGAGCCATCTAGCTGACGGATACTAAGCTTACTTTGGTCGCTATTTTGTCTTGTTTATAGACAATATATGTTTGTATGTATATAGATATATTAATATCTATATATTTAAAAATTGCTTATGTTCCAAGGTAAATTGACCTACCTTGACTTTTGCTTTGGCTCTGAAGTTTCTACTGGATTGCTTGGTTTGGCTACTTGTCTGCTGGCTGCTTTCTCAGCTCTGTCGCGTGCAATCTGTTCCTTTACTCGCTTCCGGTGTTCTTCTTCTTCCTTTTTCTCTTTTCGCAATTTATCAAAATATGCCTTGTTCTGTTTGTCTTCCAGACTCTCCTTTGTCTCCTGGTTTGCTTTACCATCCTCGCGTCTCTTGAGTTCTCTTTCGTGTGCTTCCTATAATGTGTGTGTATGTTTTTTTTCTCTATTGTAAATTATCCAAACCCCAAGTTCAATTCTATTATTTTTCTTAAAAAAAAAATAGAAGAATATTTACCCGTTTTTCCCTTTCTTCTCTCTTTTTTCTCGCTTCTTCAAGTTTACGCTTTATCCTAGATAGCAATTTATTTTATTTTATTTTAAAAAAAGAAACAATTAGAATTTGAATGATTTTTCTTTGCTTCTAATTAATATAATATAAAGAATTTCTTACTTTTCTTGCTTTTGAGCGTCTTCAGCAGGATTTACAGAGCGTGCTACAGAGGGTACTGCCAAAGGTGCTGTCGAAGGCACTACTGAAGGTACCGCTGATGGTGCTGTAGCAGAGGCCGAGGTCGGTGTTGGAGTTGTGGGTGTTGCATTGGGTGTTGGGGTGGCCAGTGCAAGCTTGCTTAGAGTATCGAGCTTTGTGATTATGGCATCGGGTGTGATATCTTCTGTACCAAAGTCCTTTATTATACCTTGCCTACACATTAGCTGTATTAAAATCACATCGCATCATATCACATCACATATATTCTATTCTATCCTATCCTATCACGGCACAAACCAAGCTCACTTATATTACAAACTTACTTTATAAAATAAACAATAGGAATATGATATGTTGGATCTAATATAAAGCCATCACAAGAAAGTAAATACATGCCCACCACATTAACAACAACGGCAGCAAGTATTGGCAAACTATAATCTACTCACACAACTGGGTAAATAGCTTTGCGTTATCAGAATCCTTTTCAAGTTTCAAGGCAACCGTGTGCTCAGTTAGCTGTGCTGAGACCTAGAATATCAATAATGTATATATAAATATATATTAGCAAGATCCAAAGATGTGCTTTTATATTTTTTTTATTTATTTTTTTATACATTTGAGTCTTCCAAGGTGGCGCTTAATTGATCACTTTGAGGGGAATCGTCTACAATGATGAAGGTGAGATTCCGACTGTTGGTTCTTTTTCTTTTTTCTTTTCTTTTTTATTCAATATAATTATTAACTCACCATATATATAGACAAACAAAAGACAGTTTCTGTCGTTTACTTTGGATACTGCCTCTCCAATAGGTCCTTCAAACCAAATGTTGTTGGCAATTGATGACATTAGTAGCAGTAGTAATACTAAAAATAAAGAAGGTGTACGTGACGGGGTTTAAAGATGTTTGAAAAAAATATAGTGCTTTAAAAAATTAAAAAAAAAATAAAGAGAGAGAGAGAGAGATAGCGATAGCGATAGAGTGATAAAAAGAGGGGAGGGGGGTAGTGGTAATAATTGAAGTAGTGGCAATTATAGTAGTGAGTATAGAATTGATTATGATCGATATTCTAAATAAAGGTATATATAAAACTCAAAAATTACAATTTCTGTTTAAAAAGAAGATATAGCTAATGGTCAGATTAGTAAGGGAAGTTAAATGAAGTATTTATTGCTTGTCTTTTAGAGAGAAATGAACTGTGAAGAAGTAGAGATATTAAATAATAATAATATAATTCATTCAGGTTACAAGATTGCATTTTTGTTTCCTTCTTTTGTTTCTGTAATTTCTATATATAGAGATGTTTACTAATAGTATCACATTAATGCATTTTAATCACGCTTCATAAAAGGAAATAGTAATAAGTACAAGAAATAAAAAAAAGGAGGTCCCAGTTTTCTGATCCCCCTCCCCCCTCTCTCTCTCTTTTCCCTCCCCTCTTATTTTGTTTTTGTTCCCCTCCTTTATATATTATATAGATAAAATATTCGAATTGTATGTATGAGTTAATATGTGGGTAAAGAGGTATAGAAGTGTATAAGAGTGTATAAAGAAGTGTATAAATGTGTGTGTGTCTATGGAAATATGTGCGTGTTTTAATAATTATTTTTACTGATCCTCAGGTTGGACGAGTGCCACATTAACAATGGTAAATGGAATATAAAGTCGGCTGTCAATTGTGGGACAGACTTTTTATATATACATATCATTTTGATAGCCAGCAATATTATTATTATATAAACATTTTTCTAAAAAAAAAAAAAAAGAAAAGCTAACCAACCCCAATTCTAATCGCTTTACCTTTATTAGCCTTGAATATTATTATTTATATATATTTTATATATATATTTTATATATAAATTTAAATAAAATTTAAATAATAATAATAATAATAATAATAATAATAATAATAATATATTATTTCACTCCCTAGACGCCTCTCTTTCTTTTCTCTTTTGCTTTTACTTTTATTTTATTTCATTTTTTATTATTTTTATTATTTATTTTATTTTATTTTATTTTATTTTATTTTATTTTATTTTATTTAATTTTATTGATTTAATTTTTATTTATATATATTTTTATATATATAATATCTTACAATTACACACGCATACAACCACACACACACACATCGACACATCGACACTCATTCACCCATTCACTCATTCACTCATTCGCTCGTTCACTCAGACACTCAGACACTCAAACACTGCGTACACACACACACACACACACACACACACACACATAAACGACGCAGCCATAGCCACACAGCCAAAAGAAAGAGAAATAGAAAGAGAAATACAATTGAGAAATATTATATTGCTTGTATTTCACAATGACAGTTTATAGAGATGATAAGGATGTAGAGATGGCCATCACAGCTCCACCTCCATCCTACTCGTCTTCCCAGATACCTTCTAGGTTCAAGTCTTTCTTTAGTCCTCAGGCTAGCGACATTTCATGCGATTCCTACCTGTCCTCCTCGTCCTCCTCTTTTACCGTTCCAAACGACTTTGAAGCCCCCAAGCAACAAAAGGGCTTCAAGAGCAACTCTTGGTTCTCAAACACATCCCTCGCCACAAACTCCAACAAAGGAATCCGCAGAGTCGCCTCAGCTCCCAACGCAAACTCGCTCAACGCACACCGCCCTCCGAACTACCCTGCCCAGTCTCAGTCTCAGTCCCAGTCTCAGCATCAGAATCCTCCCCACTACAGCAGTCTTCTCCAGATGAAACTCAACAGTAGTACCTCTGAAGCGTTCTCTTCTGTTCCTGCCTTTCCAGGCCAACTTCAACGTGTACGATCTTTCCGTCGCACATATAGCTCAAATAGTATTAAGGTGCGCCAGGTTGAGGTCGGTCCGTCTAGCTTTGTTAAGATTCGTATGCTTGGCAAGGGAGATGTTGGCAAGGTTTATATGGTCAAACAAAAGGACACTGACAAACTATTTGCCATGAAAGGTAATATCTATAAAAGTATAAACATTATTTTTTCTATATTGTGCTTATTGGTAAATCCTAAATTTATAATCTACAACAATATATATATATATATTCGTAAATGTATGAATATGAATTTTGTTAATGATTTCTTCTTCTTTGTTGTTGTTGTTGTTGTTGTTGTTATTCTAGTACTCTCAAAGAGGGAAATGATCAAACGCAACAAGATCAAGCGTGCCCTGGCTGAGCAGGAGATCCTTGCCACCTCAAACCACCCCTTTATCGTCACTCTGTTCCATTCATTCCAAAGCCAAGATTATCTTTATTTCGTCATGGAATATTGTATGGGAGGAGAGTTCTTTAGAGGTAAGAAACAAAGAAACAAATACCTCTTCTTTAAGTTCATGCACACACACACATATATATATACTTCTTCTTCTTTGGTTCTGTTTGTTTGTTTGTTTGTTTGTAATAAATCACACCCTAATTAATTATAATTAATTGATTTTTTTTTATTAATTAATATCTATATCCTTTTTAACCTGTGTTGTATTTTAGCACTTCAATTGAGACCAGGAAAGTGCTTGGACGAAGAAGGAGCAAAATTCTATGCAGCCGAGGTTACTGCCGCATTAGAATATCTTCATCTTCAGGGTCATATCTACAGAGATCTCAAACCAGAAAGTAATGTGGACAATCTCATACTAAAGAAAACATGAACTCAATTCAAGTATAATTACGCGTGTGTGTATGTACGTGCATATGTGCGTATATGTACATGTATATACATATTTACACGCACACGCACATATATATATACATATATACATATTATCATTATCATTATCATTTCTGTAGATATTCTTCTTCATCAAAGTGGACACATTATGCTGACTGACTTTGATCTCAGCAAGGGATCTAGTCCTCCAGGAAAACCAGGTGTAGTCAAGGCTAGTTCACCCAACCAAGTAAGTATTATTTTTTCTCTAATTTATAGTATACTAGATATGATTGGTTGAGAGAATTTGATTGTACATTATTGTCATTTTGATCTTGATCCTGATTCTTGATTTTGGTCAATGTTTCTATTGTTCATTTACACATACGCATATATATACACATGCATACATCTAAATACAATTATTCCTTTTTGTATGTATATCTTTATCTTTATCTTTATATTGTTTATTATCACCTTTACAAGCCGCCGTCGATCAACACAAAATCATGTGTCAATAATTTACGAACAAATAGTTTTGTCGGCACCGAAGGTACTCCACACTTCGCTTCGTACTTTGCGGGCCATGCGCTGATACTTCCCTAGAATACATTGCTCCCGAGGTTATCAAAGGTTGCGGTCACACCAGTGCCGTTGACTGGTGGACCCTGGGCATCTTGATTTTCGAGATGCTCTATGGAACAACCCCTTTTAAGGGTGCCAATAGAAACGAGACCTTTTCACGCATCATGTTTTGGGAAGTCAAGTTTCCTGATCAACCGGCACCCTATCAGAACCGGACCCTGTCGAGTTCGGGCAAGAGTCTCATCCGAAAACTGCTGCACAAGGATGAGAACAGTCGACTAGGATCCTGCGCGGGCGCGGCTGATGTCAAGTCACACCCTTTTTTCAAAAACGTCAACTTTGCACTCCTTAGACACCAATCGCCTCCAATCCTGCCTCTTATCCACAAGTCAAACGGTATCGATGCCGTTAACTTTCGAAGAATGCCACCAGAGAGCATGAGCCTTGATCTAGAATCAGACGATGTCATGGTCAGCATTCACAATGACCATAAAAATAACCCCTTTGAGAAGTTTAGTTCAAGTAAGTCAGTCATCTTGGTCTTTAACAAAGACAAAGAGAACCCTTTTATTTTTATTTTTAATTTTTATTAAATTAAATTAAATTAACCACCATTACAATAGTGACTCTGTATCATGAAGGTGATTCTGACTCTGAAATCGACAGTGAGGTCTAGAACTTGCCTTTACTCTTCTTCATCTTCATCTTCATCTTCTTCCTCTTAGTCTTATTCTTCCGCTTAATTCTCCTTGTATTTCTGTGTTTGTATGAGTGCGTGCGAGTGAGTGAGTGAGTGGGTGAGTGGGTGAGTAGATAGGTGGGGTGGGTGGGTGGGTTTGATTATGTACCTTCTTTTTTTTCGCTATCATTTATTACTATATCTTATTTTTAGAAATCTCAAAAAACCTCCTTCTTCTTCTGTCTTGTCCCATCGTCCTACCTTCAATATCCATTGGCTATAACCATCTTTACTTCTTTATATTTTCCCTTTATTCGCCTTGTTCTCTCTCGCTCTTATACACACACTCACTCGCACAAACACATACACAAAACCTACACTAATATTTCCTTTTTATAATTGTTTTATTTAGTTACCAAAAAAAAACACGCCAATTTTTTTTTCTTTAATTATTTTCCTAAACCTATTATTATTATTATTATTATTACTATTATTCTTATTTTTTTTCTTACTATTTATTCTATTATTTTTAAAGAAGAAATATATATATATATATATATATAAAGTGGTAAATATTATTCACATCAACAGCATCATAAACATTGCATACACACAAGCATAGGATCTATAAGCTTAACATGGTCAAAAAGGTTATTTAACAAGTATTTCAATTTTGAAACAAATCAACCTAGAGAAAAGAACGTTTTTTGACACATTCATATGTAGTTATAGATATAAATTTATATATAAAAGAAAGGTATAATTATTCTTTTGCTGATTTTTTTTTATCGATGTATTGGTTATTTATCATCATTATCATCGTTTTTCTTCTTCTTTACAAAAAAAAACAAAGAAAAATAAAAGAAGAAAGAGAAAAGAAAATATATAAAGTAGTATTAGGCAGTAGAGCCCAATACACCCATCTTGTCCAATGCACGGACACCTTGTTCTTCCCATTCTTGCTTTGTCACCCACCAAGAGTCCTTGTTCTTCATAATGTCAGCAAGAACAGCTCCACCCAAGAATACCCTTTTATCATACGTCAGTTGAATTGAATTAGTTTGCAAAGACCTTTAGAATCTAAAATATACACTTAAAACTTACATGTGCTTGCGTCTAGGTGGATCTTCAATACGAATCTTGAATTTCTATTATTTTTTTTAAAAAAAATAAATAAATTATATCGTGAGTATTTATTTAAAGTATGTATGTATGTATGTATGTATGTATTTATATATGGACTAACTTACGTTCAATCGACTAACATCACCATCCAAGACATTTGTAAGATACAACTGCTTCATCTCCTTTTCAAGACGACTTGGTAGTCCAGGATACATGGTGGATCCTCCAGAAAGCACAATGTGCTTGTAAAGATCAGCACGGATATCAATATCAGCCGATTGAATGGTATTGAACAGCATCTCTATAGATAGTACACAAACATAACAAATATTAGGTTTATCTTGAAGAGGGTATTGCAAAACCTATATATGTAACTTACCAGCCATTCCACCAGCTTCAACATCAACAAGATGAGGTTGGAAAAGACACTCGGGTGCTTCGAATCTCTCTGATCCAACCTTGATTACACGACCATCAGGAAGCTGAATAAATATATAGGAATTTAGACATAAATCATCAGTATCTTATTCTTATATTATTATTTTTTACTTTATTACCAAAGCCTTTAACTCCTTTTGTTAAATATATTAACTTACTTCGTAGTTCTCTACCAAGGTTGTTGTCTCATTACCAAGCTTTTGGTCCAATTCAAGATCATAACTGGCACACAATTAAGCATAATAATAATAACGTTATTATACATATGGACACAGTTACATATATCCTATGAGTGCAAAATACATTTATATATTTTTACCTGACATAGCACAACTTTTCCTTGATTTGTCTAATTGTCTCAAAGTCAGCAGTACGGTTGAATGCATAACCACGGAGAAGCAAGAGCTTGATAAGGTATCGAGTGACATGTCGTCCAGCAACATCGAGACGGCGTGTCAAATTTGCAGGAGCATAACCTTCATAGACAGGAACCTATCGTATATATATATATATATATAGATTGTAATAATAAATAAATAAAAAATAAACCTTGCTTTCACCTACACCTACACTTTTGCACTCCCCCTTTTTTTTTGAAGAAGTATATCTATACCCATACATATCTCTTTCTCTTCCACACACACACACACACTATCTCTCTCTCTATTTATATACAAATCGCATACCCACAGATATAGATATAGATTTATGTATCTATGTATGCATTTATACTCACAATGTGGGTCACACCATCTCCAGAGTCAACCACAACACCAGACAAGAGACCCTGAGCGAACAAGGTCAAGACAGCCTGGATGGCGACATAGGCGCCCTGGAAACCATACTCCTCAAACATAATCTGAGCCATTTGTTCACGGTTGGCGCGTGGGTTCATTGGTGCTTCGGTCAACAGAATCTTGCAGTCTCTGGGGTCAACCTTAAGCTTCTCGTCGAAAGTGTAGTTCCACAAGTGACGCATGTCCTCCCAGTTTCTAATGATACCATTCTCCATTGGATATGACATCTGAAGACTGTTGCGAAGTGCAGCAGCCTCATCACCAATCATTATGTCCTTGATCTCGAGATTGCCTACTTTCTCCTCGGCACGCAAGATGGGTCGACCAACTACACTCGGAAATACATGTTCGGGAAAGTTGGAACCAGCATAACCACACTTTACGAACTGTGTTTGTAGTTGGGTGTGGTTGGGTGTGTGCGTAATATACATAAAAAAAAAGGTAATTTTTTTTTATAACTGTCAATGGTGGACTTTCATCATCTTTCTTGTAATGTATAAATGTAATTAGGAAGGACTAATGTAGTTGTACATTATAAAAATAACCATAAGAGGACCTACTACATCTATATAGCTATGTCTCTCTTTTGGTTTTGTGTGTGCCAAGGTAAGCTAGTATGTGAATGAATAAATGAAAATTATGAAAGACTTACACCCGTTCCGTTATCAACGACGAGTGTCTTTGTTGCGTCCATAGTGAGCTTTCAAATGATATGTAATAGTAATAAAAAAAAGAGGCAAAGTAAAGCAAAGTAAAGGAAACGCGGGAATAAGTAATAGGTTAAAAGAAAATGCGCTTGTAAAGGGGAGGGGAGGAGCTTAACACTTTTTTTTTTGAAGTTCGTTTTTTGTCTTTAATCTCAGTATAAAGCCATTTGCTCCGCTTTCTTTCTTTCTTCTTTTCTTCCTCTCTCTCTCTCTCTCTCTTATTTTCTCTTCCTGGCTCTGGCTTTCTCCAAAAGCTTGTCTCGCGTCAATGATGTCATTGAATCATGACGTGAAATTTAAAAGCAATTATAAAATATATATTGGTAGTATTTTATGCTTGGTATTCATCTTAATGCTTGCCAAGATATTTTCTGTATTGTTAAATATAAGTCGCCTTTTTTTATTTAATTTTAAGTAATAATAATGATAGCAATTCAATATTGAAACATACATAAATGCATATATAATGAATTTTTGTGTAAATGCATTGTGTCTAAAATATATATAAATAATTATTCTGAACTTTTTTTTGGAATTTTATAATATGAATATACACAATTTATGTGAAAATTAGGATGAACAAATTAATTAATTAATTAATTAGTTCAATTATGTATGTTCTAATAAGTATAATATCCGCATTAGGAATGTTCTTATAAGAGTGCAAAAAAGTAGTAAAAATTACGCTTTTTGCGTATATTTTTATTTTATTCCAAGTTTTTTTTTGATAATTGATAAATGTAAGGACATATATGCATAATACATAATACAAAATAAAAAAGTAATTTATTAAAGAAGTATATGCGAATTTTGTTTGATTGACCAGTGCTTAAGTATTACAACCATGCACTTATACACATGCATGGACATTATGTATGTATGTCTATATGTGTATCCATATACCATTAAGTGATATTTCTTTATGTATATAGAAAGAGACTTTCTACAGTACATACCTATATAGCTGTACTTGGTTAATTAAGTTACAAGCTACAAAATGAATAAATATTAGGATTCTTGATGATTTACACAGCACAAATATTGAAAGCCACATTTTCCACTTTGTTCGGGTTATATGTATGAATTATTCTTCTACTTCTTCTTCTTTCTACTCCGGTTCTCGGACCCAAAGAAGAAAAGCAAATAATGATATTCTTGTACTTACCAAACCATCACTTGGGTTTAAGTTTAAGTTTAAGTTTGGGTTTGGGTTTTGGTTTTTGGTTTTTGGTTTTGGGTAGGGCGAGTTTGGGTACTCGATTGATTCGATTAAGTAACCTGGCCACAATAATCTGAACTCAACTTTTGTTCCACTACCTTTCTCTCTCTCTTGTCTTTGTTTATAAACACACAATGTATATACCATTTTGAGTTCAAATTAGGATGATTTTGATATTTTCTTATGGAAGCAAATAAATTTATCTTCAGACCTTCATCTTTTTTTAAAATAAAATAAAATAATAATTGTTACTGAGATATTCTTACAAGCAGCCAACATATTCTTTTGGAGCTCAATTGATATTTATCTGTCAAAAGGTGTCTTTGGTATTGTTAATGCAGTTTCTTGTGTGTATGTCCGACCTTACTTTTGACAAATGTCTCTTCAATAGGATTCATAAAGAGTGAATAATGCTACATAAATAAAAGGGTTCTGTAACCATGTTTCTTTATATTTTCAGAAACAAAATCCGAGTAAATTATTCATACAACTCTGTGAGCCACCTACAGAAATATATATGCATATTATATCAACAGCTTTACTATATACAATCTCTCTCCGTTCCTAAAGACTGTTTTTTCTTTTGCCTCTATTTGACGAAATATTTTCTATTAGATATTTGGTTTGTTGCATGCCATTCTTGTTTATCAAAAAGGCACATAAGATATATATGTAAATACTGCTACAAGTTTTCACAGAGTTGATTTATTATTAATACGCTCCATAAAAAGAAATAAAGACAATGGTATATGTGAATGTATAGAATTGAAGAGGACCGCTAATCATCAACCATAGTAAAATTTGTCACCTTTACTTGTAAAGACTTCAAATTCAAATTCGTTTTAGTATAAAATAATAATAATAATAATAAGGAAAGCCCTTCTAAATATGGAACAAATTTTTCTATTGATATCATATCATATCATATCTTTTTTTTTTTTACTTCAATGTCACACTTTGTGAGCACCAATAAATACATCGTTTCATCTTATTACCTTTGTTATAAAAATTCTGCAAGCTTATAAATAAATAAATAAATGTATGTATATATGCGCGCGTTTCTGTGTGTTGGTTATATATTTAACAGCCAAAGAAGAAGAGGAAGAAGAAAAATAAGTTTTGTGAAAGCAATCACGATAATTCAATAGGTGACTAGATTGTGTGTTCAATAAGATGATAAGGAATTAGGTTTTATTAGAGATAACTGTATTATAAATAAGTAACATAAAAAAAAGAAGCTGATTATTTTATATATGTATATAAATGTGTGTGTGTGGGTGTATATATGTGAATGTGATTGGGAAAGTGTGCGAGTGTATGTATATTATTATTATCACTATTATTATTATTTAACTGCCATAGTACTCAGTCTTTTCAGCCTTAGAAGTAAAATCTTGACGGGCTGAGATGTTGTCTTGAGAAATACCAGAGTGGTTGGTAATAACACCAGTAGGAGTCTCGAGCTTGACATCGTCTTCGAACTCATACTCATCCTTGTGCCAGTCGAACGACTGTCCACGCGACTTGGCAATCAAGAACTGGATCCAGGTAGGAACAAAAGAGCGGCTCATGGCAGCAGTCCACCAGTCCTCGCGCTGAGAGTAGTCGGGACGGATGTAACCGCCAGTAGCCTTGTCCAAGACGTAGGCAAAACCGTTGATAATAACATAAGAAATGATGCCACCAATGACACCATAGGCAATCGAGTAAGTGAATGGCATGATGGCAAGTGTAATGAAGGCCGGAATGGCATCTCCGGGGTAATCCCAGTTGATGTTGCGGATACCAGAGGTCATCATTGAACCGACGATGATCAGGGCAGGCCCGGTTGACCAGGGTGGGAAACTGGCAAAGATTGGAGAGAAGAAGATGGAGACAAAGAAACCAAAGGCAGTGGCAATGGCAGTGATACCAGTACGACCACCTTCGGCAATACCGGCACCAGACTCGATAAAGGCAGTACAAGGCGAAGAACCAAAGCAAGAACCAATGGTGATGGTAATAGCATCGGTCATGAAAGCCCAGGTCGAATGTTCAAAATCACCGGCCTTGTCAGTGAAGCCACCATAGCGAGCCATGGAGTACATAGTACCAGTGGTGTCCATGATATCAACATACTAAAAGCACACAAAAGCAAAGTAAAGTAAAGAAAGGTAAGTAATCTACTCATTAACTTTTTCTTTGGGTTTCTTGCTAGCTTATTGTTGCCATTCTTACCAAGAAGGTGATCAAGGCAATCCAGATATCCTTGCCAGTGAGGTTAAAATCGAATCGACCAAGAGTACTATTTTTTTTTAAAAAAAAAGGTAGTTTTATTAGTATTTAATTAAATGATAATATTTATGGTAACGATAATGATACTTACTGTTCCATCTTGTGCACTGTAACAACCTTTTTGAAATAATCAAACATAAGATCACCCTGAGGAGTGTAGGGGAAGTAGGTGACCTTGTTCACACGGGGCCAGGAAGTGATAGCAATGAAGATAATAGAGATCAAGATAGCACCTCTGACACGGTACATCAAAAGAATAGCCATCATTACCAAACCAAGAAGACCTTTTTTTTAAAAAGAAAAATATTGCTTGATATCAGTACACAGCACATAATAATGACAATACAAAAAATACAAAGCTCCTGCTTTCTTGGTAGCTTGTTTGGTTGCTTAACTCACCCATATAAAGAGTTCCAGACTCCATACGACCCCATTGACAAACACCTTCAGCACTCAAAGCTTCAGTAGGACAGCCACCTTAAAAATAAAGAAGAATATTAGTAAAAAAAAATAACAAAAAAATAACAAATAAAAAATTGAACAAGATGCTTACCTAATGTTACTAGTGTAGACATGTCGAGACTGACAAGACCAATACCGGCTGATTTTTGAACACCAATAAAGCACAAGTACAAGCCAATACCACAACCCATAGCAATTTTTATACTCATAGGAATTATTCGAGCCAGCCATTGTCGGATACCAAAGATTGATAGGACAAAAAAGATAAGACCTTCGATGAATACAGCAGCCAAGGCAGTCTCATAAGACACCTTGCCGCTACCATGGAAACCAACTACGGTATAAGTAAAGTAAGCGTTGAGACCCATACTATTGTTGTTATTTTAAAAAAAAAGGAGGTTAATATAAATAATGACAGTAATGGTACATATATTATTATTATTATTATTATTATTATTATTATTAATTAATTAATTAATTGTTAACTTGAAAGATCAGGTTTAACTTACCCAGGGGCCATACCGATAGGAAGATTGGCAAATACACCGAGAAGAATAGAGGAAATCATAGCAATAACAGTTGTGCCCATAATCAAATCCAGTTTGACTTGGTAAACACAGCTCATGTAATCTTCATTGAGGGAACAGACAGGATCAGCTTCGGTGAATTCACAAACGCAGGTTCCTCCACTGTCACTGATAATCGAGGAATTTACAGAAATGATATAGGCCTAAGTCAGGAATAATAATTAGAAAGGAAATTTATATATATATATATATTTGATGCACGTATAAATAGTTTAATTAAAGGTATTATTTTATTGATTTTACTATCAAGAAAAGACAATACAAGAAGCTATATACCATACCATGGAGAAAAAGGTAGTCAAACCAGCACGGATTTCGGTGGAAAAGAGAGTTCCTTTGCGTTCACGTCTGGCACCTGAACCTTCGAGCTGGAAATGCCTTCCAATAAATGAATGCGCTATAGCGCTATTGAGGGTATCAATCCAAGTCATTGGGGGGTTTTTTTTTCTTGGTTGAATTGACTATCTGTTCAACTTGATCGATCGGTTTAATGGTTCGTTAATTGATTGATTAATATGTATTATAAAGATAGGTAGATTTCTTCTTTCTTATGTTTGCTTTTTATGATCTGCAAAGAAGCAAGAACAACAAGAACAAGAGTCAATCGAAATTTAGATAACTTGATATTTGGCTTATATATATACATATTGTACATTTATTCGCTTGTATTATAATTCTTGACCCACCTTCCTAACATAGACAAGGCAGGCAGACATAGATAGATACATTGTACTATTGTTATTTTATTATTATTATTATTATTATTCTTTAATAAAATAGGATAATATGTGTAGAGGTATGTCCTTCCATGGCAAGTTCCACAGCCATGTTGATACGATTGGGTATGCCAGTGGAATCTCCGAATTTTCTAGTACCACATAATCAAGAGACACACGCACATATATATAAATATGAAAGAGATAAGACTATTAAAAGATTAAATATAAAATAAAATAAAATAAATATCAAACCATACATATAAAGAGATATATATATATATATATCTTTGGAAGGATATTTAAAGCTATAGATTAAATTGTTTTCAATTGCAATACTTGATCTATTAAATCAAATAGCATCTTGAATTATATTGATACAAATCTCTTATTAACAAACCAGTCCTCAAGCAAAAGCAAGCCATTTTGAATGTGCGTGAGTGTAGTGTGTGTGTGTTTGTGTGAGTTAGGAAGAATACTAATAATATATAAAAAAAATTGCTGCTACTAAAAAGCTAACCTGGCCTACCTGTCTTACCTTCTTTAATTAGCGATACTTGGATGATTTCTTTTTTACTTTTTGCTGCTTCCATTTAGATTTCAGCTTCTGAACGTTTACAGTGGTAAAATAGGTTTCTTTTTTTTTTAGTTTTGTAACCTTTGATCACAATAGCACTTCTATTCTATTCCATGCAAAAAATTTATTGGATTTCAATATATCGGGATAATAATCTTGAATACATAAGGCAGAAAGAGAGAAAGATATTGAGGTAACTATTTGTCTATAGATGTTCTAGTTGGCAACAAGATAAGAACCCGAAATATTGTGCCAAATGAACAAAATAAGCTATTCAGGATAAGAGATTATGAAATATATATATATATAAAACATTTGTGATTCACCTTTATCTTTTATATATATATATACCCACTACAAATTATCATTATTATCATTATTCTAGTCGTAGGTTTGTAGTAAACGGTCCATTTATACCCTGATCAACATCATTTTAATATCACTCTATCTATCTCTCTATCTACATACAGACACACAGACACACAGACACACACAGAAGTGTCTATCCGTATGTACATATATACATTTAAACACTTTCTAGATCAAACATCGTTCGATTCTCCTAGCAACAAAATGCTTTGTTTCTTATTTTGGCTGGGCTTTATTTTGTCTTGTATTATAAATATATATATAGATAAATAGATCTGACACACAAAAAAAAGAGAAAAAAAAAGGAGATCCATCTACAAGGGACTTCTTTGACTCATCAATATCCAGATTAAAGGAAATATATGCACATTCTAATTATTCGAATTATTACTATTATAAAGCAGCAATTGAAACAATAACCTGGTTTGTATTAAACGTTCCACACAGAGAGTGGGTGCACGAGCATTGAACCCTGTAAAAAATAAATAAATAAATAAATAAATAAATAAATAAATAAATAAATAATTAGTACACAAACAAAATAATCATCAAAAACAACAAAATACTGTAGCCCTTGTTTTTTGTCTTATAAAAAAGAAGAAGAAGAATAAAAATATATCTATTAGATGTTGCCATGGTAAATGTCTCACAAGCAGATATCATTCACCAAAGAACAGCTTTAATGTATAAAAATGCGCTTTCGTATCTTTGAACTCCCACTTTCTTCTCTCTCTTTTATATATATATTAATTCCTTTATATTTTGTACACATTTTACACTTTCTAATGTATAAAAGCTTTAGGTCCTTGGAATCTTTCCAAAACCAAACACCAAAAGAAAGAAATAATGGAAACATTTAGGTGATTAACGAATATCTAGTCCTACGAACAATGTCTATTGACGAGTGTATAATGTATTCAGAACGTTTATTTTTTTTTAATTGTTGTGGTAATACTGGCTTACTTCTTTGATTTCCATACGCAAAAATATAAAGAAAGAAAAGTCAGAATCATCGTATTTTACGTGTCTAAAATAATAGTTATAATTTGTGGTCCATGCTCAAATCTGCTTGATCTCACAATACACCCCCACCTATATACACATGGAGATATATATATATATAGTAGATATAATAAAGTCTTTGGACATCCCTACTCTCCGATATTGATACGGATAACGCATTGACCCAGTTCAATAAAAGAAGAACATAAAAAAATATATGAAAGGTTAAGATAACGTAAAAATAAAATAAAAATGCCCTGTTCTGCCCTTCCTTTCCCTTCCTTGTCCTGCCATACCGAACACGCTCAAAAAGAACTTTATCACGTTGGATTCTATTTTTGTATTTGTACTTATTGCTACTATTATCATTGATAAATAATGATACTAAGGATTGACTTTTTGGCCTAGTATCAATAGACTTTTCTTTATGCTTTTATTTTAATTAATAGCCATATTATACCGGACAGTATATATGTCCGGACCGGATTTTATAAATTATTAAAATTTGATCGAAATAGAGAAAGAGGCATTGCGATTTTTTTTTTGGATTTTTTTGGTTGGCCGAGCAAGGTCTTTAGGTACCGGGTACCAAAGCTCATTAAAGCTCCTTCTCTCTTCGACAGTGCGTACGTATCCATCTCTTATAAATGACATGAGACTTCTATTAGCCACAAAGATACTTGGCCCATGTATCCAAATGGATGAAACAATCCTTGGAAACATGGATACCATGTATTGAATGGATGGACAAAAGATATATATATATATATAGATGTAGATTTACATGTATATTTTAAATTTAAATACACAAGATGTGTGTAGATATGCATATAAAATTATATAATATACACATATATATAATATGTATATATTTTTATAATATATAATTTATTTATATAATATGCTTAAATCCACATGTATATATATAATATATATATATATATATGTATATGTACATGTATATTCTTTAAAGAAGTATATCATAATGGTTTACTAACCAACTGAATATGATGTCTATTTCTTCTTTTACTTCCTCTTCTTCCTCCTTCATGTATTGCCTTGACGCCAACTTAAAATATATACATATATAAAACAATCAACAATGTTATTTAATTTATTTTAAATAACAGAAACTTCTGAGCAAACAATGGTCAGATACGCTGCTACACCCGTCAACCCTGCCAAGGCTGCCAAGTCCAGAGGCTCTTACCTCCGTGTTCACGTAAGTATATATATATATATATATATATACGTGTATAAATGTATACATGCATAATCTACAATCAATTTTCTTTTTACATATTTTTTTATTCATTTGATTAATCAATCATGTATACCATTTAAACATATAAATATAAACAGTTCAAGAACACCCATGAGGTTGCCGTCGCTGTTCAGGGTTTGAAGCTTTCCAAGGCTTACAGCTACTTGAACAACGTCAATGAGCACAGACAGGCCATTCCTTTCCGCCGTTTCAATGGTGGTGTTGGTCGCACTGCCCAGGCCAAGGAGTTCGGTACCACCCAGGCCCGCTGGCCCGTCAAGTCGATCAAGTTCGTCACTGATCTCTTGAAGAACGCCGAGTCCAACGCCGAGTCTAAGGGTTTGAATGTCGAGGAGCTTTACATCTCCAGCGTCATTGTCAACCAGGCCCCCAAGCACCGTCGCAGAACTTTCCGTGCCCACGGTAGAATCAACCCTTACATGACCTCCCCATCCCACATTGAGGTCATCCTCACCGAGAAGGATGAGGTCGTCCCCAAGGCCAATGACAAGAAGGTCGTCCGTCTCAATGCTCGCCAGTTGGCCCGCAATGCTCGCACCTCTGCTTAAATCATCATCATCATCGACTTGGTCATCAGGAATAAGAATGTCGACGATAATCAAGACGAAGACGACAGTAGCAGCATATTATTAAATAAATATATACATATATAAAACAATGGTTTATTTATTTTTTTACGCGTATGTGTATGTGTGTGTGTGTGCGTGCTTGAATCATTGGCATTTTTTTTTTTGGATATTGTTATTATTATTAGGATCTATATTATATGAGTGTTCACTGTGTTTTGAAAAAAATCAAAACATACAATGAAATAGAAAAAGAAAGAATGAAAGAAAGAAAGAAGAAAATGATTACTGTGAAGAAATATTTGAAACAAACAGATATTAATTCTTTTAAAAAACAAAAAGGGATAGGGGAGAGAGGGGGATGGAGAAGGGAGGGTGGTAAAGGAAGAAGAAGAAGAGGAGGAGGAGGAGGAGGAAGGAAGGAAGGGAAAGATAAAGATAAAGATAAAGATAATAATAAGTGGGAATTGTGGTGTAAATTCAGTTCAATTGTATTATTTTTGGGAATTATTTTTTTATGAATTATGAATTATGAATTGTAAAGATTTATGGGTATTTTATTAAGTAAATGTCATAGAAATTTGTACATGACAATACAACAGCAACAGCAGCAAAAACAACAACAACAACAACAAAAACAAAGGCAAAAAAAGAAGGGGTGCTTATGTGTGTATTTGTGTGTATTTGTGTGTATGTGTATGTGTATGTGTGTGTGTATATACGAACTCAAATTTAGTGTGTATCAAGTAAAAATAAATAAAAATCCAGTTGAAACCATAATCCAAGGCCACTAATGAAAGAAAGAAGAAATAAGGAAGAAGAAATAAGAAATATGAAAGAAGAAATAGTTTATAGGAAACCAATACGTTTCCGTTCTGTTATTGTTTTATACATATATATCCTTTTTGTATTGGTTCAAAGTAATGAGAGTGTGATATTATACTTTCTTCAGAAATATAAATATAATATCATGTATATAATGTGCAAATAATTAAGAGTAAAAGGGTCATAAATAGCAGAGCAATAATTGAAAGGGAAAGAGAGGGGTCAACTGTAGGATGCATAATAGAAACAACCATTTACTTGGTCTTTAATTCGCCCCTTATTATTTATATATGTAATGTATATGTATAGCATTACTCTTAATAAAAAGAATATATAGTAATAATAATTAATAGATATTTAATACTATTAATAATAATGGTAATATATCGTTATTTAAAAATAAAAAAAAGAAGAAGAAGTTGGTTACCGGAATCTATAAACATACATAGATACATAGGTGCATAGATACATATTGATATTTGATTGCTAATCTGTAACCGTGACATTGACATCCAACAAAAGAAAGATAAATTAATACTGAAACCAAAAGTATAAAAGGGCAGTTTGAAGTGGAATGTCGCACAGACTTGAATATGCAAAGATATTATTATTATTATTATTATTATTATTATTATTATTATTATTATTATTTTTAAATATAAAACAAAAGTGAAGCATGTAAGTTTGGCTGTAGAATGATAACCAAATTAAGCAAGCCTGTAAACACTCTGAAAATGCGCGCGTTAAGAACAAGGCTTGATCGACAACGGGGAAACATGACAAGGTCAATAAAAATAATAGTATAAAAAATAGTAGATAAATAAAGTAAAGGTGCGGTGGAGACAGACAATGTAAGGAATGTAACAAAAAAAGAAGGTGGAACGGGAGTACTTGATCGACTGAAAGATAGGGGAAGATTGTGTAAGAAGCATTATGAACGCTTTATATTATCATTATATACATGTATATGTATACATGTATACATGTATGTGTGTATGTGTGTATGTGTGTGTGGAGAGAGAGAGAGAGAGGGAGAGAAAATGATAGATAGAAATATAGATAGACAGGTAGGTATATCTGTATGTAGGTATGTATGTAGGTATGAAGAGAAAGAAAGAAAGAAAGAAAAGAAAAGAAATACAGAGGGGCTTTTGATGGCTTTGTATATATCAAAAGTTTGCAAGTCTTAAAGGGAGTGCAAGCATCATAGGGTTAAGCAAGTGAGTCGAGCAAGAGATAAATAAACGCATATATATGTAGATATGTAGACATGTAGACATGTAACTATATAGATATACGGCAAGGTAAATGTAGTGCAAAGAGTTTAAGAGAAAAAGAGGGGTGTTTTGTCTTAGTGTTATCACGGAGGTATTCACATTCATTCTTGACAAAGAAGTTTAGCAATTAATATTGAATACAGGCCTTTTTTCAAATTAAAAAAGAAGAAGAAGAAGAAGAAGTACATTGGTGGATAGCATGGATGAACATTGTACCCGAGATAATTAAATAATGAAAGATAATTAAAGGGAAAGGCAATCTTGATTGCTTGATTGAATGATTGATAGTTGGTTTTTTCTTTCTTTTTATGTTAATGAACAAGGCCTATGAGTTATAATAAGAAATAATAATAAAAAGGAGTCAAAGGATTAAAGCACGATGATACCACTTTAAAAAGAGGAACAAGTGTGCCTGAGTGCCTGAGTGCCTGAGTGCCTGTGTGCCTGCGTGCCTGCGTGCCTGAGTGCCTGCGTGCCTGAGTGCCTGAGTGCCTGAGTGCCTGTGTGCCTGAGTGCCTGAGTGCCTGTGTGCCTGAGTGCCTGAGTGCCTGAGTGCCTGAGTGCCTATGAGAGTGCCTTTCTATATATTCTAGTAGAAATCTATATATTTATACCCATATCTAATTCTATACTGATTCTATATGCGATATACGTGTGTAATATACATTTTTAAATAAAGGTGAAAAAACATAATACTCGTGTTTCATAGAGAGTTCCAAATGATGGACTGATTATAGTAAAAGTGGCATTGACTGCATACGATCTGTTTATGTTTGTGTGTGGGTGTGCGTAAATCTCGATATATTCAAATGAATCAAGATGTACAAATGTGCGTATGTATGTATATGTATATGCGTGTGTCTGTTTATACGTGCGTGCGTACGTGCTTATGCTTGCTTTATTTGTTTTATATGTACGTGCGTGATTGCATCTACTTGCTTGGGATTTACGAGTGAGAAAATAAAGATGGAAATTTGTTGTTAGCTCAAAGAAGATTAACGCACTATTTTTGATAGCTATTTCATCATGGTGCCTTTGACACTCTTCACAAAAAAAAGCCTATTAATATTACTATTACTTATGATTATAGCTTACCATTAGTATTAGTATTAGTATTAGTATTAGTATTAGAATTAGGATTAGGATTAGGATTAGGATTACGATTACTTATAATTGATTATAATTAATATATATATATTTATATAAAGCTCAGTAACTATTCCCGCCAAATAAATTTTCGTATATACTTCTTTTTCATTTGTTTTTATTGCATCCCTATTTCTTTTATATCCCCAGTTTCGGTCAAGGGCCCTTTAGCCTCCTTCAACAACTGTAGCAAAAAAAGGACTCCGTGAAGACAAAAAAAACAAGGACGCTTTCTTTTCTCTCTTTCTCTCTCTCTTTCTCTCTCGCTTTTCTTTCCACCTTTTCATTACTATATTTCTATATATCTGTTTACTTTTATTAACTTGAACCCCCCAAACCTCCTCTTTGACTTCATCTTCCTCTAACCCTCCCCATCCCTTTCTTGAAATCCATAATACATAATACATAATACAATATAAGACAATATAATATAATACAATACAATACAATACAATACAATACAATACAATACAGTACAGTACAGTGCAGTACAATACAATATTCTTCTTTTTTTATTTGATTCCATTTGACTTTCTTGGTCTGCTTCTCTTTCTCTTTCTGATCTTAATTCAACCATTGATCTTCTTGGTCTTCTCTTTCTATACCTCTTTATCTCTCTACCTCTCTCTCTCTCTATCTTTAGAAAGAAGCACAGAGAATACAGATCTTCTTTCTCTGAATCCTTTCTTTATTCCTTTTTTGGTTCTTCTTTCTATTCTTGTAATACTATATATTCTGTATTTTGTATAGTAGCCCTATATATTTTCTCACTATGAACACGGTGTACAAGCCAGTCACGCTGGATAGGATGGCATCCCAGTCGATCTATGATTATGCCACTGATAGCCAAAGACTGTCAAATAACCATCCCAATCAACCATTTTCACATGGACCAGAACTTCCTTTTGCAGTCGAGGCTACTCAATCACAAAATAACCAATGCGAACACCTATCTGTAATGTCGACGCCATCGTGCAGTAATGACGACCAATACCCGTCTTATGCAGAAATTGAAGTTATCATTCAGGAATATTTAGACAACCTGTCATCCAAAAAGCGTGACAAGGCTCTCATCGATCGCGATCGTTACATGCTCATTCTCCAAGTCCTCAAGCGTCCCAAGAACACTGCTATATCCACAGCACAATTCAGATTCTGGGTCAAGAAGATGTTTAGACTGGTTTCTTGTGGAGGAAACAGCTATATCTATCACGACGATAAACCAGTAGCCACACGAGAAGACATATATGGTATTCTATTGTGTGCACATAATGAGTCTCGTCATGGTGGAAGGGACAAGACTTCAGTTTTGGTAAGTGCACTAAACATTACACTATACTACACTATAAACATACAAATCTGTCACTTGTCAATTTTACCTTGGTAAACAAGGTTTTGTGTATATATCAGTATTCTTCTTTTGGATTCTACTGTATTTATCATTTAATTCTCTCTTAATATTTTCTTAAATAACCAAAAACAGGTTCGTCAGCGTTATTCATGGATCCCAAAAGAACTAATTGCGCGCTTTGTCCGCAGTTGCCCTGTCTGCATATTGAAGCGTAATGGTAGTCAGAGCCCCACACTCGGATTTCCTAGGACTCCGTCTGACACCTGTGAGCCAGTCCAGACAATGGATGGATTTGTCCAAATGGAAACTCACAATGCGTTTTCCAAGTATTTTCGCCGTGACCACCCAGCAATCGCCGATGAGGAATGGCACCGCCAAAACTTTGGACACAACTATCAGCATTATAATCAGCACCTAAATAATCACAATATCCATAATAACAATAGTGATAATAATAATAATAGTAACAATCAGCATCATCATAATCATAATCATCATAATCACCAATATCAGCATCATCAGGACCAGCAACAACACCATCTGCAACAACTGCAACAACATCAACAGCATCAGCATCAGCAGCACCAGTCTGAAGATATCTGCCTTTATCACGCGCCAACTCATCCCGTCATCGATGGCTCTCTTGGCATGTCTACATCTGTACCCGCAGCAACCGTCACTGCTTCATCCGAACAATTTGCTTTTGGTCCTCTGGCTCCGGATTCCTTTGACTCTTCACTATATGGCCACACTTGCTCCGAATCGAATCATCTTCCGTCTACTTTTGGACCATTCTGTAACACATGTCAGCCTGCACCATCTGATGTGGGCTACACCGCAGAGATCATGAACGCGTCTTGTTCAGCCAATACTCTGACTGCTAGTCACAACTATCCACGGCAGCCATCGAGTGTATCATCATTGTCATGCTCCCCATCGACAACGTCCTCTGAGTATATCATGCAGTCCACACCGTCTGTTCCTTATGCCGAGTGCGCGCCCAACTGCATTACTGCCAGTCTCCCCTTGGATCGCATACTTGTAGATCATATTATGTCCCCAAGTGAAGTCTCAAATCTCCTCTCGGACCAGAACCCTGAAGAGTCCTTTGGGCCGTACTATGCTCGACCAATGTCTTCGTTTGTACACATGAACACAATGCCTTTTGATGTGAAGCAAAATCCAAACTACTTTTAAACCCTCTTCTTTTCTATTCTATTCTATTCTCTTCTTTTCTATTTTATTCTATTCTCTTCCTTTCTTCCAACAAGTTTTATATTCATATTCATATATGAATATACTTCTTTTATGCTCCTACAGTGAACAATTGTGTTTTCAATTCTTCCTTCCTTCTTTCCTTCCTTATTTTATTCATATGCCCAAACAGAAAAACAAAAGAAATAGCCCCCAAAAACAGCCAAAACAAACCAAAAAAGAAAACTCAAAATTCAAAACCAAAAACATAGCAAAAAAAAAGACACAAAAAATACCCCTTCTTTATTTCTACACCCATATTTCTTATACATATTATGCATCAAAACAGCAACAACAACAACAACAACAACAAAAATAATACCCTCAATTAGTTTATTCTTTCTACCATATGCCTTTATTTATTTATTTTATCATTATTACTAGCATTACTACTATTACTACTACTATTAACTACCATTACCATTACCATTACCATTACTACTTCTTTTTCTTCTATTATCATTATCTTTAGCATTATCATTATTCACTTCTTGCTTTATTTCATTCTTCATGTAAAGATTTCTATATATTTTTTCTTTATTTTCTTATTATTATTTTTATTCGTACAAGTATTGTCATCTTCTTTATATCTTATATCTTATCTTATATCTTATATCTTATATATTTATTCTTTATTTCTTTCTTATTTGTCCTTGTCCATTTCATTTGCTTGCATGTGAGAACGTGTAGATACAATCTATGAATAATTTTTTATCATATATATGTATATGTAAATATACGTATATATCATATATACATACATACATACCTTTTTTTTTGAAACTCTTTCCAATGTGTGTGAGTGAGTGAGTGAGTGCGTTTTCTCTCTCATTATTATAATTATCAGTATTAGCATTGGTATTGGTATTGGTATTCTTATATAAATATAAAGGAAAACTATTTATTCGTTAAAAGATACATTAGTATATACACACTCATATATATGTATATTTGCGTGAGTATATATTTATGATCAAATAATTACATTCTATTTATTTATTTATTTATTTAAAAATAAAATCTGCTTTTTGTGGTATGCAAGATGTGTAATGGAATTGGGTCGAGTGGTAATATATATATATATAAGTTTGAAAAGGGGAGAAGGGTAGAAGAAGGGGGAGTGTGAGGGGGGAAAGGGCTTTACAGTAATGCGATTAGTCAAAAATCTCTATAGGCATAAGTTTGTCCATATTAAACACAAATTCATTAGCATCATCTTCCTCTTCCATATAATGCAGCGGCCAGATTACTAAATGCCCTCGGATCTCCTTGAGAAGGTCACGCACCGTCTGTCCGTTAGCAAACACCATAACTGGATCAGTGGTGACTGATGCTGCAGCCGCACTTGTCTGTGTTCCGTTCCCTTTGACGTCCTGACGTCCAAGGAACAGCTTGGCCATCTTCACAAAGTTGTCATACTCATCCCAGGTCTGCACATTGTTATCTGGCATAACCAAAAACGATCTTCGGAAAATATCCGTGTTACCTCGTGCCGTACCACACCAAAAATCATCAAACGCATCACTCAAAGGGTTCTTGAGAAGATCTAAAATCGTCTTTGCATCTGGAGAGGGTGTCAGAAAGGGAGAAGGAGGAGAAGGAAGAGGAAGAGGAGGAAGAGGAAGCGTAGAAGGATGAAGATGAGGATGAGGATAAGTATAAGAGCGAGCAGGAAGATGAGGATGAGGATGAGGATGAGTGTAAGTATGAGTATGAGGAGTAGAAGGATGTAGATGAGTTTGGGTTTGAGTTTGAGGTTGAGTTTGAGGTTGATACTGATGCTGATGGTGAGGTCGAGGTCGAGGTCGAGGAGTAGGAGGAGTGGGAGTTGTAAGAGGATTAGGACTAGGATGGCGATGGGGGCTAGTGTGACAAGCCTTGAAATCCTTTGTATCATTTGTTAGCGTAGCCCAGAAATGCAGGTGTCGATCCTTGGATTGTCTTTTTTTGTCAAAAATTGCACCAGAAGGCATTCTACTCAATTCACCATCAAGGTATTCATGCGAAGGATTATCATAGTACACCGGTTGATGTGATCTTTGGCTTTGACTTTGACTTTGACTTTGACTTTGACTTTGACTTGGATTTGGACTTGGACTTGGACTTGGACTTTGTTGATGCTGATGCTGATGCTGATGCGGATTTTGTGAATTTTGTGAGTTGTGTGAATTGTGGGACTTTTGTGAATTGTGGGAATTGTGTGATTTTTGTGAATTGTGTGAATTATGTAAGCTGTGTGAACTATGTGATTTGTGTAAACTGTGTGAATTTTGTAAATTTTGTGAATTTTGTAAATTTTCTGGATGTTGTGAATGAGAGTCCAGAGGTGAAATGCAGGGTGGTTTGACCTCGACTAGTGCTTTGTGAGTGGTGATAAATGCAGGGAGTGGGTGGACGGGAGATGAGGGATCCTTGAAACCTGTGGACGCGAATGTGTTTCCAATCTCCACACTATCCACGTCAATTCCAACGTGTTCACTCATCAGACGAAGCCGTAGAGTTTGTGCAAATCGGCCTACTTTGATTGGAGTATCACCTATAACCGCATCTATCAACTCAGTGTCCTTGACACAGGCTGCAATCTCTGAGTCGCGGCTACCAAGCTGAGAGCGCTCGTTGATATTAGCAGACCCCATAATAACTGTACGGTCATCAACGATCATCACCTAAATTTTATTTTGGAAAATTATTATTAATAAAACAAAGCAGAAAGCTAAAGCACGAGTACTCAAATTCACGCACATGCACATACACGCACATACACACAAACAATTTCTCTTTTTTTTCCATCTGTAAAATAAATAAATAATTTAATTGTTTAACCTACCTTGGCATGAATGTACACTTGCTCAGTAACAAACTGGCCATTAAGTTCTCCCCAGTTTCGCAAGCCATAAAAAACAAGGTAGTCTTGAGGATCCTTAATGCCTGCCTCCCGAAGACGACCAAAGATAGAATCTGGACCGCGACTGATCGAATGGTATTGACTGTGCATTATTAGCCTCACTGTGCTTCCCTCGGCCTCATCTACATTAGAGGGGAATCCAGGTACGAGAGGGACTAGGATAATGGCTCTCCAACGTTTACCCTCTGATTTGGCTCGTATAATCCTCTCTACAATAGCCGCTCCAATCTTATTCTCGATCACTGTTGACCCAAGCTTAGTCGATGTAATAAAAAATTGGTTCTCTAAAAGAAAATTGTATTTAGTAAGTATATTTTGTTTCTCCTCTTCTAAATATCAAACATGTAATTTTTTTTTAAATATATATAAAGTGTGTGCGTGTGTGCGTGTGCTCAGTACCGATATAGATAAAGTATTCTGAGTCGTGAATGGCCGAAACATATGCATTCTGTATGCTGTGTTCTACTCGGTTTGCAAACCCAATACTCCAAGGGGATACACTCCGTAAGATCTGTACAGAACAAGACGACGATGTATGGGGATGGCATATCCGCGGGTCCTTGGCCGACAACGAGGAAACCGTGTCGGGCACAGGGACCATTAGGGGGGTCAGTCGCTTAGGTGCGGTTTGCTTCCGACGACGCAGGAAATTCCAGCGCTGGATGAAATGCCGCGCAATATCACGCGCAGGCTGGCCGCAGACTCTCATGGATACGTCGTGCCATGGCATGCGCGGTAGTCTGGATCGATCCATATTGTCTTCAAAGGGCTTGTCAAGGGAATGGAAATCAAGGATCCGGGGGTTTGAATAATCTTTTCCAGGCCACATCTGCGGCCTAGTGTTATCAGGCTTGAGAGAAGGGTCATTATCATCGACTAGCGAATGAGCAGGAGTGTCCCAGCGACCGAAGCAAAGATCGATTCCTCCAATAAACGCAATCTCATTGTCTATGACGCAGATCTTCTCATGGTGTGCCCAGAATAAGAGGTTGCTTTTGCTCAGAACATCTAGAGCGCGAGACGGGTGGCGCTGAACGTAGATGTTGGATGAGAGCAAGGTGAGGTGCTTCTTTGCGTAGTGAGAGTATAGCGGAAGGGCCACAGCGACTTCCTTGTAGATGATGATGTAAATCTTGACCCCCTGCTCAGCTTTGCGCTTGAGAATTTGGTCCAGACGATACTCAGGAAACTGTGTAGCAGGGCGCCGAAGGTACTAAGCACCAGAAATAAAATAAAGTACAATGAATATAAAAGCAACAAAGCAACAAGCAAGGAGAGAGAGAGAGAGAAAGCGAGAAATAAGGGGAGATGCATGAATAAAATACGCTCATTTTCTTATTTACCAGTTCCTATGTATTCAAAAATGTTGGTTATTTTCATTTTTCTCTCTCTATTTTGTTACAACAAATTTAAGGGCATTGAACTTACAGGAGACTATGAAAAAGAGAAGAAGAGAGAGAGAGAGATAGTAAAGTAGTAGTAATGGTAACAATTAATATATAAAGGAGAAAGGAGCACCAAATGGCAAGTCAATATTCATTCTTTGTTCTCCTTCTATTCTTTGTTGTTGAAATAAAGAAGCTTCTTGGCACAAGAGTAGAGAACTTTACCAGCCACCAGTCATGGATATAAATTGATTCTTTGGCGTGTTCAATGGCTACCGAAACATCCCAAAGATAATCCCGGCCATCCACAAACCAAGTTGTCTGACAGCCTTCACGGATTGGAGCATAGCTATCAAATCGATGAAGACCAGACCAGACCGACTCTCGGGCCATTTTTTGGATCGAGCTTTCAAATTCTCTTGATTGGCGTTCATCTTTAGCCCCTAAGTAAAGAGCGCCCTGAAGGTTCTTTATGGCCAGAGTGGTCTTTCCAGACGATAGTTTTTTTGCTGCAGACCAGATGGCATGTTCAGCCTTTCTCTCGCGAGCATGTAACCTCGAATCTTTTGGGTGTGGTTGGCTAGGCCCTGCAACCACACGCTGTACCTCAAACTGACTGTCGACCAAGAAAACGTCAAAAAAATCGTACTAAATTTCTTTTCATTCATCAAATCCTTTTGTGTATTTGCATTTGCATTTGCATTTTCTTTCTTTCTTTGGGTGTTTTTCTACTATATCTATATACATATATTATAGTATTTACCTCGTGGGGATCATTTACACAAACAATGTAGCTCTCCCTCACAATGAACCATTTTGGAACGTGTTTTGTCTTCCTTTTCACGATCCCGCAAGACACGCCAGCTTTTATTGTTGCCCAGCGCCGTGAATGTTTTGGGTCTCGGTCGGTTCGACTGGTAATCCAGAGATAGCCTTCCTTACCATGGTATCCTTCGGGATAAATAACAGACAGGAGGATCCCAAGGGCTGACATTTCAAGGAACTTGCACACCCTGTTAATGTGGGATGTCATGACCGTCATTTGAAGGAGCTGCCCGAGATAGGATTCAAGAGCACATATTTGATCTTGATTGGGCTCAACCACGTCAATTGAATTGTGGACAATCATTCGGTCTGGCTCATCTGCCCCAAACACCCCACTGTCTTTGAATCTACTGTCGCCCGTGAGTCTCGATTGCTGGAGTCGGATCGTACTTGTGCCATCGTTGGGTCTCTCGACAAGCCTGGTCTCTCTCCGGAAGACAGGCCGGAACCGACGCTTAGGTAAATCCGGGAAATCGGGAATTCGCTGCCACGAGAGGTCATATGAGCGGCAGTGATAATGAAGTTTGACAAAGTCCCAGTAGCGACGAGAGATCACCCAGGTAGGTAGGTAAACTGAATCCCCGAGATTGTACTGAACGGTGATCGAAAATGAAGGGCCGTAGTAGCCGCGTGGTAAACGAGATTTACGGCTCTGCTGTTGAGGCGGTTCAATAGAAACCTTGACTCTGGTTTGAGAAATCAGGACTGGAATCCTTGGTTTGCCGAATTCGTCCCGTTGGAAGTGTGTGGCAAGCAACATTGATGGAAGCATATTGAATTCATTAAGACGCAAAAGCTCACACGAGCCAGGCATTTCAGCCTCTTCATAGTTTATGTCTTCTTCACCTTCATCTTCATCTTCTTCGTTGTCGCCGTCGTCCTCTCGCTTATCCTCATGTTCTTGCTCTTCTTCTTCGTCCTCTTGCCCATGTCCCTCCCTTTTCTTTTTTTTCTTATTATTTTTTAGAGTGTGAGGAAAAGATAGCCTTTTGCTGCGACGGGAAAGGGACTTGATTTTTATCCAACTGTCACTAGCTATAGATTCTGGTCTTCGGAGATATGTAGAACGAGAAGAGGAAGCACAAGAAAGAACAACGGGAGGAGTAGAAGCAAAATGGTCAATAGTGCGTATGCCAGGTTCAGAACGGACTATAGAGCTGACCGGACAGTGGGTTGGCTGGAGCTCGTCGCCTGAGACTGTGTGGTTTGTAGCCGAGGATCTTTGTACGATTTTATCTGGGGAAGTACTTTGACTAACATTGGTTGTGTGAGCCATGCGAGTTCTGCTTTTACAAATATTAATATTAATATTAATTTTATTATTTTATAGAGGGAAGGAGAGAGGGAGAAAGCAATAAAAGAAAGAAAGAAATACAGGAATAGAAGAAGGATAAAATCTAGTCTGTTTCCATGTGGATCAAATAATAAAGAACAAATATAATATTTGAACAGTCTGGGCGTTGGTATCCCCTTTAGGAAAATGAACTGCATGGCAAGAAATAAAGAAATAAAAAAAAAAAGAAAAACGCAATAAAAAGCAGCTTGTAATGTCCGACATCCTACAAAATCGTCAAAGTTAATCGTAAATACTTTTTTGCAAGTCACAAATATTAAGAGAAGATTAACTTATTTTATGTATGGTAGATTTACTCCACACTTCTTTACGTACTATCGCTTATATAAACTTTATTAAAGTAAAGAATGATTGCTAAATTGATTTATTTAATAAAAATTATACCTTTCTTAATTATCTTCTCGAAAAATAACACATTCACTTTATTTATTTTTACAAAAGATATTTCTTCATTTTTTTGCAGATTGCTCTCTTGATTGGCTGAATTTTCTGTGACTTGTAGGAAAGTATTTGCGATTAGCGTTATTCCTAGAAAATTTAGACCATATGTATTGAATAAGAATGCTGTGAACTCAGTCACAGCATTCCTTTTGTTGGATAGCAACAAGTTTCTGTAATCTTATGAGGTTATTTTAGTCAGTGAATTTATATATATATATATTAAGTGGTAATATTATCTACTAATCAAGAAAGGCACTCTATAATATAATAATATTATGTGTGTATGTAAGAAGAAATATATAAAAGAAAGCACCTTTATACTTCTTTAACAGAAAATCAATAAGAAGCCAAACTTGCATTATTATTAATATTATTACATACCGTTCGATTTGTGTTCTGGCGAACCGTTGAATATATATATATATAGCTGTAAATATGAACAAGATAAAGCTCTCCTAAGTGTCAACCTATAAAGATTACCGGAGTTTCTGCCGATTCGAGTAGCTTAGGAGTAATCAATGTTCCAAAACTTATAAAGTACGTAGATTACAGTTGAATTTGAAGAAGAAGAAGAAGAGATGATAATATCTTATAATAATTCTATGAAATCTTCTATGGAATTACTGCTTGTAGTACCTATTGTTCACAAACATCTAATTAGTCATTTTGTGCGACAACTTAAACAATAAAGCCAAAACACTTGTAATTATCGTCTTAATTATTGAAAATATATAGTTAATAGCTCACATTGACGTACGCAGTATTTATTCTATTGTAATTTGCTAAAGTAGAGAAGTATACCGTATACACTATAGAAAGACTTGTAGATTGGCAAATATCAAAATAACTCTATAATATACCGTTATTATAAAAGCAGCTCAATCACCAATTGATGATAAACAGTTCGAATATTTTTTTTTTACTTTGAAATTAAATGTATTTATAAAAACAAGGTCCAAATAAAGAGCGGTTTAAGTTGAGTTGGATTTAATAGGCTATCACATTTTACAGTATGTAAAAAGTGCTTTACAAAAGCGTTATTCAATCAATCAAACAATGGAACACACTAGAGAGTATGAAACTGGATTTTATGTGTGAGTGATAAAATACATACATACATATAGATGTGTATCGCCTGACACTAGACCATTGTGATTAATTTGTATATAAATATCTATTCATACACAATTGTTTTCTCATCGTCCCCTTTTTCACATAAATCCAATGCAATCGCTTATGTCTACAACTGGCTCGCAAAAGTCTCATAATTCCTTACATTCAATCCGTGGTTATGAGCAGCGTGGTGGTACCTTGCAGCACTCTCAATATAACCGCCCTCGAGCATCATCTCGTTGTTCTTCTTTTAATTCACGTTCACAAACTAGTGGGGTTAATGAACGAGGTGTCTCCTGTACAGCCCCTCTGTTGCAACAACAGTCCCATACTCATCGAAGTAGAGTATCCAGCTATCCCTATGCACGTTCACTCTTAGCAACTGAGCCAAGGACCCGTAAAGTATCTTCCAAAATAAAGAGTATATTCAATTCAACCATCTCAGGTAATGTGTATTTTGCGTATTTAATATTATATATACATGTATATCTAAAGATTGAAAATATAGTCTCTCGAAATGCCACTTGGAATCGTGTTACTCAGTCCCTCCCTGAATTGGGAGCAAGAGCTGGTAAGATACAATAATTACTGATTACATTCTTTCTAACTTTTTTTTTTGTCTGTCTCAAGAAACCCTGGTAGCAGTAGGACTCTCAGAGACATCTGCCCCCTCCGTTCATTCAGATAGTGCTTCTGATGTATCAGATCACTCGGACTCACCCCGATTGTCTGCCCTAAGTAACGGTTCTATTTATGATGCCTTATCCGCATCTTCCTTTGAAAGACACCGTTCTCTAAATCAAACACCTTTGGCCGATTTGGATAGTCAATCTCTCGAAACTCACCAGGACATTTCCCCACCACAGTCTCCTAATCGTGGTGAAGTATCTTCTCCTTTTAGTACCCGAGAAACTACTCCAGAAGGCTCAGACCAGTCATTTGTATCGTCTGAATCTTTGTCTCATGAGACTGAAAGAGACGTCGAACCTATTCAAGAGCCAACTCCAGAGCCAACTCCAATAAATACTCAAGAGTCTGCCCCAAGTCCTATTGAGGACCATACCAAAAGTCTTGCTCAAGAGCCTGTCAAGCACCCAGCCAAAGACTCGGCAAAAAATCCAGCTGATGACTACAGTCCAATGCGCACGGTTCCGTCTTCTATAGTAAGACTATCTGAGCGCTTGCAAAGTATTGTTGAAAAGGTAGTTATGCTGGAGCAGAAACAAATGAAACCAAAACGCTCTTTACCGCAGTCACTTCTTCCAGCCAAACCGTTTATTCAGGTACACGAGCAAATACACACTCCTCTGGTTACCAAACGCAAGGCACAATTTACGGAGGATCCTAAAGATAAAGATACTAAACCTACTAAGCGCCAGGAGATAGCTCTACCTCGTCGCTCAGAGCGCCTTGCAGCCAAGAGAAGAAAGATTAACATGGAGCTTAGTTCCAAGTCAGGTCCCAAGAAAGGACCCAAGCACTGATGTATCTCAAAGCAACATTATATTATAGTTTTTAATCCCAGATTTTTTTTATATCTTTTTACTTTCTTGTACACCGAATCAATAAAATTTTTATTTTTTTTTATATATTATTTTTTTATATATATTATTATTATTTTTATTTTTTACATCTTTTACTTTCCTTTTTTTCCCTCTTCTTTTCACACATATTTTCCTCTCCCTGCATTTTTTGCGGTGTTCGAGATAAACAGGGAACTAAGCCTTTTGAGAATAAGATAGTCATGGACCAAAACGCAGTCTACCAGCTCTTTGTAGCAACATACCAGCCAGACCCAAGTGTCCACAAACAGGCAGAATTGAATCTTAGAACCGTAAGGAGAAAAAATAAATAACAATAAGGAAGAAGAAGACAAAGAAGAAGACGAAAAAAAAGAGGCTTCTAATTACATTGACCAAAAATAAAATAAAAAAGTAACTCATTCTCGAGATTTAGATTGAATCTCATAATGGATTCCTCCCAATTGTCCTGCGAATTCTCGCTTCTGAAAGTCTTGAACTTGGTGCTCGTCAAGCAGGTAAATATACGAATATATAAATACTTATACCATTATATGTATAGAATATACAAAGGAAATTATCGCTGGTCTATTAATTGTATTATTCTTATTCTTGTCATTTTTATTAATATTATCATTTGGATAGCTGCTATCTACTTCAAGAATAGAATGAACAAGGCCTGGGATCGCAGCTCGCAAGCCACGGCACCCATCAATGAAGAAGATAGACGCATGGTCAAGCAAGCTTTGCTTCAGGCCCTTGTCACAGCACCTAACGCAGTCAAGGTCCAGCTCACATCAACCCTCAACACAATCCTCAGCAACGACTTCCCTGAAGAATGGCCCGAGTTTGTCAACGAGCTTCAACACTTTTTATCTTCCTCAGATGTTCGTTTGGTGTATGTTGGTTTGTTGGCATTGCGCGAAATTATCAAGGTCTACGAGTAAGTGAAGATACAAAAAAGGAAAGAGGGAAATAAAGGAAGTGGGTTATATTAAAAAATTAAACGGAAACCCTTTTTTTTCGCTCTCTTTGTGTGCGCGCGTGTGTTTTTATAAAGGTGGAAATCTATGGAACGTCGTGAACCTTTGAAGGAGATCATCAAGCTCACTTTCCCTGGGATCCAGACCATCGGTACAAACTTGCTTGGAAACGACAGTATTGAGGCTGCCGAGATGCTCAAGCTTGTTCTCAAGATTTATCATGGTGCTATTCGTGTAAGTTAACGAACATATTTTAGAGTTGTTGGAGGAAAATAAGAAAAAGCTTGGTTTTTTTTTGTATTATTATCGATTTACTAATGGATCACACATAAAATTAGGCTGAGTTGCCCAAGTGCCTTCAGGACCCTGCTTCTCTTGTGTCCTGGGGAACCCTCTTCCTCCAATTGGTTGACAAGCAGATTCCTGTTAGCGTATTGCCAACTGATCCCGAAGAACGTGAGAAGTATCCCTGGTGGAAGACCAAGAAGTGGGCCTACCACTGCTTGAACCGTCTATTCTCCAAATATGGTAATCCCGCTCTTTTGCCCCCAAGTGGTGCCAAATATGCTGGCTTTGCAAAGAGCTTTGTCTCAAACTTTGCTCCCAACATTCTCCAGACCTACCTCAAACAGATCGAGGGCTGGATCAAAAAAGAGATCTGGATTGCTACAAAGTGTCTTGGTCTCATTGCTTCTTTCTTCGACGACAGTGTCAAGCACAAGATCACTTGGCAGATCATCAAACCCCACACAGAGACCCTTGTTGCTCACTTTATCTTCCCTCAGCTCTGCTTTTCTCCCGAAGACGAAGAACTCTGGTCCGATGATCCAGTCGAATATGTCCACAAAAAGGTCGATCCATTCGAGGACTTCCACTCACCTCAGACTAATGCTGTCAACCTCTTGGTTGTCCTTGCGCGCGACCGTAAGAAGCACACCTTCATGACCATCCTCAACTTCATCAACACAGTCCTCAACAAATATCTCGAAACCCCAGACGCCCAGAAGAACGGACGTGAAAAGGATGGAGCCCTGTCGATGATTAGCTGTCTCGCTCACGAAATCCTCAAGAAGAAATCTCCTGTTGCTAACATGATGGAACCTTTCTTTGTCACTCACGTCTTCCCTGAATTCAAGAGTCAGTTCCCCTTCTTGCGCGCCAGAGCTTGCGACATGGCTCGCCACTTCAGTGATCTCGACTTTGCCAACCCCCAGAACCTCGCTACTCTCTACCAGAATGTCCTCGACTGTTTGCGTGATGGTGAGTTACCTGTAAAGGTCCAGGCTGCTCTCGCCTTGCAACCCATGATCCGTCACGAAAGTGTTCGTGAGGCCATGGTCCAAAGCCTTCCCTTTATCATGCAGGAATTACTTAACCTGACAAACGAAATCGATATTGACACTCTCGCAAGTGTTATGGAGGAATTTGTTGAGGTATTCGCCGAGCAGCTGACACCCTTCGCTGTCCAGCTTTGCACACAGTTGCGTGATACATTCTTGCGTATTATGGAAGATATTGCTCAGAATAGTAATGCCGCGACTGCCGACGACGATCAGTCCTTCCAGGGCGATATGGATGAGATGAGCGACAAGACGATGGCTGCAATGGGTGTTCTCAAGACAATCGGTACCTTGATTTTGAGTCTCGAGAGCAGCCCGGATGTGCTGCAACAATTGGAGAACGCCTTGTTGCCCGTGATCACCTACACCCTCAACAACCGCATCCTGGACTTGTTTGACGACATCTTTGAAATCATTGACTCTTGTACATTCTCTGCCAAGCGCGTCACACCAACCATGTGGAGTGTATTTGAATTGATCTATAAGGCATTCAAGGAGTCTGGCATCGACTATATGGATGCAATGCTCCCTCCTCTTGACAACTATATCTCATACGGCAAGGATGTATTTGTTGCAAACGAGAGTGTTCAGCAGATGATGTTTGATATCATTGACACTGTCATGAAGAGCGAACGTCTCGGTGAACAGGATCGTGTCTGTGCCTGCAAGTTGATGGAATCTGTTTTGTTGAACTGCCGTGGTCATGTCGATAGAGTAAGTAACCCTTTAAGAGAAAACAAAACAACAGTAAATTTCTTAACTCTTTTTTTTTTATAAAACAAAGTGTGTAGCACCTTTCTTGAACTTGGCATTCCAGTTTATATTCACTGGCTCTATGAAGACTACAGAGTTCAAGGTTCACTGTATTGAAGTGGTATGTTGTATAAAAACAAATACACGAGTTCATTAAGATTTGATATTGATTTTGGGTTTATTTGTTTTATTTGTAGGTTATCAACTGTCTTTACTACAACCCTATCTTGACTCTCCACCTTCTTGAGGAGAACCAGTGGACCCAGGGCTTCTTCACCCTCTGGTTCAACACCCTTGACAAATTCTCTCGTGTTCACGATAAGAAACTTGTGATTGTATCCCTTTGCTCCCTTCTCGAGCTCCCTGCTGAACAGATTCCATCATCTCTCCAAGCCGGCTGGCCCCAGGTTTTGGCTGGTATCATCAATGTCTTCAAGACTCTTCCCAAGGCTATTGAGAACCGTCAGGGCATGGAAGATTTGTATGGAGAAGGGTTTGATGGAGATGATTTTGATGACGAGGAGTTGAGTGGATTTGAAGGTGCATTGAGCGGTGATGATGAAGACTTTGAGGAAGATGGAGGTAAGAAAATACTCAAGAAACTTGTATTAAAAAGAGAAGTACTGATGGTTTTTATTTTTGTTTGTTTGTTTATTAATTAGATGAAGATGTTCCTGATGAAGACAACGAATACTTGGAATATCTTGCTCAACAAGCTTCAAGCCATGCGAATGATTCCGAGTTTGATGACTTTGATGATGAGATGGAAGAAGAAATCTTGTTTGAATCACCTTTGGACGAGATTGATCCCTATGTGTGCTTTGAAGAGGCATTTAGAGGCATGCAGCAGACCAACTCTCCCTCTTATACCTTGCTTACCAAAGATCTTGATGCCGAGCAGCAGAACTTTATCCTATCAATCCTTGCTACTGGTGAAAAGAACCGAACCCAACCTGCCGTGTCAGCTTAAAAAGACACAAAAACCAAAAACCAAAAAAATCATGTTCTCATTTTCCTCTATATTTGTACATCAACCTTTTTCCCCTATTCTTACCTACTTTCCCACCATCCTTAGAATTTGTCTAAAGGAAACCAGAATCTGCATTTTTTCCCTTATGTAATCAGGTCTATTCTCTTACTTATTAACTTAGACGCATCCCATATATAAACTAGAGTATAACAATGGTTATTCTGGTTGAAAATGTGTGTTTGTATTGATTGTAATCAAATGAATGGGAATGGGAATGAAAAGGAGTAATTAATTTATGGTGCATATAAATTTAAGAGCGTATTTAAGGTGGAAGAATAGTAAATTTAGCTTTACATATGTCAATCACTACATATACTGTCACTGCTGATATTGGTATAGCTGTACCTGTTGTTACTACTACAGCTACAACTACTACTAATGTTACAGCTACCAATTTTACTATCGTAACTTCCGGCTCTACCGTCCTACTTACTACTATCTTGTTTGCTTTACCCACTTTTCCTGAAATTACCCATGTCCCCCCTCTGTCGCGTCTGTTCCAAGATCTTGGGATGTACCCAGAACGCGTACGAGTAGAGGGGCTCGATTTTATATTGTATATTTGTACTCAGCTCTGTACCTCTTTAGCTCATGCCACTTTTTATCCCTGGGCAAAACCTACTATCCAACGGTTTGAGACTTAGGAGAAATCGTACAGACCTAATTTAGACCTAATTTGTATTTTTGTACAATTGATTATATTAATAAGTGTAAAGTGGAGAAGATAAAGACGTTAATTAGGGAAACTGGTCCCTACTAAGAACGACCGCTTGTAAAGAAAAGATATAAACGGAAATTATTTCTATTATTGTTATTTTTCAGTCTTCTCAACAGACAGATCTTTGTTCTTGCTCACATGAGATACACCACTCAATTTTCAAATGAAACCTGGGATTTTGAGATCGACACACAAGGAGATAATACGACAAATCTACCGTACTCGATTGTAGAACGAATCTGTCGATTCCTTCCAACCCAACATGATCGTTATGTAGCATGTTTCATCCATCCAAGTTGGCTTGCAGCTGCTGCCGATGTTCTGTGGGAATCTCCTGAAATCAGACATCCTGACACTCTTCCATGTTTCGTTCAAGCCGTCAGATCTTCAAAGAGATCTGCTTTGTCTGTTCGTCACCTAAACCTCTGTGTTCACGATACTGTTTATACCACCCTGTTTAAGCCAGTGGCCCACAGTGCTTTAAAGCGCCATATAATAAAGAATATCCCCCTTGCTAGCCCGCAACTCATACTATTTTTAGCCAGACAATGCGAGAAGTTAAAGAGCATGACAATTTACGGCTGGAATATCGACCGCAACCATCTTGAACAACTTGGAGCTTTCCTTGGCGATCTAAATTCACTGAGAATAATTGGAAATAACAGTAACATAAACCAGCCTTTCCAGATGATCAGCTTTCTTTCTAACCTTACATATTTTACGCTCGATGGTGATTTTGAGTTGACCAAGGATTTTACAACAACTGTTGCCTCGCGCTGCCACAAACTCACACACCTCCAGCTTTCTCTAAAGAACACGACCATCGATGCCTTAGCCGCCCTGTGTAGTGGGCAGCTTCAGCTAGAGCATCTAATCTTTACAAATGCTTCCAATCTAATCGATGGGCATATTCACCGAATACTTGAGGCCTTTCAAAATCTCACTTTGTTTGGTCTTGAAGGCACAACAATGATCACAATCGAAGCCTTGAATATTGCTCTGACTAGATGTAGTCGGCTCACAACCCTTGATATCCGAGCAAAATCATCTGTGCCTTCTGGCTCAATAAACTTTCATCCTCTGCAGTACCCTGTTAAATTGCGTCATTTGCTGATTGACAATCTACCTGTCGACGACCTTTGTCTTATTCATTATACAAAGTGTATTCCGGATCTAGTAAGCCTCGGGATATCTCGTACCGAAGTGACAGATAATGGTATTACCACAGCTCTTGGAAGACTAGAAAATCTTCAGGCACTGGATATAACCAACTGTCGTGGTATAACAGCCCAAGTTCTCAAAGCAGCTACTCAACTAAAAGAGATTTACCTGAACTCGTGCGGTGAATTCAACCCTAGAGACATTCGCCAATTTGCACTGGAATGTGTACCAAGAATATCACGCACTATGTGTATCTCTGGATACCCTGATATCACAAACATATTCAGTAACATCGCTTTAAGATCAGTTCGAGAAAGCAATACGCTAGTACTGGATGCTGCAGCACTTAAACGTCTTGCTAACATGGATGTGTCTCATGAGCCTTTATTACAGCCCGTTCCAGCCAGTAGAGAACTTTCAGGATATCATGTTGTTTTACTTTCAAAGCGGCTTAACCTAAGTGTCGAAACTATGGAGGGTATTCTCGATGAAATTCAAGTAAGCAAAAAAATGTTTTTAATTTTTTATTTTATAGTGCTAATATGTCAATGATTCTTATTAGAGTGAGATTAACTTGGGAAATGAGATGGGATCTTCTCAAATGTTGGGCCAGGCATTTAAGAGTAACATACTCTCAAAAACATTAGGTGGGCTAGGTAAGGTTTGGAAGATTGTATTAAATGTGTACAAAAAAACTAATCGCCTTTATTGCTTAATATAGAGACAAAGAAGAGCGTATCGCGTGTAGCAGCTCTCAAGGCAACACGTCGACCAGAGACGCCTGCTCTTTGGGAAAAGGCAGGAAATGATATATTGGATAACTGTATTCCTAATTCAAAAGACATTCCTACGAACGTACGCCCGCTTACACCTATACCAGCATCACCTTCTTCTTTGCCTTCTTTTGTAAATGTACCGCAGCCATATACGATATGTAATCCATCACCTATATCTAACTCAGAAGATGTTATTGATAAGCCTCACACAGAGATACGAAGAGAAGTTCAAGAGGAAGTTCAAGAGGAAGTTCAAGAGGAAGTTCAAGAGGAAGCTCAGGTGGAACATATTCCGGAAGAAGACTGGCCACTACTCAATAACTCAGCTCCGCCAAGGGAAGAGACAAAACTTGGGGGGTGGGGCGTTGGGCGTGAAAAGGACTGGCCTGGCAAGAATAGTGTTTCTACAACAAAACTAACTAAGGCCCCAAAGCCGTTCGACCCAAGAAGTCCTCCTGAATGGAGTCAGGTTCCACTTAAAGTAGCCAATATAAAGCACATCAAACACAGTAAACCCGAGACAGGCGAGGAAGGATGGGGTTCTGCACCAGCCTATCGTTCTTGGACTGATCTAGGTCAACAAGGATTTGCTCTCGAGATTTTGGAAGAGCAAAAGAACACAAAGTATTGGAATGCCGAGAAAAACAAGTTCGAAACAGCACCTGCTGTGAATAATGTGGAGGTAAACAGAGTTGCAAGCAAACCCCCTACTCAAGTGCACAGAGTTCCTCAAAAACCGGTACCATCAATAACCCCGGTAAAGGCTCAATCATCAAAGTCTTTTGATAAAGATAGCAGGGACAGAGAATTGAGCCAAGATGAGAATATTGATTGGGATTCTGATGATGGTGTTACTATCAAGACTTCAAATGTAATCGCACCTGTAACTCAACCTCAGCAACCCAGAAAAGAAACAAAGCATCTTCCGAAACATCCTGGATCTCCAAAATGGCAGATATCGAAAGAATGGCAAGGTCTGAAGGAGTCCTCTCCTATTGATAATACATCTCAAGAGCCATTAGAGAATCGTTTTTCAGTGACTTTAGACGAGGGATGGGGAAAAGGTTGGTCATGATAAAGTAGACATAATAAGCACACACACATGTATATATTTAATATTAATATGATCATCATAGCTACTACCAAGAAGAGCGAGCGTTTCTCAAGAACGCCTACATCAGGAACAGAAGATGGGCCAACTGTAGCAGCTGCCTCAGCTGTATGGAGTGATATTAAACAGAGAAGTATCAGGCCATCACCACAAAGTAACAATTTCAGCTCTCCAAAAACATCACGCAGTCGTCCTACTTCTAGACAGCATTATGTACAAGAGTCCGTTGTTTCTGAGCCACCGAAATATCGACAAGAACTCAAACCAACCCCAAGTACAAATGAAATCAATACAGCCAAGTTGGTTGACACCAGCGAATATGTATTCAACCCAGTCTCTGACAGGAATCCGCCAGTAACCATTGCACCAGTAATATCTGACAATGATAATTGGTATGCCCTTTCTACCTTGTCTAATGCAATGACCGATGAGAAGATAAACCAAGACCTTCAAAATGACACAACCAATATATTAAGAAAACCATCGAATGGACTGGATCTTATTGACTGGGAAGCTCAGCACGAGAAATCTGATTCAACTGATGAGCCAAACCAGACACCCTCAGACCAGAGCCGAGCCTCCACTCCCACCGATAGCGAGCCGGTCAAGACAGAGGACATGCTTGGTGGAGATGATATGCCGCTTCTGCCTTTGGCGACATGTCTTGAACCAACGAATGTTATTCCTGTTAGAGATATCGAGAACTCAATAAGCCCACCACAAAATACAGTAAAAAGCGAGGAAAAACCTGTCGAGTCTGTGGCAACTCCACCTGAAGCTCAAGACAAAAAGTTACTGCTATTCCAAATCGAAACAACTAAGTTTGGAAAGCAAGATTTGGTGTTGTATGAAGTAAGTTGTTCTTAATACGTATATGTATATGTATACATGTTTATTAGTTAGTACTTGTTTATTGATCTACTTTGTAGAACCGTGATCCAATAGTTGACGTAAAAGAGTATTGTGAAAAGTATGAAATGAGCGATCATTTTGACAAGATACTGGAAGCTGTCCTTGAATCATATACCAGAAAGAAGACCAGACGTATTCTAGGGAAAAAGAAAAAATCCAAAACAATTTCTACATAATTAAAACTCTTTTCTATATGAGAAAATGTTTTTTGAGCTTGCTCAAATCAAATAATCCATTCTAAAGTTCAGCCATTAGCTGGATAATAATAATAATAATAATAATAATAAACATATTAGCAGTAGCGAAAGGGTAATTAATAAATATCACTCTTCCGACTACAGCGAGAGCACCATCCAAAGTATGATACAATTCAATACTTATGGATTATGAATAGAATTTCAAGACTATGATAGTGATTAACGAGAAAAAATGCGTCTATTGTCATGGATGTTTAGGATATCATGACCACAATATAAACTTGTTATACAATCCTCTGCTAATTGTCATAAGCTGTTTTAACATCCACAAATTCAGAAAAATGAATTTGACTTTCGCCTATTATTTTACCTCAGTTTTACTTGGAAATATAACTGAAAGAATAATAATACAGAAATATAGGCCATGATATATATATAAAATAATATTTATTTAGGACTTGATAGTTAGTAACTCAAATTCGTGCCGTTTTCATCCTCGAACTATATGATCAGGCATTACCATACACTCCCCCTGGCATACTTTAGCAAACATTCTTCCGCTCTTCATGGATATAGGTATCCAGCACTGAAGGGGAGGGTAGGGATTGGCGATGACACTTTTACCCTTACCATATGACTTAGACAAACCTAAAGACTCTCAATGGGACTGAGGTATTGATTTTTTGGTGGCTACGGCATTATTAAGATGCTTTGCGCTAATTTCAGGCCTTTTACTGTCTTTGAATTATGACCAGGAACCTTATATCCCTGGTCACTAACATCCTCACCATATATGTCATACCTGTCATTCAGCGCATGCAAAAATAGGAAAAAATAAACTTTCTTTCCAATGGGTTAATATACACATATTACCAAAGATTGCTTATGACAATCTTCAATGTACCAGTTCCTCCTACCCACACACAGCCCTAAACTATAAGCCGTGACCAAACAGCATTATCGATACAATACAGTTACTTGTGTGATCCTTTATCGTAAAACTCTAGGAATTCCCATTTTCATCTTTGGAACAGGTATAAATAATGGGACTCATCACCCCAAATGATCTTACTCAAACCATTGATTAGTCTGCTTGGAGCGATGAGAAAATTCCAATTGTTTCTTTTTTGTAAAAGTTGGGTTGCTTTGGCTTTAGTATAACATGGTAATAGGACATTCTGATTTTATGCATAGGTCGCCAAGCAGTAGACTTGTAAATTTAATTGGCAATCGTGCATTTCATGATATTTGTCAGATTTCCAAGTGTGTCGTTATGATTCTTTCTCATTTCGTTTCTGAGAATGTATAAATCTCGCTTATCAAAAATTTTGAATATTATTTCTGGTCTTTTTTTTTATTGTTAAAGGAGTGTCTACATGTCTCCATCTTTGCATCGTTCTATGCATGATTGATTTGTATGTTGAGATTTTCACCCAACTTTCAGTGATTGATACTTCAGAAAAGGCACCATAAATCATAATCATCAGCTCTTTTTTTCATAGTACAAAGATTTATTCTACTAGTTTAATGAATTTCTATGAATCAGATAATGAGAAAGAAAAGAGAACATTTTAAAAAAATGTAACAAGAAGTGTAATACTGGTATATTACTTAATATGGTTTCAATATATCTCTACAGCTATTGTTAAGTGTCTGTATCTTACCAATAAGTTATATATATTTATTGATAATAATCTACGCTCGATTACTATTTAGCTATAATTGTAACTAAAAGCAAAAGTATAAATGTCTCTCGTGCAAGAGCGTTTGTGTGTTCATAGGAGGAGGGTAAGGCGGAGCTTGGTAATACTATATTTTTTGAACTTTTGGCAGAGAAAGGAATCCAGTGCGAGAGGCTCATTCAATACCCGACAGCCCGACAGGCCAGAACAAATAGCATCCATCATTGCAACAGATAGACGCCCTCTTTTTCCACTAGTAGGTCAGTGAACGGGGATGTTTTTGTGAATGGATGGATATATGCACAAATAGATGGATGGGAACATGTATGGATTGATGTGCTAACCTATCACTTTTTCAATTATGTATCATTTCTTTATATTTGCTTTTTGCTCATCTTCATTCCTCAACTCAGACAGTAACTAGAAATGGGTCGTGTTATTCGTGCTCAAAGAAAGGGTGCCGGAAGTATCTTCAAGGCCCACACCGTCGGTCGCAAGGGCGCCGCTAAGTTGAGAGTTTTCGACTTTGCTGAGCGTCACGGCTACATCCGTGGTATCATCAAGGAGATCGTCCACGACCCCGGAAGAGGTGCTCCCCTCGCCAAGGTAAAAAATAAATAACCGTTTTGAAATTCGACAACAAATGAACAACGACATCTCATGCGGATCACAAAAAAAAAAGGTTGCCTTCCGTGATCCTTACAAGTACAAGCTCAGAACCGAGACCTTCATTGCCACCGAAGGCATGTACACCGGTCAGTTCATTTACTGCGGTAAGAAGGCCACTCTCAATGTCGGTAACGTCCTTCCCCTTGCCTCCGTCCCCGAAGGTACCATCGTCTGCAATGTCGAGGAGAAGGTTGGTGACCGTGGAGCTCTTGCCCGTACCTCTGGTAACTACGTGACCGTCATTGGTCACGGTGATGACGGTAAGACCCGCATCAGACTTCCTTCCGGTTCCAAGAAGATCGTCCCCTCTACCTCCCGTGCCGCTATCGGTATCGTTGCCGGTGGTGGACGTATCGACAAGCCCCTCTTGAAGGCTGGTCGTGCTTACCACAAGTACAGAGTCAAGCGTAACAGCTGGCCCAAGACCCGTGGTGTTGCCATGAACCCCGTTGACCATCCCCACGGTGGTGGTAACCATCAGCACATTGGTCACGCCTCTACTGTCGCTCGCGACTCCTCCGCTGGTCAGAAGGTCGGTCTTATTGCTGCCCGCCGTACTGGTCTCCTCCGCGGTACCAAGAAGATCAAGGATTAAACTACCCGTTTATTTATCTGTCTTCAATAAAAAACCCAACCAATTCTACGTACTGCAGCCAAACATGTTTTGTTTTTTGTTATCTTGGAGATCATAGTCATTATTCATTGTATACTTGGAAAGATTCTATAGTGTTTACTGTGAGATATTTTGTCATTATACATATTGGAAGGACATAGACAGCTTCTTTATGTGAAATGTGTAATATATTTGTGTTGTGCTGCAGTCTTTGTTACTAAAAAAAGAAATAATGACTGGTAAAAAATTGAAGTGTGTGACGTATTGAGAGTTTTGATAGCTTGGCATGAACAGGGCAAGTAATTTATAAAGTTGCTTTTAGCTACTTTGAAACTCTACAATCTCTTTCTTTAATATTTTCATCTCATGATTGACAATACATCTGTACAATCTATTGCAACCAACACACTGTTGATTCCAGACATCCCAAAGAATTTCTTTGCATGTTCATCTGCAATGAAGCAGATTGAAGAAAAGTTCGCGGAGTTTGGTACCATATCTCAGTTCATCCTGATGAAGGGATTCGGGCGCATCATGGTCATCTATGAAGAAACCATGGCTGCTATCAAAGCAAAACTAGAGATTGATCGAGCAACTCTTTTCTGGAAGCAAGAGAATGAAAATGTTGAGATTATTGCAATGGGCAAAGACCTCGAGAACATTTGGAATGCTAACACACTCGAGATCCGGATATACTTTGGACAGGTATAGAAAGAAAAATAGAGTAACAGGGCCGGTCCATAATACGTACAAATGGAAAGATTGCTTACTTTCTTTACATACTCTACCTTTATATCTATATATTTAGCACAATCCTATAAATCCAGATCTTGCTTTAAGCCGATTACAAGTACCTGACCTTGAGCGTAACTTCTTAATATCCCCACCCGGATCACCTTTTGAGGACTGGGAACAGACACTCGAGTCACCGCCTAACAAAGCAGTTTTGGCATCCGATCTTAGCCATGCGCTTGCGGATTATAGCGACGACAACATGGAAGATCTTGACGACTTCTTGTTGGACGACTCAGATTTTTTTGAAGTTCAAGAAAAACTGCCATTAATACAGATAGACGCCGAAGACAACTCTCGGGTATCTACCCCATCAACGCCAAATTCTGCAGACTCTCGCCGTTCGAATGGCCAAAAATTAAAGGTTGTCTTGAGTGAGAATGCAGATGGTGCAGAGAATCTTCCAAGAATCACAATTCAAGATTGGGATGGAGATAACCTCTCTTTTAACTCTGGTGGACTATTTCCTGGTGCCCCAAAGACACAGATGCCAAAGTTAAAAGTAGAACCTACCGCAAGACCCCCTCTTCAAGCATAATAGTTTACGACAACAGTTACAACATAGGCATAAAGAGAAAACATCTGTAACGACCTAGAATTTATATTGTAAAAAAAAAAGACAAAGGAAAAAATACACATTTTACTTTTTTTGGAATGTTTGAATACGATATTTGTACATGGAATTGAAATAAGATTACACTTTCTTTAGACTGATTAAAATTTTGAATTTTAGACATGAATGAACAAATTAGAAGTCGAAGAATAAGGTATAACAATGATATTAGTTTTTAGATAAATTATAATTTCAATTTTCAGTTACTTGAACCATAATTAATTTGATACCAAAAAGGGAGAGGGATGTTTGTTACATTGATTGACACGTTTAAATTCTTCTGAAATATATGGGTTGAGCATTTACATTCTTTGTTGAAAGGGCAATATATATATATATATAATTTTTCTTGCAGAGCTCACAACATACTGGCATATTCTATAGTACGTTTTGAAAGCAAGGGTGCTATATTGCAGGATTGAGAAGAACTCTTTAACTAGTAGAACTTGCCAACAATGATCATTTGATAGTGTGATTTTTAGTGATCTTTGTGCAGAGGGAAAAAACACATACACACACTTTGTAATAAAGTAATCTTAGAATATAGTGTATTCGACTTTTTTTCTTCTCCTGCACGAAGACTATAATAAATTCAACAAGCAACCAGATTTTGTGACTTTAATAATGGAATGACACTTTCAATTTGGTTATTTCTTGCTTCGGTATTATTATTTTTATAGCTCTTTTAAGTACTTTATAGTAACCACCAAATGACAATGGGCTTTTTATTATTAAAATATTACCTGTGCCTACTACATCTTTCTCATTTAATTTAAGCTTGTTATACTTTTCATAAGATTCTTGTTCTTTACCATTTTTGAGTTCCATGTCTTTGTAAAGCAAATTTAAACAATATTAATGTATTGTTTAAAAATAAAACGGACCAAGAAGACTAAGACCAAAGACTTGTGATTACTTTTATATAATATTTATAAAATACTATTTAACATCAAAGTATTTCTCCCAGGCTCAGTTGATCTTTTTTAATAATACCCTACTCTTAAATCACCACTCATCTGCATTATTGTGTAACACAGGTATATTAAATTAATGGTAGTGGCTGTCAAAGAAATAGAAAAACCTCGATCTTGATATTATATGTTGCGTAGTGTTAATAGGATTATTTTTCCGTTTATTTGGCAAAATAATCAATAAATAAAGCTTAAATACAACCATAGCATTTCAATAAATTAAATAAATAAATAAATAGCCCGTCTGTCTGTTAAATTCATATATCCCAGCGGATAATCCTAAGCTCTGCTCCGGATAATATAACAGTCTTTTAGTACTTCGCGGGGTATTTGACGGTTCCAGAGCAGGTGTTTGAAGCAATGGAGTCGGTGAGGATGTAATCACTGGTTCCTTTGACATAGAAGTACAGCCAGATTTCACTAAGAGTTCCACTGGAGCAAGTAAGCTTGGCGGATACACCGAGAGCATTCTCAATGGCTGCTACCATTGCAGTGGCGTTGTAGCTTCCACCGGGGGTAATTCCTGCATCGGAAAAGATCTTGTAGAGATCATACTCCTGGCGAAGACTCAAGACCTTGTCGAAATATCCATACATATCATCGTACTTGGTGTACTCGGTTCCGAAGCAAGCGGGATCCAATGTTGTGACGCAAGTACCTGTTTAAGTGTAGTGTATAAGCATGTGTTTGTCCAAATGTCTTCTTCACTGGTACTTACCGTGCTTGCCCCACTCGTGTGTCCAGAAAACGTTATTGTCATCTAAATGTAAATTACTTAGTCAAATATTGGGCATTTTAAATATAGCAAAACACAAAGAATTTACATACCATTGTAGGATGGCCAGTAAGTATTCATGCTGCTGTAAAGAGTGGGGTTTCCAGACTTAAGAATGGTACCGACATTGGCATAAGTGCGAGTAGAGTCGCATCCAGAGCTTCCGGTCTGACCACCAGAGCAGGTATCGGGCCAGAGACCGTGAAGAGTGAAAGCATCCGCAGGGCCATAGTTTTTAACCCACTACAAAGAATATTAGTATACGTTATTAAACGGATTGCATTCTGTGCATAATTACCTGCTGTACAAGCAAGACAAGACCGTACTTTGGTGAGCAGCAAGTGTCGGCAGTAGTAGTGCTGCATGACAAGGCATTGACTAATGATTGTTTAAATAATAAGCATTTCTACTTTACAGAGTTATCAGACTTATTGTCTAGAAATATCTTACTAGGGCATGAATCTCTGGCATTCAAGACAGGTACTGCAGAAACAAGGGAGGCAGCTGCCATAAGCACGCTGAGAGAGATGAAAGACTTCATTGTGTAGTAGAGACTGGTGGTAGAGAGTGCTTTTTTTTTCAACAAAATGTCTTTGGCTTATATAGTTATTCGACAGGTTACATTTTTTTTTTGCATAGCCACCAATTCTAATATAGATATGGTCATGCTTCTTCAAAGAGTTTTTGTTTTTACCTTTGTTACCTCAAATTCTTATCTTTCTATATTATGAAGTATACACATTGATTAGGACTTTTTTTTATTATATGAACAGCTAATTAAGTACATAACGCACAGAAGAAGTTCAATAAGTCGTAATTTCTTTTTTACAACTTTCGATATTTCAGATTATTCAAAGTGATGTTCCCAGAAATACTTCTACAAAAATGCATTCAATTGCTATAGACTCATACCGTCCATTATCAGGGTAAACATTCAACGTTTTTTTTAATATCAGTCTAGACATCTTCCAAGCTAATTGGGCAAGGAAATAATGTTTAAAAAAGGAATTCAGTATTTTTCAGTAACGTTGATATTATACAGTGGGTTCAATAGCCATAGGCCGCTTACACAAAAGTAGACACGTGCATGTTAAGGAAAGAATTATAATTCACGTCTTTAATCAATTACGATAGCTAATCTTTACACGTCGTTACGCAAAGAGTGAGATATTGAAAGCAGTGTATTACAAACAAGTATTCTTTCTTTAAAAAAAAGGGCAAGACATCATTTTTTCAGGAAAGATTTTTTTCTTTGGTACTTTAAGGATTATACTCAAATTATATAGGACAGTTAATGTGTTTTAACATCAGATAAATTAATAGAGTTTGTATTTTTGTTTTGTTTTGTTTTGTTTTTATTAAAGAAGAGCATATGCCTTACACTACATTCAAGCTATGTAACACCATAGTTTGAATATACGATCGTTTTGTTACGATGTAATACAGCATGACCATATATACTTTTTATGGGAGGGTATGAAAGTTTATGTGACCCTATGTATTTGTTTGTATGAAAAAAAAAGGTACTGTCTTGACATTAACAAGATCATGCTCCATAAAGCAGATTAGATGCTGGAAGGTTTGTCTATAGAAACACAGGTACACCCCGACAAATTATACATAATTGGGTGTTTCTTCCTAATTTTGACAAAGATAAGCACAGATATGCACATAAACCGATCGTTAGCTCACAGGAGATGCTTTGTACACGGTTCAGATTAATTGGATGGCGTATAATAACGTATTAAAAGTAAGGCTAGTGTGTCACTATAAATTCTCGCAAACTTCTTACTGGTGCTAGGTACCTTAAATCCTCTTATCCGTTTCTCGGCAAAATAGGCCAAATGTCTCAAAGCGCTATAATAATATTAATCTTAACTCACACGAATTTTCCTTTTCTTGTATACACATCTTATATCCCATTTTAAGGTGCTCACGGGGTGCGACTTCGAAGTGAAAGAAAAAAAACTCTATTGATAGCAAAATACGAAACGTATTTAGAAGTATTTCAATATAGCAAATGTAGCTATTATGTACATAATAATAATAGGACTGTAGTATAACATTTGTTATACCACAAATGTCTAAACCTTTTTGAAACTATAGAAACGAAAGAATATATTTGTTTTGCATTTATTTCTAATACAGTACAAAATACACAGCCACGCACAATAATGTTACAGAGTTTTATATACAAAAATAAGAAAAGCAGGACGTTTTCTTTTTTAAAATAATTTACCCTTCAAAAATAGAGAAATGGACCTGTAGCAATTTTCTATTAAACTTGTCGAATATAGTAGTGGTTAATTTGCACCAAACTCACATGCTCTCTACTGTATGTACATAATATATATTTATATGTATGAAAATAATCATTATATCGTTGTTTGAGCGTTACGGATCATGTTTTAAGAGATGGGGTTTCTCAAATTTAACCTGAGACTATCTAAAAAAAAGTTTTTATTTTCTCATTTTTGAATGCAAGACTCGATACAGCTCAAAAAGGAAGGGAAAAATGTAGAAAACGAAAGTCACGGGTACACACTAAGTGGTCACTCCCGGGAAGCTCTCAAGGATACTACTGAATTTACTGACAACTACTCTTGCCACAAATGGGGACACGTCAAAAATCAACTTCAATGGGTATGTAATATAGCTTGGGTAGTGATGCCGAGCACCAAGGTGCGATGGTATTGAGTACCTAGGCAAGGATGGAGAATACACTGGATGTATAGTCTGATAATCTCGCCGAAGTTCCAGATGAAAAGATAAGTAGTAAGAACCAAGTCTCATACTTGTTTTTTTAGGGGACACTCAAATATATAGGAGTCCGTGTTTTCAAAACAGCAGGCGCTTTTGGTCATGATGCCCGTACAAAGACATCATTGATAATTCAAAGATCGTGTTTGGCTTGCTGGCAATTTTGAAAACTGTAGCTGGCCACTACAAGTATGCGACTATCGAAGACTTTAGAGAACCTAAGCTTTATTTTTGCAGCCAAGCGGTAAACAATATTACAAGCAGCATCTTATTTACTTGTACTAATAACATTATTTGTCCACAGTTAAACAAATATATCCAACAATGGTCAATACAATATACCAAATATGAACTATATAATTTTGCTCAGGAGAATAATATCTTTCTGGGAAAAGATCTTGGGTAAAGGGAAAAAACTCTGAGGTTCATGGTCAATTTGTTATTGACCTCGAGAATATATTTATAACCCTTAAACGATTGTAAAGAAGAAAAATAATGACTAGTCCAATCCAATTGCTTAGAACCGTATTGAAAGGACAATGAATGCTATTACTACCTTAAAAAAGAAAACATAAGGAAATTTCGAATATAGACTTGGTGTCCAATCATTTGTTTATTATTACATCTTCTTATGAATATATAAAGCCATACTTTTTCTAAAGATACTGACTCCACCAGAAAATATTCAGTTAAAGCTGTTAAGAAATTTTGCTTGTATATGCACAAACTTTGTGCTTAATCAATTTTACATCTGCCTCAATCAAAATTATATCTAAGCGCTTCTTTATATTCAACCAAAGAGCTAACCAATTCATTTTCAAAAAAAAAACATTGTGAAATTTGACTTTCTTTTTTGGATCAAACTGTGCCCAAAAGACCAATCGATATCTCTCTAAAGTTCGACCATCTTTTTCAAGAAAAAACTGTTCAAGTAGCAGTGAAACGACTGTAAAGGTGTATGATTGTTTTTCCCAAAGTGTGTAAATACCTTTTAAGAAAAGTGTACTGACGCTTTTTTTTAGACTTGTAAAACTTTTAGATATGAAACCTGTTTTTGCTATCAATAGTGCTTTTTCTTTGTATTATTATTTCAAGATTCCACTCCTTAAGGGCTTCATATACACAAAAACAAATAGTCAATAGCCCTCTGTCAGTTTTATGGTAATGCAACGCCTTATCGATAATTCTGCTACTATACTAATTCAATTAAATTATCAAATTATCAAGTTATATTGATAAAGGGTTGCTAAGCTAAAACAGGGATAGTATATAATTTCAATAAGTATTTTTTGGTCTTTTATGTATTAGTATAACTATGTTAAAATCGAAGTATTCCAAAAGACCCTGATCACAGCTTGGATTAGCCTTCTCTGTGAAACAGAAATAGGAACTCTTAGTAAATGGAATGTTAAAAGCCACAATGACTATACAGACTTTCAGGTCACTTTAAATATATAGATATATGAATGTAGAGAATTTAAGACCCACAAGATATTAAAAATATATAGTAATTTAAATTCACAACAGGATATACTTAATTTGTGAGGTACATGTTGAGCTTATGTGGTGAGCACTTTTTGCTTTACTTTGAAACTACTCTCTAACTGTATCAAATATACTATACACACTAATCATTTTCAAGTGCCTGGTGTATATTTATTGAGAGTATATGGGTCAGTAGTACCAAACTTAATATATATTTTTAAAGAGAGAAAATCCTTGTATGTAAGAGATTTTCTGTCCTACAAAGATATGTTAAGGTAACAATGAAATCTCATATTGATTCTCATGAATACCCAAAATCTGGCCTACAAGAGACAAGCCTGGAAAATTAAGTTTTCTAATCAAGCCACCTTATATATTAGGTGATACAATTGGTTTCTGTTTGTCCACACCATTTTTTTTGTTTACTTGCAAGTAAGCTTGTATTGAGGAGCTTGCATAAAATGAAAAGGGCAAATTAAATCCCAAATAAAATAAAGGTGCCATTTCAAGCCTAAACAGCAATACTACTCATAACAAATTAAAATATATCTATATAGAAAGAAAAAGAAGAAGATCTTAAGCGTACGTTGGAGATAGTGATCAAAAGTATCATTAAGGCTAGTTACAAATCAATGATAGACCTTATCACTTGATAGAGAAGAGCATATTCTTGAACTGTATACGATAAGGTTTAAAATAAATATATAAGCTGCTTTCAAAATATTAAAGGGTAGGATAAGTTCCTGCTGATAGGGTATTTACACAAAATTCTAAATAAATAGTACATTCACACACATATTCTCACATTCACTTACTCACACGTACATGTACATACATACTGTTTTGAGGTAACCTATAAATCTATGGATGATTACATACAAAAATCATATAGTACACCATAAGAAAAAAAAGATATATCTGGAGAGTATGTCATCAATTAACCATCCAACAGTTAAGAATTTACTGTGGTTAGAATGGGCGGCACCAAAGAAAATATACAATTATAAGAGATATATCGAGTCAATGCGTGGTTAGTCATGTAATTGTACAAAATGAAGGACTATTTAACTGATATTGTAGATATTATGAAATGAAGACAATAGCTTATTGGTTTGTAATTTCTAAGACTATTCTATAATTTTCATACTAGAAACAATTAGATATACTTCAATATTAATAAGAAGAAATGACTTTCTAATCTCACACGTTATATTTTAATGTAGTTAGAGTGACATGACTTGAATGTGAAAAGATATCTATAGCAGTCAATGTGTGTGCTATTAACCATAATACACCAAAAGTTGCTATGGTACTTCAATTTCTTCAAGTCCCTAGTCTATTTCTTTGGAGGGTTTCTTAAACCATATTAAAAATATGTTGACATTGTATATTAGTAAATCGAAATATCACTTATATATATTCAGCTCTCAATTTATTTATATAGCTGGGATAAGTAGAATAATATTGCTATCACAAAATAAAACACTGCCTGCACTGTACTGTATTTTACTTTTTTTTTAAAAAAAAAATTACTCATTTAATTTGACCGTGGTTTGCAGAAAAGCATTTAAAGTTATATATTTACTTTCTTGAGTTTTCTTGTATATGTTAAGTACGTCTTTAATCGTTCGAAAATGGAAACCCAAGTAAATTTCCTAGGAGTACTTTTATAAATGTTGAAGACGGGGTAGTTATTTGACTTTCTAATGCTAAACGTATTATATCTGATATCATAAATTAAATGCTTGTATATCAACCGACAATTGACACTTTTCGTTTGTTTTCTTGGAATATTGATATAATAATAATAAAGTAATTTTCAAACTTGAGGATAAGGAATTACACGTAGTATACCAGCTTAATAAATAAATTTAGAGAAACATAGTCTGTAATAATTTAGGAATGCTATTCTTATGACAGCCAATGTCTTTATCTTTCCTGAATATTCTGTAAATCGCATTTTTTATCAACTAATAATTTAAAAAAAAATTGACTCATTTCATCAAAAGCAAACAAAAACGGGTGAACATAACTACGTGTTTAGTTTCCAAGATAACGAACTTAACGAAAAGTCCTGGATTGCATATATAATTATTAACAAAATAAACTTGTTAATAAGTATATTGCTTTGATTATTTTCTAGTACAGGGCTATTGTATTAAGCACACCCAGAAACAAACTACTAAAGCTTTATAGAGAGCTTGGGATAAGTATTTTCCGGGAGTATATGCTTGTGGTAATACTAACGATCTCTATGTTATAAGCAGAGTTCCTAAATTATGTAAAATCTATAAAAAAAAAACTTTTGCTTTCAGTTTACGTTTATAATAAATAATACGCTTTTCAATAAAACAATAATCTGTTTTATTTAACGGGATTGTTTTTGAAAGGTACAGAAAAAAAAAAGAAATTATTATGGTTTATTCATTATCCAATATCTAAGAAAGTTATTAGCGAATTAACTTGTGCGGGTATAGTAAGTTTTATCTAATTCACGTTATAGTAGATATAAGAATGGCTAAAAGCATGATAGCTATATGTAATAATAAAGTAGCTGAGCAATACTGCTTATAGCATTGGTGTGATATCGCTGTAAAAACAGCAATTATTAGATATGAATATAGGCGAAAATTGCTCTACGTGTGTAAAAGACTAAGAATAAAGGTCTAAACGGAATTTTATAAAGCACCGTGGCTGTTTGTATAAATAATGTCCTCCTTAACCACACACTGGATATGTATGCTAGGCAATATGCAGAAGTTTAGTTAACTCAAATGTTGAATTACGAATGCTAAGCTATCATGGTCATATTTTGTATTCTAATGATAGTCTATAGAATGCCTATGAAAAAAATTTACGGGTTTACAAGAGAAAAATACGTTTAATTATTACTATTTTTTGAGTGAGAAAATAGTATAATATGTAGTTATATAAAGCAATTTAAGTAAATATCTTCCTTTGTAATATTTAAAAGTGAATAAGCATAAATATTAAAACCTATGAAATCTATGATGTTACCTTATAATTAATAATTAATAGTGTTTATTTAAGTATTAAATAGTATTCAACTTTTCAAGCCATCCTAGTCTTATTAAAGGTTTGCTTGGCTTGTATGTAAAATTAAAAGGGAGAAATGCGTTGAGTTTTTTCTTTAATGTTACTTATTGGGAGTAAAGAAGTATAGTGTACTACAATAGACCAAGTGTACAATTTTTAAAATATGGGTAAAAATTTAAAATAAAATCAATGGCAAATCGATTCCCCAGAGAAACTCTATATACCCAGAAAAGCTCCAATCTCTCTATACTACTAGCAGAATTCTTGTATTTAAAAGAGGAGTGGGTTTATAGTGGTTTTCTGTAGACGAAGGGTATAAAAATTTGGGATCCTACACTGCACAGACAATTTTTCCTTGTATCTATTGACCGACACAATAATCTAATTGCGGTTGAATTTTGTCAGTCACGTGTGGGAAATCTAAGAATGTCAAATCAAAAGGTTTATGATGCTTTTTGTAATTGATTCATACTAACCACAACTATATAACATTTTGAGGGTTGATAATTGGTTTAATTCAGTGAACGTTAAAGTAGATATATTTAAATAAGCTTTTTTTTATATTCATACTAGAGATAAATCCTCACATTATGTTTTTCACAAAGATTGTGCTATTATTTCAAAAGCACGCGTGCAAACATATACACACACTTTAAGCTAGCTATATGAAGAGCCAACAAGAAGTTAATCTGTAACCTACTATTGTATTTACGTCCTTTAGGTGTGTTTTTGTTATTATTGTTATACCAATAAATTATAAATATCAGATGATTTATGTTGAATATGTCTGACATTTAGCTGCATAATCTCTGACAGAAAACCATTAATCAGGGTATTTGCGCATTTCATATGGTTTCGGCTTTGTTACAAATAAACAAGGATTGGTTGTTTGAACTTAAAAGTTCGATTTTGCCTTTACTTTGTTATAATCATTGTATTTTGAAGAGATATCAGACTCAATCACATAAGTATGGACTTGAATAAGTGTGTACGTAAGTGAGTGAGCAAGTAAATAAGTAAGTACGTGAGTGGGTGAGTGGGTGAGTGGGTGAGTGGGTGGGTGGGTGAGTGTAAATATAATGGGCAAAATTTTGGGCGGGAGGGAAGGAATACGAATTATTATGTCTATGGAGCATTTTTACTGTCTTTTTTTTTTCTTCTTCTTTCTCTTGCGTCTGTTTTTCTTCTTCTAGTTATCAATCTCGATCTCTACTGTTTCGGTCTTGAACTCCTCAGGGGCAGCGGCTTGTTGCTGTAAAACAGTTTAGAGAAAGAAGATATTTACTGCTGAGCGTTAAATTTATTTACCTCAATAGCCATGATGTTTGCAATGTTCTCAAAGACAGGGGGAGGAAGTGTCTTTTGGTAAATCATAATAAGCTCCATAGGAGCGGGATAGACCTTCAATGCCTTGTAAAATGGCAGAATTGCCTCATTATAGAAAGGCTCGCCTAAAAATATATAGTGTGAGCTCACAGCCAAGTATTTTATACATGGGTTACAAATAAATAATGATAACAATAATAATAAAAATAAAAGCAATCTGTATCTTACCCTGTGCACAGAGAGCTTCACCAGCAGCCACCTGGGACATAAAATACTGCTCCTTCTCCTCGGGAGTAGTAGGATAGTTCTCCTGGGCAGCGGCAATAATGACTTGTTCAATCAACTCAACTCTTCCCATCTTGGAGCTCTCCTCGGACTCTTTGGCAGCCTTGGCAGCCATCTTTCTGTCGCGTCCTGTGTGTGGGGGATACTTACTTAGGGACGCTTGAAGTGTGGAATATGCATTTTTTCATTTTTTTTTCATTTACTGACTCAATTTCTTTTTGAAGTCGGGATCGCTTCTGCGGCTGTAGTCAAAGTAGACCATATAGCCAATACTGAGGGCGGCCAATGTTGCGGCGGCTGTCAAGGCAATTGTCTGTGGTCTCATGTCCATGGTTGTGGGATGAAGAGGAAAGGAAAAATTTTTGGCTTGACGAGGACAAAAAGACAGTCAAGACCAGGACACCCTCTCATTTTCAATATCCGGACCAAATACGCTCAGGCCTATCACCGCTTCCAACTTTTTAAAGACGTGTAGGCGTGAATAGCTATGACGCAGATCAACTTAGGAAGCAAGATCGTCTTAGCCGAATAACATAGCCTAAACGGCGCTTGAATAAAACACTTTATCCAGTTAATAATAAAAAAAAAAAACAAGTATACGCTTGGAGTATTTGTATTAATGCCTGTACTTTCTCCGACATACCACAGAGGGGAAATGGCTGTTGCCATTATCAATGACGTTTGGATTATGTCAAGGCTAAAGATCAAATGCCCTATAAGTATCTGTACAGAAATGTGAAAATCAACCTCGTTACTCTTATTACATTACACTACTTTACTTTACTCTACTTTACTTTACAACCATGATGTCCTCCAAGCACTTGATCACCACTACTTTTACTCGTCCTGCTGTCAGGGTTTCTCGTATCGTTAGCCAGCAGTCAATGAGAGCCACTAGCCATATGTCCGACAATGATCCCAAGATTCTTGAAGAAGAGAAGAATAAGACTCTTAACTCGAAGAACAAAGAATGGAACGAAAAACTGGCTTCTGTCAGTGAGGCAGCTGTAAGTTAACATTATAACTCGAAATCTATCCGCCACTTGTTGTATGTTTATAAATCATTTATTTGCAAATAGATCAAGGCAGAACACAGCCCAGATAAGCCCGTAAAGGAGCTCCAGGAAGAGACCAAAAAGCAGCTTAAGGATAGCCACAAATAATGATCTTTTGAATTGAAGGAGCACGACTATGATATAATATATACATACATACACACACACACGCATCCATATATAAATATAAATATAAATATATTTATAGATATATATTTCTTTTATTTTCTCTTTCTCTATCTTGTATATAATCACTTTTTCCTGTTTCTGATTGTCAATTAAATAAATAAAATAAACAATTAAAAAAAAATAATTATCTCAATTTTACATCAGTCTCAAAGACAAACAAATAAACAACCCAACCTCATTTCCCTTTCGAGAGTGCAAGGATGTCGTACATTTCGCAGCTCAACCTGCTAGGCGATGACCTGCCTCCAATCTCGGAAGAGACTTTATCAGAAGAGCTCTCTTTCTGGGCCAATGCCCAGTTCACGTTTGATACTCCAGGCCCATCTATGCTCGAAGATGCAATTAAGCAACCAACGTTTGATGTTTTCGATTGTCTGGTTGATCTAAATGACATGAGTAATTATCATGTAGATAAATCCAATGATAGCTTGTTAACAATTGGCTATAGATCATGTTCAACACATTAGTCTTTTGCCTCCAGCTCAACCAGCTCAATCAACTCAACCAGCCACACGAAATCTTCCAACTCTTCTGCCACGTATTTATCCTGCGTCATCTCAGCCAAGTGTTTTAGATTGTTCTGTCTCTGTTCCAAAGAAGCGCAAGGAACCTGTTAAACAAAACCCAGTGGAAAAAGTAATTGCAGTGGAGGATAAGCGCAAAAGAAATACTGCAGCATCGGCTCGGTTTAGAATGAAGAAGAAAATGAGAGAACATGAGCTAGAACAACAGACAACAGAGATGACTAAAAAAACAGAAGAGCTAGAGTCTCGTGTGAAAGGTCTTGAACAGGAAATCAAATGGCTTAGATCACTTATTGTAGAAAAAGATCCTTCTCTTTTGGAAGAGAGGAAGTATGGCAGATAAGATCGATGAATAATAAAGAAAAGAATCATTGCCTTTTGTTATTTAATAGAGTTTACAATATACAAGTGAATATTATAGATTATAGCACCTATAATAGTGAGATCTTTTTTTTTGTTTAAAAGAACTTGGAAATCAAACTGGCGGCCATTTTACCACCGGAAGATTGCTGCTGCTGCTGCTGTTGCTGTTGCTGTTGGGGCTGCTGCTGAGTATTGCTGTGGCTACCACCCATCAAAGAACTGACCATATTACCCAGACCATTACCGCTCGACTGCTGCTGTTGGTGTTGTTGTTGCTGCTGCTGCTGCTGTCCGCCACCTCCGCCCATGAAAGAGCTTACCATGCTACCCAATCCACCACCGCTGGACTGCTGAGACTGCTGAGACTGCTGTCCACCTGCTGCACCCATCAACATACCAAGCATGCTAGAAATACCACTTCCACCTCCGCTGGCACCACCACTGGCAGCACCCTGAGCCTGCTTAGCCATGTAGAGCTTAACAGCCATCATTGCAGCCTGCTGGAGCACCTGAGCCTTGCCGCCATCATTGCTGCTGGCATTGGTTCCACCTGACTTTGAGAAAAGCTTGGTAGCTTCGGCCATAGCCATACCAATCATGTCGTTCATTCCGCCACCACTGCCGCTTCTCTCATGGTTTTCCAATGCCTGAACAGCGGCAGCAGTACCCATATCTGTGGGAGAAGCACTTCTCTGGTTTCCATCGTTGTTACCATAAAACTGCTGGTGAGATTGCTGGGCATTCTGGAGCTCTTGGGGCTGAGCTGCGGACTGATGGAGATTTTGCTTGGACGAGATATTCGAGAGAACAGACGAGAACACCTCCTGGTCCTCACCATCATCGGCATACTTGGCAGCGTAGTTTGCAGCGTCTCTATCATTGAAAGAGGCATGGTGGCTACCAGCAGAGGGACGGGATTGTTGACCGTAAGAATCATTGTTTTGCTGAGGAGGAGCGCCATAGCTGCCATAACCATCGTTGCTGTTGCTGTTATAGTTAGACTCCTGTTGGCTATAGCCGTTGTTGGAGTGCTGCTGCTGCTGCTGGTAACCAGAGCTGGGAGGGGCACCATAGCTGCCATAACCATTGTTATAAGAGTTATCATTCTGCTGCTGGGAGCCTAATAAAGAAAAGCCATGTCAATGTGTGTATAATATGAAAAAAATATGTATTTAATATATACCTCTGTAGCTGTTGGCCTCTCCTCCGCGATAGCTGTTAGCTTCTCCTCCGCGGTAGCTGTTGGACTCGCCTTGGTAGTCTTGGTTGTAGTTTGACATAATTAGGTTGGATAAAGAAAAGAGACAAATGCTTTTTGGAAAGAATATTCTTTTTTATGTACCATTTCGATTGTACGGCGTATGAACCAACCAAATTTAGGCTACACTAACACCTTGTGGTTTAACGCGCGTCAAACAAAAAAAAGTGGTTTGATGATCAGGTTTATAAAGATGAGGTTTATCAGTCTGTAACTCTTTAACAAGGTACTAGATTTGCACTTGCTTTATTGAATATATAATGACAGGTTTAATATGTAGAAAAAATTACTTGATAGCTTAATAGTGTAGTTTACTTTGTAGAAGCTAGAAAATGTTTTGTCTCACCAGTGCATGTCCATCGGTTCTATAAACTGCACACAAAATGGAATAAAAGGCCAAGACAATCGAAATGGAAATTGTGGCGGCAACAAATAATTTGATAGACAGGTGCGGGTAGTTCTGCTCTGATAGGTCAGTTGTCATCTAGCTCCTTTGCAAATAATCCGCACAAGCATACAAGCATTGTCCCATGCGATTAAAGATCGAGAGCTAAATATTTCGTGTAATGTAATTCTTGAATCGAAGAAGGCAGCATCTGTGTGGTGTAACACGGGTTATATAGTGGAAGCTATCAAACACTGTTTGCTTATCTCACGCTCTGACGGCAGGCGCGTCAAAATTGAGTTGAAAGACATTGACTTGATTGGAATAAGCGGAGGCAAATGACCAAAAAAAATACGCATGAGAGCTTGCTATGTATAGATCCATTCCATTCAATCTTATGACGTCGGAATACAAGATACCTTTGCCTATTGTCCGTGAGTAAACAGGGGGCCTGGGGTGCTTTACATCTGCCATCCAATAGGAGCTCAAAACTAGAATGAATGTTCACTTGGTTAAAGCCGGGTAACATACACAGCTAGTTGCTTTTTTTTTAACCAGCAAAAGACATAAGGCACTCGTCATTATATTGGTATTCTTAGAGAATTCTGTATTATCGAGAACGGAAGGATCCGATATATTATAAGAGCCAAAGCTTTTAATATGTAATGACCTAAAACTATATTAAAATAGTCCAAATACAAGTTTAGGACATAATATTTGGTTAGACACCTGTTTCAAATAATCTAAAATAAAGGACCCAACCCAACGGTATACCCAACTTTCACGCGAATGTTGTATAAAAGGGCCTATTTCTGGCGCGTCAATTGCCTTTTCATTAAATTCTCTTCATTTAACAATAATGCCTTGTGGAAACCTCAAAGTAACAGCTCGTAAGCTCATTGATTCTTGCATCTATTAATATGTTTTTATGTTAATCTCTAATCGTTCTTTCAGTCACCGTCCGCGGTCTTTCTGAGACATGTGTGTCAGGCAAGTCAATAAAATGACAAAAAAAAACAAATAAAATAAAAAGCAAAAACATTAACTTTAGAACATTCATAGACGTCAAGCCATTCATCGGATGCTATGTCCAGCCTACAGAGAAAAAGCGTACCCGAGCAGTCGAAAGTCAAACCCCTTCTTGGGACGAAACATTGAAATGGTGAGTGTAAATCAAATGTCAAAATGTTCCTGCGGGCATATAATCTGACCATTCTATAAAAGCCAAGTTCCTGAAGGTCAATCTACATTGACTGTCGAGCTGGTCAACGAAGACTCGCGTTTGGCCGGGGCCATTGGAAGAGGCCAAGTCAACCTCGACAGTGTATTTAGCAGTGGATCTCATGAACAATGGGTTGAAATGGTATCCGAAGAGGGAAAATCTATTGGACAAGTCCAAGTAAAGCTTGAATTTAGTGTAAGTAATTAGATCAAACACAACCCCAATGCATGGTGTATTAAAAGCACTCTTTAGGAGACCACACGCACAGAATATTCGGAACACTCCGAGTATTCTCAACAAAGCCGTCTTGAAGGAACAAGTCGCACAGAGCAGAGGTCAGAAACTTATCTCTCCCAAAGTTCAGGTCAAAAGACCTTTGGTAGCAATGACACTGGTGCCGCTCCTCCTATTCAATCGCATGAACAGATAATTATTGAAGGAGACGAAGCCAGCTCCGTTAACCAAGAGAATAAACATCGTGATTGGATGGTAAGTGGAATAAAAAAAACCGATTACAATCATAGTATTTATAAAACTCGCTTATAGAAATACGGAGGTGCTGCTCTTATTGGTGCTACCGCTATTGGACTTGGCTCCTGGGGAGCATATGAGGCCAAGGAGCACTACGATGAGAAAAAAGAACAAGAAAGAAAGCATAATGAAAATGCTCAGAGCATTGAAAACAAGCCTTTTAAAGCTCCAGAAGAGTTTCTCCAATCTGAAACTGATTCCCTTGTTGTCAGTAAGCAGGCCGCAGAGAAGCTCGAGAAACAGTTAAATGAGCAAGAAAACCAACAAATTCAACAACAAGTTCAAAAACAATCTCAAAATACCGAACAAAGCCAGCACTCAGAACAGAGCCAACACTCAGAGCAAAGCCAAAACGCACACACAAATTGGCAGGTAGATAGCATTGAGAACACTGGAAAGAATCATGCCGATTCTGCTGCCCGCACAAGAAATGAACAGCTAGATGAGAAGGTCAAATTTGAACGCAGAGAAAAAGAGAAGGCCGAAAAATGCAAAGATGAAAAGAAGAAAGAAGATAAAAAGAAAGAAGATAAATGCAAAGAAGAGAAGAAGAAAGAAGATAAATGCAAGGAAGAAAAAAAGAAAGAAGAGAAGCTTCATGCTGATAAGAAGAAGGAAGAAAAGAAAAAAGAAGATAAATGCAAGGAGGAGGAGAAGAAGAAGAAGAAGGAAGACAAACACCACACCGAGAAGAAGAAGTCTGATGAGAAGTGCAAGGATGATAAGAAGAAGGATGATAAGAAGAAGGATGATAAGAAGAAGGATGATAAGCACCTGGTCGAGAAGAAGAAGAATGATGAAAAGTGCAAGGAAGAAAAAAAGAAGGAAGAGAAGCATCATACTGAAAAGAAGAAAGAAGAGAAGTGCAAGGAAGATAAGAAGAAGGAAGAAAAGCATCATACTGAAAAGAAAAAAGAAGAGAAGTGTAAAGAAGATAAACAGCATACCAAGGTCAAGGATTCTGCTTGGCATTAATTTATTTTTATTTTTGTAATGTAAAGAACTTTTATATACAAAATATATAAGAAATATATATACCATTATACCATTATATACCAATTTATTTAGTTTTAGAAACAGTCTTTGGTCATATTAGACGAGTTGGAGTCAAGGCCAGTATCCGGTTAACTTATAGATTTTAGATATTAGGAAAATCGTCTAGAGTAAGCTTGACATAGAGTCGAATATTAACTGATATGGCCACATACGATATTACAAGAAAATAAGAAGACTACCAATAGACAGATCGGTAGTAATTACACCAGCAATGTATATAACCAAAGTAGGCCAAGGTTTCTAAAGGGTTAAGGAAAGTAGAAATATACTTGTAGAGCAATAATTTAGCTTTTGTGGAGTATATCCCATATACAATATACGATATGTTTTTTTTTTCAAATCTAGGCAATATCACAGGTATATTGAGTTTCACCACTACAGCATACATAATAAAGCAATTGCCTTTTTACAGCATCATGTTTTCCTCCCAAATTACTTCAATTACTATCAGTATTATTTTGGAACATGGCATAAACTTTTCTGGTATCAGTAAAAATCCTCATTCTGGCACGATCTGATTCAGGATGACCTATGAGGATATTCCCACAGGCCTGCCTTTAAATCAACCTGCACCAAGACTTCTCCTGTCATGCAAATTTTATTTGTGTTCTGATACCATCTATAAAGAAATTGACCAATTTTCTCTATTTACTTCCAGTTAAATAAATATGTCTAGGCACGTTGTGGTTTCGCATCGCTTTTCCGTATGAAACATGACAGGAATTTACATCCTTCTACTTGGCTGCACCACTATCCAATCAGATACATCAAGCAATTAATGTTCTTCTGATTAACCAAATGATATATGTAATTTAATATCCATATTTAGATTATTTTATCTTGAGAGAGCAGCTTTCATCCCTAGAAGTGGTTTGAAACGTATTTATTAATATATAAGAATACTTTGTAATGGTAATAGGTAAGATCTTAAGCTATGACAAGCTTCATTTGTTCTTAATTATTTGTTTAAAAAAAAGCAATTTCTCTACTCCTTGACTATTTTTCTTGGTCATAATGTTCCTTTACTTGATATTCTAGCAAAGAAATTAGATTACTTAAAAGTCAATGAATGCTACAAATAAAAGCTTCTTTTCCTATCCTAAATCCTCCCACCCCCCTTTTTTTTGTCTCTCTCTTCTTCTTCTCTTTATTGCTTGTCATGCCAAATGCTGTAAATATGCATTTAAAAGAAAAAGCTTGATAATATTGCTTATCCTTAAAAACTAGGACTTGTATAAAGGATAATACAAATCAAGATCTATTAAAGCGTTTTAAGTATATTTTGATTTATTGGCTCAAATTGTGATCCTTGGAGACTATCCTTTCCGTGGATCATCTCGACTCATTCATTTTATTGAGTGCCTCTTGGGATTTAATGGCGTATTTATTCTAGGCAATATACTCAGATGTATTTGTTATTTTATACATCAATTGATAGTATAAGGTCATATTAAAAGGCAAAGTACATGATAAATACTTTTTCTTCTCACTTTGCATGATATTTTGTTGCTTTTAATGTGACCAAAATAATGTTAATAAAAAGAAAACCTTGTATACAAACTGCAGACAATGACCTGGTCACTCTGAGATTCTGAAGCAATTGTATATTTCTACTAGTTACAAAACAACTTGGAGATTTAAAGAACGCGTGAACCTTTTTTTCTTCTTAAATATATATATTGAAACAAACAAAACAAATAGATATTATAAAGCTGTGTTAAACAGAGAAAGAGAAAAAAAAAGCCAGTCAAAAAGTGACTTGGGAGTCCTCCTCACCCCTTTTTTTTCTCTTGAGTTCCTGCAAACTATTTCCACAGAATGAGTGGCCAAGTTCAAGAAACAATGTTGAACAATGAGACAATTCTTCCATTAAAAAGAGCTGGCTTAGAGCTTGAGAAGGATGGTAATGATCTTTCGCATGCTACTTGTTAATCGTTCAAGAAGTTTGGTAGTTAATGACAAGCAATGTAATACAGAACCGAAAACAGAATTTGTAGCCATCCCCTCTGCAAAGCGCAAAAAGCGTGACAAAGCAGCCAAGAATGGTGTTCGCTCAATAATTGTTAATGGAGAATTGGTATGAGCAAAACAAATTATTAATATAATATATGAAAAAAAAAATGAAAAAACGAATATTTGGCACAACTTTTTTTTTAAATATATATATATATTATAATTCCTTTTTAGATACTCATACCGAAAGTTGCGCTCGAAGGGAGGCGGGAATATGCATCAATTAAAGATGCTCGCAATTTTATAGTCAATATACTTAACAAAGAAAACAAATTCCCAAAGTGGGTCAATATACTTGGCGAGAAAGAGAAAATCAAAAAGGTTGTCCTTTTGGATTGCCCTGGATTGGATCCTACTGAATTGGGTCTTCCCCTTGGCGATTGTTTTGTTTCGTCGTCCAAGACGCCCGAGATCTACAAAGCCTTAAAGGACAAGGGTCTTGGACCTATTATTGGAATGAATGAATATTTGGAAACGAAAAAAGAAGACATTGTGGCTGTTGCAACATCAGCTGGCTTGGACAACACAAAGTCATTATCGGATCGGTTTAATGATCTTCTAAGAAGCCCTCTTTCAAAGAATCAAATCAAGCAGATAATGAATCCAGAAAATAACAGTAAAGTGGATGTGTGCAAATGAAAATGTGTATTGGATTGTAACTGATCTGATGCACACCCCTCGCTTTATATACATATATACATATATATATATGTACATATGTACAACATTCTCCATTTGGTTCTGCTTGTTAAATTAATAGATCAGAGCAATAAGATTGAGTCAGAGATGCTCACTCTTAACCACGAGGAATTGATTGACGAAGGATACCCGATTCCAAGCTCAATTGATAGTGAAAGTGAACTTGTAGATGGCTGGGTGGAGACGCTTCCAGGATCTGGTAGTACCAATAAGAAACTTATGGCCCTTGACTGTGAAATGGTAAGATACCCAAATCAGCCTTTTGAAAGAAAGAAAAAAAGGCAGACGAGGCTGATGTGTTCTTATTATTTGTTTATTCATGGGGAAACACTGATATTTTTATTTTGTTAGTGTAATACTGCAAATGGCTTGGCTGTTACACGTGTAGCTCTAGTGGATCAAGGTAAACACTTGTAAATCAATACAATTATTGTTATATATATATATATATGCGTGTGCTTATATATTAAATTAAAATACTCATCTTTGTTATTATTTCTCTTAAATACAGATCACAAAATATTGATCAACTCCTTTGTCAAACCAGACGAGGAAATCACTGATTATCTTACTGATTATAGTGGTGTGGATGAAGCCTCCCTTGAGAATATCGAAACGACCTTAAAAGACATCCAGGAACAAATTATGGAGCACGTAGATGGTGATGTCATCTTAGTAGGCCATGGTCTTAACAATGATCTCAACTGTCTCCGTATGCGTCACCCATATATCATCGATACTTCGACAATTTACCACCATGCCAACGGACCACCCGGAAAACCCAGTTTGCGTTACCTTGCCTACAGATGGCTGAGGCGCCGCATCCAGATTAAACCT